TATATTCTGTGATTGCCGCAGTTCAAAAAACAGTTCCAAATATATCATTCACCTTATCACTAGGAACAGTTTCCTTTTCAAATCAAGGCAGCCAAAATTAAAAGCAAAAGCCTGTAAAATACTGAAATCAGCAACCTGGTTAGGTCGCTATATTAACAGCAGTTTTAAATAAACATTGCAGGTAGTCCTTGACTTAACAACCATTCATTTACTGACCATTTGATGGCATTGAAAAAAAGTGACTTGCATCTGGTCCTCGCACTTAACATACATTGCAGTATCCCCATGGTCACGTGATGAAAATTCAGATGCTTGGCAACCAGCAACTATTTACCATAGCTACAACATCCTGAGGTCACGTGACCACCTTTGCGACTTTCCCAATCAGTTTCTGATAAGCCAAATCAATGAGAGAAACCAGATGCACTTAATGACTCCATGCTTCACCTAACAACTGCATTGATTTCCTTAACCACCATGGTAAAAAAAATAATTCTAAAATTCTTAGCAACCAATATTCTGATCCCAATTGTGATTCTAAATTGGGGACTACCTGCATTGACTGATCAGATTTGCAAAATGAAACCAGTTTGGTTAAAAAAGAAAGATTGACTATAGCAAAAAAAAAAAATTAAGGTTTTGTCCTATACTCAGTTAATTTATATTTTAAATTATTGATTGGCCCTGAAACACTATCAGGTCCTACAAAAATTTGGGACCTCTGTAAGTCTAGCCATCTGAAGAATAAAATGATTTCTGAAAGTTCCAATCTGGGTCAGTCACCGGGACCAGAGGTTTTGTCCAAATTCCAAACCTCTGGTCCAGCTACCCAACCTAGATTGGATCCTGCTCAGCTTGGGACACGTATATTCGCCTTCATTCATGAAAGTAATTTTTAGCTTTCTTATCTCTCCTGTTTCTAAGATTCTGATTTTTTTTAACATAAAGAATATAGTATATAACCTCTAAAAAAGGCTTCATCCTGAGGTTAATTCTAGTCCTTCTTAACATCCCTCATAGATCTTTTACAGGAAGAAGATAGAATACTACTGCAATTTTCACAAATTGATACGCACCAAATATTTTGGCCCCAGTTTGAAAAATCTGCTCCAGAATATTTTGGGAAGAGCACGTTGGCAATGTTCACTGCTTTTTAATGTAACACATAATTTTTGGGACAAAAAACAACTCTTTATCTCAGCAGATAGAAACTTGGGTATTGGAGTAATTAGTGCAGCAACCCGCTTCTTTCAAGGATTATCTCATCATTCTGCAAAAAAGTTGTGGTTTTGTGTCTTTTGTTGTGGTAGTTACAGGCAGGGACACCCTCAGTGTACATTATCTTGTTCTCTCAAAGAAAAGCAGCAAAATACATGAAGATGAGGGAGACTGTTAAATACAATCAATCGGTTGGTTGGGTGGTTGGTTGGTTGGTTGGTTGATTATGTCATTATCAACCATATAGATGGATAATGGTCTGTCCCCAACCTGGTCTTTCAGCCCTTCCAATAGTGCACTCATCACTCTAACATCAAATATCAAACATAACTCGGTTAAGAGGGGGAAAAAAGGAAGTGGTTCATTGCGTTGGAAAATAGTGTAAACCATCGCACCTTGACCACATTGATCTTAGTTCCTCCAAACTCATTAGCCACAGTTTCATAACTTTTACCATTACAGACATTTTTGTGGTAAGATATCAAGGAAATGGATGATTTAAAATAAACAGGTACATCGGATTTTATCATGTTCTTCAGGGAAAAAAGACCACAGTACCCATCGTCATAGTGAAATAATTAGTCATTCATCTGTTGCCATTTCATGATTATCAATGAATAGCTCCAGAGAGGTCTTTAGTGGACCTCTCTTTTGTACATCCATAGTCAAGAGTCATTGTTGAAGAGCAAAGTTTAAAGTTACTAAGGATGCTCAGATAAGTTACATGCATGAGACTCAGTCCCAATGAAGTTGGTAGATATGTATAGTTTTCATTGCTCATTTATTTCCATTCTAGCCAAGAATTGTTAGTATTGTATCCATAACACAAGGCTGAGAAAAGCTAACATAAGCTTTACATTATAGAATAACTGGCTCTGTTGCTAGAGAACCAGCTTGGTGTAGTGCGTAAAGGTGTTTTGTGTAATGGTTTAGAAACTGGAATAGTGTAAATTCTAATTCTTAGGCATGGAGTTAGGTGAATGTAGTAGGCCATGTCTATCTCTCCCTCAGCCTTAAGAAGAAGGCAGTGGTAAACCACTATTAAAATGTTGCTAAGAAAAATATGTGGACTTGTTCATTTAATTGGTAGACTGCTTTAAAGGTACATTTACATATATACATTGATTTTGTTAGCACTAAACATTGATTCGTATATCCAGGATTCTGCATCTTGGTAGGCATTTATTTATTAAATGTATCTACCACTGGGCTCATAGTGACCCTGGATGGCTTCCAATTGTCAATGAGAAGTCAGTAATAGCTGATGGGATGGGACAGGAAACAGTCACCTTTTAAAGTATATATTTAGTAATTAAATGAACACGCAGTGCAGCAAAATGCCTTTTTTCAAGGTCCATCCATTTTTTATGTGTTCAGATTGTCTACGGGCTGTGAGCCAGATGAGCTCAGAGGTAATGCTAATGATGATCATGGATGGAGATAGAGCACTAAGCAGTAAGTCCTTTGTATCATTAAAGTAATAGCTTCCTGATAATCCAAAGTAATTAGAGAAGGAGGCTGGAGAGGAAGGACAGTGAAGTAGCCAGGACACCTGAAAAGAAGTACAAAGATGATGGGCAGAAAGTAGGGTGGCAGTGGCTCAGCGACAAAGTAGCTATGATGACATGGAAGGTGGAGGATCTCCTTAATCCAGAAATATCATTTGAGCCTCCCGCCTTTTTTCTTATTGCAACTGGTGCCAATGCAGCTTCTTTCTTCCATTAGATTTTTCTACTGAATTCTAACATCCAGTAAGCAGATCCATGTTGTATGACCCAAAATTTTGGAATTACTTTTAGGTTTATATAGAGATATTGTAGCATAATGTCTTCTGATCATTTCACTAGAGGACCAAATGTTGAGTGGGGCATCCTTCTACTATAGGATTTGGGGGAGTTATTTTCTCCTTCCAGCTTTTATTAGATCTATTATATTTATTCTATAACTGATAAAAGGATAGTACTGAAGAAGTGGAAATGTGTTCTCCTAAATTCTTTCTCAAAAGTAACTTCAGGGAAAAAAAAGGATGGCCTTATTTTTTTAGTTGCTACATTGACAGTAGTAAGACAAGAAAAAACTAGAACAAAGCATTAAATTTTACCCTTTTCAGATTTTAAAATATTGTACATAATGTTTTACTTTGGAATTTCATATAAATGCCCCTGATAAAGGTGCATTCCTACATAATGTACGTGCTATTTATGACAGAGATGGGATATTGACTAAACTCAACTTGTACAGATGGTATTACTGTCTAAAATGTAGGTTATCCTAAATTCTAGTTTTTTAGGATTTACAGAACCCTCAGTGAATCCTCTATTTGCAGAAAGCCAGGCATACTGAATAAAAATTCTTTCTCTGAGATTACATTTTAATTTATTAGATATCTAGGCAAAAGGAAAATGGTAACAATATTAAAGCAGTTGTCTCTCATCTGAGAATAGGCTTAGTCAACTTGATGCCACCCCAAAATCTGTTTTGATTATTGTTAATATTAAATTTGTGTTACTAGATAGAAATCAGAAGGTGCAGTTTTGTTTGTTCATTGTAAATAATCTCAATATTTCCTGTTTCTTTTATAGTCTAAAGAATGGCATCATAGGCTAAAGAACAATAAAGGGAAATGAAGTGATAAAAAGACAATATAAGGAATATATAAACAATATAATTGTACTGTATATATAGTGCCCTTAATAGCATCATACTGTCTGACCTGCAATTCAGCCATCTTTATTTGTTTGAGGCCTGGGAGTTGGAAGAGAGCAAAGAAATTTAAATAAGATTCAGTTATGGGTATAAATATATAGGTATATATGGAAAACCGTAGCAAATCTGCATATACTTGAATAAGCAGCTATGTAGGTAATAGATAAGCAGGTTCTGAACCCTGAACAAATGGCAGATCAGTGAGATTCAGACGTAAAAATAAAGTTTAACTGCACTTAGCTTTACCACTCCACAAAGCAGTCATGACTCAGCCATTCTACTGACCACTCTTTGCTAATTGCTAATGTCATTTCCCAGACAGGTAAATACAATTGGCAAAGAAAATGATTGACTCTTGAAAATGCATGCTGTCCAGACCCTTGGTAACACAGGATGTATAACTGAGCTTATTTTGCAGTTTTGTTTGTGGCTGTTTTGGTTGACCATGATCTAAAGATGCAACATGATGAAGTGACCTTTATTAACAAAGAGCAGGGGAAAAGCAAAATTAGATTTGTTAGAGTCTCACAATGAAAGGATAAAAGCTTCCATGATTCATCTGTTAACCTGAAGTCTTTCTAGAGCACATTTAGTGTGCAAAATGTTAAGTTTCTCTAATCTTTTCTATGAATTCTTGAGGTGAAGAATCATCGGAGGCTGTTTAATGACATGAACAATCATATGTTTATAGAGTTATGAATGGTATGAAAGGAGTGGAGAAAGACATTTTTTCTTTCCATCTCATATTGCATTATGCAGATTGTTGAAGTGTCAGATTGGCCATAGGGAATCAAATGTCCAGCACAGTTTTAAGAAGAATATTTTTCATCTGCTAAATTGGTTTTACTTCATCTTGCCATTTTTCTTGGCACATAATGTTGACATTTATTAATCGTTGTCACAACTTTAATCTATTTTTTTTCATGAGTCTGTTTGACAACTTTTTCTAAATGTTACAATTGGTTATTGATGAAATAGATTTTCATGTACATGAATATTCAAATAATATTAATATTATTTTTCCTCTTCTACACCCTCCACCCCATCCTTCCCTCTTTCTTCATTTTTGTTCGTAGGGATCTCTTTGCACCAGACTACACTGAAACTCATTATACCAAAACTGGAACAGCCCAAACCATCTGCTTGAACAAAACAGTTGAGTATCAAATGTAATTTCATGAGACAAATCCATTTGAAAACACAACCCTGGTTCCAACTTGGATAGGCTTTACACGGAACAAGTCTTGACTGCACCCTGAAAAAAATGATTTGGAGGCACAAAAAAATTGGAGAAAAAATTATCAAGGGAGCAGTTTCAAATACACTCTGATTCAATGCTGGGGTGGTAAATAAAGAAATATTCATTGGTCTTTTCCTTTTTTCGAAATGAGTTCATTGCTAAGTGTAATGATGTAATATGGAAGTAGTGATTAAATAAGAATCTGATATGGGATTTATGATAGTGGCTGCTACAGTTTTCATAACTGCAGCCGTCTATTCAGTTCATTTCTTCAACAAATCATCTTTCTATGACTAAATATAATAAGCCACTGTATTTTTTTATATCTTTACTGCCAAGAGTCATTTTGGAATAGTATAACATAGAAACTCCAACAATATATAAATACCATTCAGATGAGGCAGAATACTTGGAACAGCAAAAACAGAAATAAGTTCCATTCCTTTTCCAAACTGTGACTTTATCTTAAAAAGCAAAACTCTTTGAATCTACTATATTCCATATTAACAATTTATCAGATATTGTTTCATAGGATTCATAGAAATATTAGGTGTAGCTGTGTAATGATGAACAGCATCATAGAGTGTTGTTACAACTGCAGTGACCCATAACTACATAGAATTAGCTTGCAAGTTGGGTGTGGTCCTTGAAATTCCATACAAAATTGGCAGTGAACTTCCTTGGTGTCCCTACTACAGTGCTGTCTTGCAGCGATATGCTGATGGGCCACTGAAGTATAAAACAACAAACAACAACAACAACAAAAAACAACAACAGTGAACCAACCACTAGAGCAGTGATGGCTAACCTTTTTGCCGTCACGTGCCAAAAGCGGGGGGAGTGTGGGGAGGTTGCATGTGCACGTGCCCATACCCATAAATCGGATGCGTGTGCAACCCCCCGCACTCTCCCCGCTTTTGGCATGTGATGGCCCAGTGGGCCCGATAGGCCCATTTTTCTCCCTCCCCAGGCTCCAGAGCCTTTCTAGGAACCTGGGGAAGGTGAAAACGGCCTTCCCCAACCCCAGGAGGCCCTCTGGAGGCCGGAAATGGACCGTTTCCCATGTGCCGGAGCTGAGATAGAGCAACGCTTGCGTGCCGACCAATATGGCTTTGCATGCCACCTGTGGCACACGTGCCATAGGTTCGCCATCACAGCACTAGAGCTATCCAGCTGAACATATATGAAGCCATATTATTAATGTGCATTCTTTCTGATTGCCATGTTTTGACATTTCCTCTTGCACTTCCTACTAGTGTATTATCTGTTTGTGCTCTTGCCCATGTCTGATACCTACCCTATCCTTGCTCCCGTCTGCAGAGGACTCCTCATGTCATAAAACTGAAGAGATTGGCTATAACCTTTTCTTTTGCCTCAATAGCAAAGTACTTATACATGAAAATTCCAGATTTTAAATTTGTGTGTGATGTCTGTACCTTCTAAGCTATCCAGGCTAGAAGTGCTCATGAACTTAAAAATGGATATCATCCAGGAGCTGATCTTTCAACTTCTGCCTTCTGCTAAGTGGGATCTGAAAGCTTGTTATCCTCTCAAGGCCTTCCTAAATTAACATGCCAGCTGGCTGTTGTCCAGCCGGACCTCTCTTCTGAATTAACTGACTGGAAAAAAATGTTGACTGGCTAGCAGCACTTCAGATAGTGAATTAGGTGGTTTACAAATAAGTGTCCATAATAACAGCTTTCTTCTTCTCTTTACTGTAGTTTCCTAAAAGAGGCTGACTGTGCAACATTGTAATGACTGTTGGGTTGCGGATTTGTTGTTGTTGTTGTTTCTTTGCTAGTTTTCATAGTGGAATTCTATGCAGTACAGCTTTATCATTTCACAATATGTTTGTGGTTCCTCATAAGAAAATTGTACCCCAGAAGTCAGTAAAACTTTTTCAGCCAGAAAAGTTCCTGTCTTCTCTCCAAAGGTTTTGTTCAATAGAATAATAAACACATTGGTACATAGAATTCTCTCTCGCTTTCTTTTAAAGTAGAAATAGTTTTCCAAATTATTTTTTCCCTCCCCTACAAAATACTCTCTCAACATTTACAAATAAATGATGGTATCAAGGGTACAAAGGAAGTATTTGTAACTCAGGGCTGAAATAAAGGGTCCTTGGTGCTGTCTGAACTTAGTTGTTCAACCAAGAACCTCTCAAATGAGGGTATGCATACAAAAGTAAGTGGGGTCACAAAGCATACTAATCCATAACATAATTTATGGCATTGTCCAAACATTTTGCTCAGCCATGTTTGATTTAAGTGTTATTTAATGAAAACTATAATTGGTTGGGTTTATAACAAGACAAAACCAAGGTAACTGTATTATGGCTTAGACCAGTCTGGGAAACCCAGCCATTATGGACAATTCGGCTCTAAGCTTTATTTTGGTAGGAATGAGTAGAGGGAGAGATTGGAAAGGATTCCTATCTCCAGAGAGCTAAATAAGCCATGGTAGGATCACTTCTATGCCTTTTCATGCCTACTTTTCATGTAATTCAGACTTGGATCCCTACCAAAGGAGTGGGGTTAAAATAAATGAATCTGCAGGATGAGATTACTTGCTCATGACACTTCCTTTCACCCTCTCAGGATAATTGCTTTTACCATGGAAGAGTGAGGGCCGTTCGTGAATCAAGTGTGGTGCTCAGCACATGCAGAGGTCTACGGTAATTTTCCACCTCTTTCATGCATTCTCTGTTTACAAAGTAACAATTGCACAATCTCATAATTTGCAGTTAAAAGTTAGAGTGATGACTAAAGGACTTTAAAAAAAAATACAAGATAGATGAATGGCTAAATAGTGATAGACAAAAAAGAGATTTTTTTTCTGTATGCAGCTCTGCTGTGAAACCAATATTTCTGAGGATGATCTCAGAAGGATTCAGTAAGCTTTATTTGTATTGTTCCTTCCAAATACCACAAGATAGGGATGGGCAGCTTTTGGCAGCAGGACTGCTGCTGCTGCTCCTTCTCCTTCTCCTCCTCCACCATCACCATCATCAACAACACTACGGACTATTCTAAGATGACCACACTGCGGGGGGGGGGGATACTGATACACTCATTTGTTTTAAGAAACTTGACTTCTGAAAAAGAAATATCCCACTACATCTATTTTATTATTCTTTTAAAAAATCATTTCTTCAGAGTTTTGCATCAAATTTCTGTAGACTAATTTTAAAGGGCTTCAAGGGGTCATGAAAAAAAGAAGCTAGCCAGAGGGTAGCTTCACATAATTCAGAAATTGGAAGTTGGTTATCCTTGCTGTAAAAACAAATGTTGATTTATATCCAGGGATTCCACTTTTTTGGGATCTACAGTCTTCCTGTTTAGCTTATTTGGAATAAGATAATTGACTGTCTAACCCAGTATTATCCTCCTTAACTGGTAGCAGGTCTGCAGAATTTGGGGTAAGTGGGTTCTTTTCCCAAACTTCCCTGGAGACATGGAGGGTTGAAATCTGGAACTTCTGTATACAAAGCAAGTCTCTTCCAAAAATGCTACAGATAGTCCCCAGTTCTAACAAATGCCACAATCTTTCCATTTTCATTCATTTTTGCCTGATGTTATTTATCTCAGAACAGTTTTCTGAATATTTATTTTGGTCTTAATATTTGTAGCAATCTTGCAAACATCTGATCCTTACTAATATGAAGTTCTCACTTAGTAAAATCCTTGGATAGCAAGGAACCTTTCCTGCTGATTAACATATGCTAATTCTACAGTGCACTTAAGAAACTAAACACATTGTTTTTATAAATAGGACTTGGTTTCCTTTTGGTCACTTCAGAGCCTATTGAAAGCTGGGCTTCTGTCCAGCTAGGAAATAGCTTTGGCCAATTTTTTAAAAATCCTCAATAGTCTCAAGCCAAATTTAATGTAAACAAATTGTCTGGGTGTATAAACAAAATAAAGTCTTCCTTTTATGGCTGATACACAAGACCTGCATAAAATAGAAAGCATCACAGATGCAAGGTGAGCCACTTTCATCCCTCCCTCCTTTTTCCAGTGTTTTGGGCCCTGGCTTCAAAATTTCCAACCAAAATTGTAGTTTGTTGTTAATATTTTGATTGACTGCGCAGCTGTTCCATATACTGGCCAGCATCCTTTACATTATTTTAATATCGAAATAATTTGGGATTCCTGATCAAAAAGCAAAAGGTAAAGTCTTGCATATGTTTTTAATTCTTGTGGGAAAATAAAGCACAGCACAGCTAGGAAAGAGACTGACCACAGACAATTATTTCTTGCTTTGTACACTGGTGTTCATTAAAAAACAATTTGGAACTCAAGCCAATTATAACACTTAATATTTCAATAAAGCAGTTCTATATGTAAGCTATTACCTGAAACTTAATGATACTATTTTTTCTATAGAAACCAGGAGTAGGTTGTGAATACAGAAATATTGACTAAAACTCATTCTACGTGTATGAAAACATGCCAAATAGTGTTTTTAGCAGTTGATCACACTCCTATTTTATTTATTTATTCACATAGCTGCTCACCTTATAAACATGATGTGGTGTAACATAAATAGCTATAAATGAATACTATCGAAAATGTGCCTTATTTTTTTGAAAAAGCAATATTATTAAAAGACTAGGAGAATATTTACAGGCAGAAAAACATCTGACTAAAGAGAGAATTGGGTTTTTCAGAGGCTGATTTCCATAATAGTTTGCAATAGTTTTCAGTGACTTAAAAAGCCTTCCTTCCAAAAAAGACTGTGGAACTCGAAAAAATCAGTCACTATTAATTAATTAATTCCTTTGTTTCAATCAAATTATATGGCTGCCCATTTCACAGCAGTGACTTTGAGTAGCTAATAAAGTTCAAACTCAATTTTAAAAGCACAGGCAGTAAAAATAGCAGTAAATATACATAGACTGATTAGCTTGCTTAGACTTCTATATTTTAAAGGCCTTTCATTTTTATTACGAAGTCAATTATTTCCATTACTAATTTTACTTCAAGATTCTTTTATTCACTTAATATATTTAATATTAAGTGTATCACTGTAATATATTTAATATTAGTCTCCTTATAGCCATTTAAGAAAGTGGAATGGTCTTTTTGGGTCTCAGAAGTAGCCATGCCTTTTCTTTGTTGGGTTCAAAATTTAAAATCTGGGATTTTATTAAATGTCCTGGTTAGCTTTGAAAATCAAGACTAAAAAGGGCTTAGTGGCTTTCCAATATTATTAAATGTCACTCTTGTAAATACCAACTCTGAATTACATCTTACTAAATTCTGTTGTTACTAAATTCTTTATTTTTCTTTAGCTGATTTGCCTTCCCTGCCGTCTAATGGTTTGTTGAATTGTTTTTCAGTGGCCTTATAGTTATAAGCAGCAACCTCAGTTACGTCTTAGAACCTCTTCCTAATAGCAAGGAGCATCACTTCATCTACAGGTCTGAGCATCTCAAAGTTCCTCACGGAAGCTGTGGAAATGAGCATTTGGAGTTAAAGGTGACAGATTGGCTTGCAGAGTTGACAGGCCGAACTGAACCCCGTTACCACAGGGTATGTCTGAGTCACTCCTCCTATCTTACAGGGTGTAGCAACATTAGAGTGGGAGGGAGTAAAGAAAAATAAAGTGGTGCATTTGTTAAGCTTTCAAATTGCTCTACCTGGACTATTCCAGCAATCATTCAATCGCCACCAGTTGGAAAATATAGGCTAGTTTATTATCCCAATGCTGATGGATGGAAACCTGAAGCTGAGAAGTAACAGATAGTCCTTGCTTACTGACCGCTCGTTAAGCAACGATTTGAAGTTGCAATGGTGCTGAACAAGTGATACTTAAAATGGTTCTTGAAATTCTGGCTATCACAGTGTCCCTGCAGTCACATGACTGCGAACTGGGTGCTTGCCAACCATGTCACAATTATGACAGTTGCAGTGCCCCACAGTCATGTGATTACCAATTGTGACCTTCCCTGCCAGCTTCCCACAAGCAAAGTCAAAGGGGAAGCTGGCAGAGAAGGTTACAAGTCACTCAAGGAAATATATCCGCCCAGACTCAAAATCATTCATGTACATCATTGCAACCACTGCTGTTGCAACAACCCATATGTCCTCCTCCATCTGGTAGCAAGCCTGAAATCACTTGCATGCACTTTTGCAACTATCACATACTTTCCCCCACTTGGGAGTAGCCACTGACACCCCCCTAACCCAGCTGTTTCATCTCTTCGTTGGCAAACAATTGAGCAGAGAAGAACCAATTCACTTCTGATGTCCTTAAATATTTTCATTGCTTCATAAATTGCCATTTTCTTCCTGAAAACTCCAATAATGTCTGTGGTGGGTGAGGTAAACACTCTAGCATTGTTTATTTATTTAAGAATGTATATTCTTAAATAACTTTATTTATTTAAGAAGGCATATTTTAAATAAAGAAAAAATTAAACAAGCCCAAGGGTTTTTTCTAAAGTAGAATCCAGTCAGTTCAGAAATATTCTGTAGTGTTTATACTTGGTAACCTAAATAAATCATAATTTAAAACTTGTGATAAAATAATAGCAGCTAATATTTATAGGAGAATAGTTCAGTGAGTATTTTGGGCAGAAGCATAATGTCTTGATAAGAAAATAAGAATGCAAGTAATTTGCAATTATATATCTGTGTATGTATGACAGATGACTGAGAATAGGACTTAAATGAAGGGTAGACATGGTGAATCGTCTATATAAGAACAATTCCTAAATATATAGCTTAAATGTAGTTTGTGTGAGATACACCATTGATACTTAATTATGAACAGTTGCTCATCTAATGTATGACTGGTCATTATTTCTCTTAAAATGAACATATGTACAGAGGTTCATTGTTTGACCAAAATAAACAACAAACATGTATTTTTGTGTGTGTTTCTGCCATAGGTGAAGAGGGATGATCAACAATCAATGAAATATGTGGAGCTTCTATTAGTAGCTGATTATGCAGAAGTAAGAAAGTCACCTATTATGTCTAATTAGTGGTGAACTCAGGGCAGATAAAATACTAACTACACATAACATGGACAAATCAGCGATCCAAAGTCCCAGTTATGTTACCTTAGAAGTGGCTATGGGGAAATCCTAGTATCAGTTTTGTGACAAATAATTTTTATTGCACACCGTCCTGCCGAAGGTTAAGAGATAGTTCTGCCATGTGCCCAGTCAGTCTCTAGAACTCCAACTACAAGGATATGATTGTTTCTGAGCAGCCTCCCTTTAATTGTTGATCCCTAGTGTACTGAGGAGATCTGGGGATGAAACAGCTGAAAAGACACCCAGAGTGCTGATGTCACAAAATGAGGAAAAATACAATTAACACAGATACAACTCAGGTTCACGGCAATAAGAATGGTGCAACAGATTTATTGTGTCTGCGAAATTTTATCCATGGCACTTAAGATTACCTGAATTCTGTTCGATCTGGGCATAAGAGAAGATTTCTTAGTAGGCCACTGTGGCTGATTTGCAAAACACTTATAGTCAAAATCCCTCAGAATCAGGTGACACCGATACATTGAGTTAATGGAGATGATATCTTATAATGTAATCTGGGATTCCTTGGAGCTTGTAGACTGTGCAGTAGTAGCAGGGTTCTCTGCAAATGAACTCTTCCATCTGCACATTGGACAAAACTGTTGCTTTAGTTAACTAGTGGTGGTGGAGATAGATGGATTTAAGTGGTGGCAAGTGCTTCTTTAACAGCAGCTCTTACCTATGTTTAGTAGTTGAGTTCATTCTTCGTCTTCCACTAGTGGCATCTAGACATCTCTCAATCCATTTAAATCTCTCTTCATTCTTTCATATACCACAGAGAACACCAAGATCCCCCAGGTCAAGAGACACCACTTGGGCACAATCTTGTCTAAACCTCACTCACCTTCCTATTCCAGATGGCGACTAGGGACTTGGCAGGACTATGCAGCTTATCTCATAACCTCTTCGCTCCCTCTCAAATCCATTAGGGTCAATCAGTCATTGGGGCAGACCAATCTAATAAGTTTCCCCCTCCCCCATGAAAGGGTGCGACTCAGAAGATTATAGCTACCAAACTGTGATCTGACAACGATAAAGGGATTAAAGAAATGATTATTAATCCCAGATCACAAAGGCACCACACCTTCAAGAACACCAAATTGGGTGTGTGACCACTATTCCTAGCTGTGTCCTGGATGACTGGACAAGCCCTATAGATAGAGATGTAAAAACATTCTGTGTGAACATGTCTGGAATCTGTTTCTAATCAATTACTGGAACTAACTAGTGTAATTCCCAATAGGACATTAGATCATTCATGAATTTTTAATTTTAATTCCTTTTCCTCCTGCTCGGTTCTTTTCAAAGATGCGATTTCTGCTGACATCATGTCTCTGGGTAATTTGATTGTCTCACTAGCTATTTACTTGACTATTTTTTCCTATTTTTAATTTACATTTGATACAAAGAAGTATATATTCTCAGCCATGGTGACAACTATATTCATAGTCACAGCACATATCCATACATCATACACCTGAGTCTCCAATTATGTGACTCTGAATTTACCAAGTATAAGGTGCATAATAATACACCCAATAATTTTTTATTCAATTATCTTAGAGTGAATGTGCCATCTTGTCTTACTCATGAATTATAGCTAAAAGTGTTCAGATTCTGCTGAGTTATGGTTATAATATATTCTTAGTGAAATGAACAAAAGTGTCATTTCATTTTTCTTTCCCTCTATGGAAAAGGTGTGTGTGAGAGAGGGTGGGGGGAGACAAACAATAAAGGAGTTTCTTGAGATTCCGAATGTTTCCTTTCTTTATTTTGTTATATAGAAACATATAAATCACATATAAATCATATAAATCGGCATATAAATCGCAATAATAAATAAATAAATAAATATAAATTAATGCACTTAATTAAATTATGTTTCCTTAAACAGAAACAGGCAAGCTCTTCATAGTCAGTTCCCAAAAATGAATAAATAAATCTTACATCATTCTTTATTAAAGAAAAAGTTTATAAAGCCCACTTAAACCCATGGGATGGAGGGGATGAGAAGAGAGATCCAGCTTTCCAGGTGTTCCTTCACTTAACTCTCATTATCTCCGTGAATTATGCCTAACATATCAAATTACAGAAATGTATATTCATACATTCTGGTAGATTGAGTTGCCATAAGGCTAAATGAAGGTAATGCAACCAGCTAACCATAGGGAAGAAGGATTAAAAATATTGTTTTCTAAAACACAAGCTTTTGTTTCCAAAGACCCAAATGCTTCTGAAGTCGGTGCTTAAGATAATGCCTCAACTGTTGTAGGTAAAAAATGGAACAAATGGGAAGCAAACCTCCCTGGATTTCTTTGTTGGCTTTGGAAGTTGGGATACCATTCATATGTTACTGGTTAGCACTTAGCAATAACAATGGCACTTAGACTTATATACGCTTCATAGTGCTTTACAGCCCTCTCTAAGCGGTTTACAGAGTCAGAAAATTGCCTTCAACAATCTGGGTTGTCATTTTACCAACCTTAGAAGGATGGAAGACTGAGTCGATCTTGAGCTGGTCAGAATCGAACTCCTGGTAGTGGGCAGAGTTATCCTGCACTACATTTTAACCTGTACTACATTTTAACCACTGCACCACCATAGCTCTTAGGTGAAGCCTATTTGGTTTCTTGCCTTGCATCCCTATCACACCCAATCTTGTTGCCTATTAATACAATACAGAGATTGTAGCCCCTTGTGGGCTATGCTTCAAAAGAGATAGGCCAATTCCAAGTTTCTGATATGCTAGTGAAGTAAGTGCTGTAAGCATCTTCAAGGCTTCGAACAATCATTTTACTCAAAGTCCTGCCACCCAGCTATCCCCAGTTTAAACATTATAATCCGTATTTACCCTGTCTATTCTGGGCTGCTGCTACCTACATATGGTCTGCTCTGCAGGCTGTACTTTTTGCAAATGTGATGGAAATATTATTTCAAACTTCATACAACCGAAAACATTAAGACAGTGAAGAAGAACACTCATTGAATAAACATGTGGATACTTTACATTATTTATCAAACGTGATAGAAGTCAAACATGTACTAGAAGAACAGAAGCTAGGAAAAAGAAACTGCATTGGTCATGATGTTCTTAACTCAAAGAGTTAAGAGTTGACTTATAAGACTTGACTTATAACATCCATGGGATAAACTTGACTTGGATTTCAAATCCTGGCAACGAGGCAATAACGAGTTGTACATGAGTGTATCTACAGCTAGAAATGGCTGTATGGCACCTTATTCATTGTATTTATGAAAATGTAACATAGTTTTGATTGATTATTTTGCAGTTCAGCAGCACTGATTATGGCTGAATTTCTTTTTCTATTTCAGTTTCAGAAAAATAAATATGATCTTCAAGCAACCAAGAATAAATTGGTGGAAGCTGCCAATTATGTAGATAAAGTAAGACCAGATATATATGTTTTATAAAACCTGTTATCTTTTAAAATAAGAAATCAGGAAAAGCTGAATATTTAACTGCCTGTTTTGTGTAATTCCCCACATTTTCTAAAAAAGAAAAACAGAAACTAACGGATAGAAGAAAGAAACGTGGAGTTAAGATAAGGTTGTGGGAGAGTTGCCTTTTAATTTAATTATTCTATTACTAAAAAAAATACAATTACAGAACAATATTTATCTTCTAAAAGGATATATTCTTTTTATGTGAAAAGGAAAATTAAAGAGGAAAAAAAAAAGGAACATGCAACTATAGGAAGGAAAAAGTTTCATTAGAAAGTTTGTGTATTTTTATATATCATGCAGCCAAATTTTAAGATAATATATAATCGGTCTCTCCATGCTATCAATGGAATGTTGCTTTATAAAGAGAAAATGATTACATATCTGTAAATCCAGAATAACTCTGAAATAATGATTTTCCTTTCTACCCCTCATCCATGATCATATATCAAAATTCAAGAATCTGCAATCATGAATAATTATGGATATAACTGTAGATCCCAAAATTTTGGTATACAGTTTGAGGGCATCTTCACATCTTTAAACAACAGTGATCTTTATAATAGTTTATTAATCATTTTGTGAATATTAAGCAAAAAGGGAACATTAATTGAATCTTATCATAATGTCATATGAGCTGAGAGCAAGTTTGGTGGAGTAGTTAAAGCATCAAGCTAAAAACCAGGAGACTGTGAGTTCTAGTCCCATCTTGGGGTGCAAAAGCAAGTAGGTGACTTTGGGCCAGATACTCTTTCAGCCCCTGGAAGAAAGCAGTGGCAAACTATTTCTGACAAACCATGTCAAGAAAACTTCAGAGATCTGTCTAGGCATTCTCCAAGAATTGGACACAATTGAGCAGAAGATTTAAAAAAAACACAGGAGTAAATGTTCTCTCATCTGTATGACACTTCTGTCATAACACAGTTAGTAACCAACTCTTTGTAGACATTATGTGAGAAGTCCAATACCTAAACAAAAGAAATTGTTTATCTCATTTTAAGATATACCAATATGGTTGATATTTTTAAAATCCTTTCTCATTGATTCAATAGTATAGGATATCTTGACTAATACGGACCTTAGTAATATGAATTTTTCTATTTCATTTTTCCCCTGTGATATTGAAAATGTGATAATGCTCTTGAACGAAAGAATACCACTGATGGTGGGTGGGTGCTTTTGGAGCAGCTTTTGGTATAGGTTGCTTCTGTCCTTCACAATACCTTCTCTGTTTGGAGACGAATCCCAGAAACCTGAAAACCACAAAGAACTCAGTTTAGCAGGAGTTCTTTGAAACATCATGATATTATCTATACCATGTGCGTATCAAACTCATGTTGTCACAGTGGTGTCATGTGACTAATTGGGACTTTTCCCCCTTTTGCTAAACCGGGCATGGGCATGGCTAGCATGTTACGTATCCGGCCCATGGAGTTTGACAGCCCTGGTCTATACCATGGGTATCAAACTTGCTGCATCACGTTGCCATCACGTGACGTTTCATGACATTTTTCCCATTCGTGGAGCTAGGGTGGGCGTGGCCTGCATGTGATGCATCTGGCCTGCGGGCTGCCAGTTTGACACCCCTGATCCATACCGACATTTACTACTCAGGAAGAAAAAATAAAAATCTGTCACAAAACTTCCTTAGAAAGGTAGCTCATATTAGAAATGTTTCATAGACGCAAAGTCTGTTGATTAACTAAAACTCTTCTACTTTTCCTCCCTCCTTAACTTTTAGTTCTATAGGTCGTTAAACATACGGATTGCTCTGGTTGGACTTGAAATCTGGAATGACTACAATAAGTGTGACATCTCTGAGAACCCACATTCAACGCTTTGGTCATTTCTTGCTTGGCGGCGCAGATTACTAATAAATAAAAAGCACGACAATGCCCAGTTGATTACGTAAGTTGTTGATTTGGGAACAGTATGACTCCTCCCAGATGCCAATTACAGCAAGGATAAGTAACCTTGGACCAAATCTGGCCTGCTAGGCTAGATCAGTATTTTCTACTGATTTAAATGGAAGAAGGGTGAGGCTTTCTCATAATTCTCTCTTCTTAAGTTCCTCCCTGTGAGATCATCTATCGTACTTTGTATGGTATGCAAAATTAGATCTGATCCAGTTCCTCGCTGTTGTCTCAGGAGAGTGTAGTGCAAGCGGTCATATTAGGCTACATAAAATGGTCTCCTTTCAAAATGTAACTGCATGCATAGATGGACAAATTTTTATTCACAATTTTGTTCTCTTTCTTGTAACATGGTACAGTGGGATGTCCTTCCATGGTACTACTATTGGCTTGGCCCCTCTGATGGCCATGTGTTCGGCTTATCAGTCTGGAGGAGTAAATATGGTAAGTTACACTTGATAAATAAATTCTTGCTTTGTTCAAAACAGTTTGAAATAAATAGGAACAAACCCAAAAAGAGGAGATGTTAAGATGAGATCTTAAGGCTGTTTTTTTTTTTTTTTTCATCAGAAGGGTGGAATTTCAGGATCCAGTTCCTTTAATGGACATTACTGCTATGGTTTGCTTTGAAAAGCCGGACTGTTTAATTATGGAGAAGGGAGGGAAAATTAAACTTTTTTTCAGAAGATTTTGGGGGAGAGAAGAAATGTTTTGCTGATAGGTTTGTCCACAAAGGGGAACAAAATAACCAGAAGGGACACTGCGTGTTTCTGCCCAAATTGCTTTGTTGCAGGCTGCAACCTCAATCAAATAACACATGCTCACTCAATAAAACTTGCTAGGAGTAGCTTTGTTGTTGTTGTAGTTGCGAAGTCATGTCTGACCAATCGCAACCCCATGGACAACGTTCCTCCAGGCCTTCCTGTCCTCTACCATCCCCCGGTGTCCGTTTAAGCTCACGCCAACTGCTTCAGTGACTCCATCCAGCCACCTCATTCTCTGTCGTTCGCTTCTTCTTTTGCCCTCAATCTTTCCCAGCATTAAGCTCTTCTCCAGTGAGTCCTTCCTTCTCATTAGGTGGCCAAAGTATTTCAGTTTCATCTTCAGGATCTGGCCTTCTAAAGAGCAGTCAAGGTTTATCTCCTCTAGGACTGACCGGTTTGATCACCTTGCAGTCCAAGGGACTCGCAGGAGTCTTTTCCAGCATCATAGTTAACAGCCTCAATTCTTTGGCACTCAGCCTTTCTTATGGTCCAACTTTCACAGCCATACATTGCAACTGGAAAAACCATAGCCTTGACTATACGCACTTTTGTTGGCAGGGTGATGTCTCTGCTTTTTAGTATGCTGTCTAGATTGCCATAGCTTTCCTCCCCAGGAGCAAGCTTCTTTTAATTTCCTGGCTGTAGTCCCCATGTGCAGTGATCTTGGAGCCCAGGAAAATAAAACCTGTCACTACCTCCATTTCTTCCCAATCTATTTGCCAGGAATTGAGAGGGCCGGATGCCATGATCTTAGTTTTCTTAATGTTGAGTTTCAAGCCAACTTTTGCACTCTCCTCCTTCACCAGCATCAAGAGGCTCTTTAGTTCCTCTTCACTTTCTGCCATTAGAGTAGCTTTGGAACACTCAAAAGCAAAAGTACTGCTTTATGGTACATACTTAACATAAGAAATATGATACTAAACTACCACAAAACAAATTATGGCCACTATTTTAAATGGCTTTAAAACAGTATTAAATAAATTAGTGGAATTTGAATCTTTCAGCTGATAGCTCTTCATGTTCACAAGATGTGTACATCTGAATATTAATACAATGCTTCTCTCAGTCTCTCATGTCACTATAACAAGCCAATTATTTGATAGAATGATCCAGCAAGGAGGCCCTTAATGTTTTTTAAGAATGTATTCCTTAAAATGTTACATTTACATACAGGTAGTCCTTGACTTGCAACCATTCATTTAATGACCATTCAGCGGCACTGAAAAACAATTTATAACCACTTTTCACACTTACAAACATTACAGCATACCCACATCACATGATCAAACTTTGAGTGCGTGGCAACTGGCATGTATTTAAAATGGACAAGATTGGGCTATGATCTTAATGCACTCTCCTTGGCTGAATGAGCCCGGAGGGGTAAATATACCATAGAATTGTAATATTAAGTAATCTTAATTCTGTGCTTGGACAGGATCACTCTGAAAATGCCATTGGAGTTGCTGCCACTATGGCCCATGAGATGGGCCACAACTTCGGCATGAGTCATGATTCAGTTGGCTGCTGCTCTGCCAGTCCCAGAGATGGAGGATGTATTATGGCTGCTGCAACAGGGTAAGTTGTTTATGCACGTATACAAAAGGATGGAAGGCTGAGTCAATCTTGAGCCTGGTGAGATTCAAACTGCCAAATTGCAGTCAGCTGGCAGTCAGCTGAAGTAGCCTGCAGTACTGCATTCTAACCACTGCGCCACCGTGGCTCTGAAATGAAGGCCTTCACAAGGAAAGGGGCTTTATCTGAATTACTTTTTTGGCTATGACTGATACGTACAGTATGTAACCCATTCAGGGCATCCATAGGCAAGATCAAAATAGGCAAGGTGGACAACAGTGTCATAAGGCGAGAAAGGTCCCTTTCTTATGTGCACATGTTCAAAAATCAGGGCTTATATTGTAACATCACAGGTATTTAGTATTGCATTTAAATAATGTTATAATTCAATATTATACAGTAATGTCACACTGTACAGGACATCGCAGTACCCTTTTTTCATTGTCTCAATAGAATTTAGTACTAAAAGCATTAATTTTATTTTTTTCAGCTGTTTCGTATATAAAGAATTGAGCAAAACACTGTTAACATTTAGAACATTTAGAACATTTAGAACATTCAAAACTAAATTCCTTCTTTGACTCAAAGAGTTATGCACTGCTTGTTTTCACCTTTATAGGCACTTGGTCCAAATTTATCTCTGATTCTTCAGGAATCAAAGGCAATTTGATTCCTGAGTTACTTTCTTAGTAACACAGGAATCCTGAGTTAGTATCCTGATTTCTTAGTTACTCTTCCAAAGGCAATTCTTTACAACTAGGAAAACAATCACAGCAGCTGGCAAGTTAGAATTTGTCATTCAAAGTTATGGCCCTTGTACTAGATGATCAGGGACATAATTGTCATTCAGCCAACATCAACTTTCCAGCAAAGTGGACCAACTTTTTTCCTCTTTCCTTCCTTCCCCTCCAGTAGTAGTCCTACTTTTAGTGAACTAAGTCAAGTGAGTCACCAAAGTTACAATAATATTTATTAAAGGAACAAGTAGAGCTTGCGGCCTGGGGACTATTGTTAGATTTTCTGCAGGATCAACAGAAAAATGAAGTTTTGACTTTGTGATTTGAGGATTAGATTTAACTTGACTACAGAAATATTGTGGATTGTCAAATAGAGCTAGTCCTTGATTTAAAACCCACAGAGCCCAAAATCTCTGTTGCTAAGCAGGACAGTTGTTAAGTGAATTTTGCCCTATTTTATGATTTTTCTTCACACAGTTGTTAAATGAATCACTGCAGTTTTTAAATTAATAATATGGTTTTTATGTGAACATGAGCCAGTTGCCAAGTGCCCAAATTTTGATCATATGACATTGGGGATACTGCAATGGTTGTCATAAGTCACTTTTTTCGGTGCCATTGTAACTTTGAACGGTCACTAAATGAATTGTTGTAAATTGAGGACTACCTACATATGACTATAATTTATTTACAGTTAATAAGCTTCTATGTTTTACATTAATAACTAAGAATATGTTATTTTTTTAATATTGGTTGTCAATACTTTAAAGGTTTACTTAAACTTAGAGGTTGTTGTAATTATATAATTGTCTCTGTATTGAAAAAAGTCAAACATCATTTTATATATATGTTATTTTATGTATTCTTGTCACTTTTTAACTTTTCCCTTTTTCCTTTTCTCCTTCATGTTAATGTGTATTTTATTGGTTAATTTTTTTTTTTAATAAAGCCCAATTGTGGAAGCTTTCAGAGGTATTAATGCTTGAATAATAACACTCAGTTCAAGATTGCTCCTTGGGTGTTTTACAGGGCACCCTTCCCCAGAGTCTTCAACGAATGCAATAGAAAAGAGCTGGAACGGTATCTGCAATCTGGTGGTGGAATGTGTCTTTACAATATGCCAGATACAAGGACCTTATATGGAGGACAGAGGTGTGGAAATGGGTATCTGGAAGAAGGGGAAGAATGTGATTGTGGAGAAGTGGAGGTAATTCCTTTTGGTTGGTTTCACAGATTTTTCAGAATCAACTGGGAATTAGTATTTAGGTATTCCATAAGAAATAATGAGAAGTATGTTCTTCTAGTTATCTTTTCTATTATTGCCTCCGCCAAATATTTTTTCTGGTTTGAAAGCTTCTGTTTATTCTAGCAATGTGGCTTAGTTTAACTTAATGAACACGGGGAAGAGCTTCAGAATTATTTCCTTCCACCCATACCTCCTCATTCCCTTTTTCGCTACTTGAGAAGAACATCAATCCTCTTCTTTCTAGAGTTTAGAATCTTCAAATGCAATCCAAAAGTATTAGAAATTAAGTATTCAGAAAAAAAGCAGAGAGACAATACTGATGCTATTGTCCAAGAAACTTAGGTGCAGATTCCATCATTTGAGAAACTCAGACCTGATGTTTTGGTGTTTTGAACTCAATTTATTTGAGAATTGAAGCATTTGAGTCCCAGATGTGACATGTTTAAGAAGCAACTTTGAAGCTTCTTGGAGATTGTTATGCTTGGCATGAAAAGTAAAAGCATATCTAGCTACAATCTTACAAGCCACCCAGAAAGACAGCCAAATGCTTTCCAATGTTTTCAGATATAGAACATCTGTTCTGTAAGCGCAGCACATGTCATTTCTGTTATTTCTTCTGCAGGAATGTCATAATCCTTGTTGCAACGCTGCTAATTGCACTCTGAAGCAGGGCGCTGAGTGTGCTCATGGAACTTGCTGTCACAAATGCAAGGTGGGACTACCTTCCTTTTACCTCTTCCAATTCCTCTTCAGTTTCTTAATTTTAATATACATAATAAAGGCTTGAATTCTCATTTGAATCAGCACTCTGATTTGGAAAGATTGTAATCTCAGGACACACATCCTCTTCTGAATTACTGCAACAGGAAGAAAAGCAGGGTTAGGGTTACATGATTGCTTCATCTACTTGTGAGTAATTAAGTGCCAGAGAGGACTGGGTTGGTGGCACAATACCAAATAGGATGCCCTGGTGTGGGGAAAGGAGTAGAAACTGTGGGGGAAGGCCTTAAAGAACCCCATCTTCAGGTGGCCAGAGGGTTTGGTCTACCTATCATAACCACCTATCAAGCAGTGTGTCTTAACATGCCATACCCACACCATTGTCATAACTTAAGGATATGTAATAAAATGTTTGGGTTTAAGTATACAGAATTGCAGAAGTTGTAATCAGGAAATAATTTTAGTTGCAAATATGCATACACTGTTTCTGCATTTATTCTCAGGAAACTCAGTCATTTAAAACAGGTGTTTGTTTAACTGTGCAATTGTCCAAGGGCCCTGGATTTGGCTATTATATGGCCAATTCTACTTGTTACCAGGAGTTTTATGGCATTGTGCAAAAGTTTATAGAGTCAGTTTGATTTAGTGATTAAGGACATAGTCTAGAACCGTGATGGCGAACCTATGGCACGCGTGCCACAGGTGGCATGCGGAGCCATATTAGTGGGCACGCCAGCTCAGCTCTGGGGCGCATGCGCGCACCAGCCAGCTGATTTTCGGGCCTTCTGGGCCCACCAGAAGTAGGGAAACAGGCTGTGTCCTGCCTCTGGAGGGCCTGGTGGGGGGGTGGGGAAGGCCCATTTTTCTTTTTTACCTGGCTCCAGATCCTCTCTGTGTATGTGGGAAGGCGAAAACAGCCTTTCCCACTCCCTTGGAGGCCCTACGGAGGCTGAAAGGGCCCATTTCCCCACTCCCCGATGGGACAGGAAGTGACGTTTTTTCCTGTCCCCAGCCTCCAGAGACTCCTAGAGAGGCTCCTACAGACTCCTAGAGAGGTTCTGGAGGCTGGGGACAGGAAAAAACGTCACTTCCTGTCCCATCGGGAGTGGGGAAATGGGCCCTTTCAGCCTCCGTAGGGCCTCCAAGGGAGTGGGAAAGGCTGTTTTCGCCCTTCCCACATACACAGAGAGGATCTGGAGCCAGGCAAGAAAGAAAAACGGGCCTACCAGGCCATCATGTGCCAGGAGCGGAGGGGGGAGGGGATTGCGCACGCATGCGAGTGGGCACGTGTGTGCGCGACCCTCCCCCGCCCCCCCTCTCCTGGCACGCGATGGCAAAAAGGTTAGCCATCACTGGTCTAGAAACTAGGAGATTATGAATTGTAGTCCTGTCCTAGATGTGAAGGCTACCTGGGTATCAGGGAGAGAGAGTCAGTTATACTCTCTTAGTCCTAGGAAGAAGGTAAGGATGAATAACTTTTGAAAAATGCTACGAAAACAAATTCATGGCATGCCAATTTTCTGAATTGATACCAGGCGTCAAGACTGACTTGAAGACATCAGACAAAGCAGAGAAGCCTAAGCAAAACTAAAGTTTCTTTGTTCGTTTTATTCCATTTATATGGTTGCCCATCTCAAGTACGGTACATAACTCTCCGTGGTTCACAACATTAAGAACAATATATAAACACAAATACAAAATAAAATGCATAATAAAACACATAGCAGCTTGAAAATCATAAAAAGCCCTTAGTATAGCCAGGAAACAGGTGTTGTCATACACTCAGGATCCTAAACTTGAACACAGAACCAGGTGTTCAAGGCCCTATGGAAGGCCTGCAGGATTGGGCCAGTCTAATCTCTGGAGGGATCATGTTCCAGAGGTCTGCCGCCATTCTTCTTCAGGGCCCCACCAACTGACATTCCTTGGCTGACAGTACCCACAGCATGCCTCTCCTGCCAGATAGCATAGGATAGATAGAGACAACCAGGTTCTGATTTTCTCACTTTTATAGGTTTGGGAAGCCACCCAAAGCAGCTGTTTTGGCTAAAATTAGTCCCACCCTGAGATTAGAACTACAAACGCGAAGCTTGTCTTTCAAAGGAGGTTATTGACCCAGCTGGGCCTGAAGTTAAGCCTTCTGCTTGCTTGCGTTACCAGTCTTTTTTACATGTGGTGTCTGGCAAGAAAAAAAAATCTTCATTTAAAGTTTTCTCTGACTCTGCTTCTTACTGATGTCTGTTTTCTGTTGTCTGTTATATTTTACTGAATTTGAGAAATCTGGATTTCTCTACAGATTGAGCTTCATTTCCTGGGTAGGGTGGAGTAGATAAATATACAGACAAAAGATTCCTGCGTATCACTTTACATTATAGCTTTCTTAGGAAAATGTACTTAAAATAGTCTTGGTATGCTGGGTTTTTCCCATATGTCTCCTGGAGGCCCTGCTTTCATAAATGCATCCCTTGGGTTTGCTTAAAATTGCTGCTCAAGTTGGTCAGGCAAAGCCACTCAATATGCAACATTTGAATTCTTGCACACCATCACCATCTGATATTTTGGATTGCTTGTGGTGGCGTTCAAAAGCTTAGTCCTTTACATGGTGACAGCTGAATACAGCTGTCTGGATACCATCACAGAGCGAAAGTACCTTCCATGCAAATTCAAGCAGGGACCACATTCCCCATTACGGTGAAAAGTATCAGTGATTCTTAAGTGTTGCATGCAAACAGTAGTTCCTTTCCTTTGTTAAGCAAAGGAAGCTCCAGAATCAGCTTTAGAAGCATGATCTGCCTGAAAATAAATAGGGTAGCCTAGTGCTAGCAGAATATTGCCTGTTAAAGTGATCATTTAAAATTTATATAATATATGCCAGATGTTCTACTTGCTCTGTGTCCATTAAGCCACTTGCTAAAAGTTATCAGTTCATCCTTCCAGGAGCTTTTAAGCAATAAATACAATATTAAAAAAAAAAAACAGAAAATGCTGGGAATTGAACATGGAATATTTTCCATCCCAAAGGTGCTTTTTCAAGAGGCAACTGGACTTTCTTGTTTTTCTTTGAAGACATTTCACATCTCATTCAAGCAGCTTCTTAGCTCTGACTGGATGGTGGGGAATGGAAAGATTTATATTCCTTGCCGACAGTTGGTCATTTGCATTCTTTTAGGGAGTCGTTGAGGCTACTAGGAGGTTTAATATTTTCTATCCCAACTCTGGTCTCTTCCTCTGTTATAGGTTCTCCTATGGAGTGTAAGTAATTTGTAATGTAAAGTAATTTGTAATGTAAGTAATTTGTAATGAAGCATTAATGAAGACTAAATTAGGATATGGTTCAAGATTGCTTTTGTTTGAAAAAATGTCCTCGGATTTTGACAAAAAGAGATTCTTTTCATAGAGTTGAGACAACAAAAATGTAATTTGGGGGCAATAATGAGGAGTTTGTTCCCTTTAGTGATGCTTCAGGAATTAGGTTGAATGGAAATGAAATTTGCTATACAGAATGAAGAGAACTGAAAGTCAGTTGAGCTTGTCTTCAGAATAAATCTATGATATACACATCTGAAGCACCTAGATCAATGCTTAGCTACCTTAACTGAAATGCCAAGTATTCTACACTACTCTGAAATAAATATTTAATTATTTTCCCTTCCTTTAGTTGGTTTCATCTGGAACTCTTTGCCGGGAACAGGAAAGAACATGCGACTTACCAGAATACTGTTCGGGCAAATCACCATTTTGCCCTGCAAACTTCTATCAGATGGACGGTACCCCATGTGAGGATGGCAGGGCATATTGCTACAATGGAATGTGTCTGACCTACGAGCAGCAATGTTTGCAGCTTTGGGGATATGGTAAGGAGGACCAGTCTCTAAGAAAGACAAGAGGCCCCTTGCATTCACAGGTGTAAGGAAAAGGAAGGAGAAGATTGTTCTTATTTTTAGTTTATGGAACTATAATTACATCAAGAAAGAAGAATAGAGAAAGGGAAAATGCAGGTGTTCATCCGCAGAGGCTATTGTGATCAGTGAAGGCCAGGCAGCTACTTTTATGCATCATTCTGAGCCTTGCTTTGGTGAATTATGGTTTGTTGGATAAGATGTTAAATGGTAACAGTAACAGAGTTGGAAGGGACCTTGGAGGTCATCTAGTCCAACCCCCTGCTCACGCAGGAGACCTGTACTAGGGATTCGCACTGCTGAACTGCCGACCTTTCTGATTGACAAGCTCAGTGTCTTAGCCACTGAACCACCTAGTCAGGCTGTTGATTGAGTCCATATCATTCTACCCTAATCCTAACATGATCCTTAAAGTGCAATGGCTGGGTTGACACATAACACACTAAATCAGAACGCCATAGTGTGACCTTGCCAAGTCAAGTCTGGTTTTTTTTTTAAAAAAAAAATATTTTTAAGTTTGAAAATTGATTCAAATTTTCATCCCAAGGGCTAAAAAGCTTTTTAAAAATGCAGTGTGATATTTCTGCATGGTTTTATTTCAAATAATTATAAATATAGATATGTGAGGGTGGAAGTTTGTTCTCTGAGCTTGTGGGTTGGTTTCCAAATGTTTCATTACCAGGCTAGGTAACATCTTCAGTGGAATTTAGGTGATGTCAGTGTTCTTCTGCTTATAAGAGCTTCAGTGGGTCTTGTGATGGGGAGGTATATATATATATATACATACCATGTTTCCCTGAAAATAAGACCCTGTCTTATATTTTTCTGAACCCTGAAATAAGCGCTTGACCTTATTGCCATGCACTCAAAAGCCCAATTGGGCTTATTATCAGGGGATGTCTTATTTTGGGGGAAACAGGATATACATATTGATATATATATTGCTGATAAATAAAGGGAGACTAGTATAGATCTATTTCAAGCTTTTTAGCTTTCATCAGCTAGCCATACCCTTACTTGGATTCAAACTTGAGCTTCTTGCATGTTAGGCAGTTGAATTAACCTTCTGAGCCACAAGTTCTCAATATAAATTTGGTATAAAATGGTTTGTTGTGAATGCGACTGCTTGAGGGCTCCTGGATTGGAGCTGAAAGGGAGCAGAATGCCTCCTCCCACATGTTGGGGTAGACCAGGTGTCTCGATAGAAAAACACTTAATAGATAGATAGATAGATAGATAGATGATAGATAGATAGATAGATAGATAGATAGATAGATAGATAGATATTGATATGTATGTGTATATATATATATATATATATTATATTATATATAATATATATATATATATATATATATATATATATATGTTAGATATAATTATAGATAATCATAGATTATTTGTACATGAATACAGGTAGTCCTTAGCATATGACCATAATTAAGTTTTGCCTCATTTAACAACCTTTCTTGCTACAGTTGTTAAGCGTATCACTGCAGTTGTTAAGTTAGTAACACAGTTCTTAAATGAATCTGGCTTCCCCATTGACTTTGCTTGTCAGAAGCTCAGTAAAAGTGATCACATGATTCCAGGACACTGCAACCGTCATAAACATGAGTCAGCTGCCAAGCATCTGAATTCTGATCACGTGGCCATGGGATGCTACAGCATTCATAAATGTGAAAAACGGTCATAAGTCACTTTTTTTCATTGCCGTTGTAACTTTGAATAGTCACTAAATGAACTGTTGTATCTCGAGGACTTACCTGTAGTCATGTCTGGTAAACCCCATGAGGATCAGATGAAATATATTCCACGGGACAGTTTTGCCTGTTCTAGTGAAGACTATATTTTGTCCTTACTGATGGGTTCACACCCAATGCTACGCAGCTGTGTGATACAGTTGGTAAGTTACCTTTCACAAACACCGTACTATGTGAATCTTTTCCATACAGGAGCAAGGCCAGCCCCTGACCTTTGCTTTGAGAAAGTTAACGCTGCCGGAGATTCCTATGGGAACTGTGGGAAGGATATCAGTGGGAACTACAGGAAGTGCGACACAAGGTAGAAAGACACAAAGCCACCTGTTTTCATGTGAGATGAGATAACTCAGTATCCTCACAAGTTAAAAGATGAGAAAAATGAATCCAGCCTATGTTGCAAATAGCTGCAAATTCATTGGCCATTTTGTTAGACCAAATTGTCATTTTTGCTTTGCTTATATTAAAATCTTTCAGAACAAGTTCATACCCTGACTTTTCTGGTTGTGGAAAGAGTGAGATTATTTTTCATGACCTCATCATATCTATGAACATTTTCCTGCTGTTCCTTATTGCGTACATAAACAAAAAGAGCCTTGATAGTACAGTGGTCTACGCACCCTGTTATTAACACAGCTGCCTGCAATTTACTGCAGGGTTCGAATCTCGCCAAGGCTCAAGGTTGACTCAGCCTTCCATCCTTTCTAAGGTAGGTAAATGAGGACCCAGTTTGTGGGGGCAATAAGCTGACTTTGTATAAATATACAAAAGTATGAAGGCTATTGCTTAACGCACTGTAAGCCGCCCTGAGTCTCCGGAGAAGGGGGGGCATATAAATCAATTTTTTTAAAAAAAATGTCGATTAAACGGCAGAGAAAGGACTCGTGGGTTGTGTGAATGTATCATCTGAAGTACTTTTCCCAATCCAGATAGGAGCTCCTTACTTCTTCCAGCAGATTTCTCTAAAAAATCTTTTGAAGCTTAAAGCTTTTCAACAATTCCAGATTGTTTTCATAAATAATCCCCTTTTTTAAAAAAAGAAAGAAAAGCCACCAATACTTTGGTCCCAATATGGATCAGGACTCTCCACACTTGATACTGAAAAGAAAGAGATACAGTGTTCTAAGGTGGGATATCAAAATGCTTTTCAAGCCGTATTTTGTTTTACAACTATAAGCATGCTCATTTTCTTGCAATTCTATCATCCTTAGATACACAAAGCAAACAAAGGTTTTATTAATGAAAAGCAGAAGTAAAATTGATCTCAGAAAGTAATGGAAAGTCACAGTAAATGTCTGAATACTTGTACATAAAACTCTATGTGACACTGGGTTTTTATACTTATCCTATTATTGGTAGGGTAATTTTGAGGTCAGTGAACATGAAAAAGGATATTCTGCATCTAATAAATATACTTTTCAGGACATAACATGGAATGTGACTGACCAGGTCCCTCAAGACTCTTCATTTTATTGGAAGTGAATAATGTTATGGAAGCCTTTGTGTTGGGTGTGTGTGAAGCTAAGATCTTAGCCAGAATACTAAGACTCACAAAATTTTCCTTTCCAGAAATGCTAAATGTGGCAAGATACAGTGCCAAAGTTCTGCTTCCAAGCCTCTGGAGACCAATGCTGTTGCAATTGATACAACTATCAAATTAAATGGAAGAGAAGTTCATTGTCGTGGTACCCACGTCTATCGAAATGAAGAAGATGAAGGAGATATATTAGACCCAGGACTTGTGATGACAGGAACCAAATGCGGTGACAGTCACGTAAGCACTGGATGCCTGTTGTACCTTATTCCACTTTTAAAATACATGTTTGCTTTTCCCCAGAATTAATTGCATGCAACAATTTGTTTTAGAGGTTTAATACAACTTTGAAAAAAAGAGAAACACCCAAAGGGAATCCTCAGAATCAACAACTTGGAGTAAGAAGGACCTGCTGGGTGTAGCTTCCCTCCCTTGGAGCGGGTTGCTCTTTGGCTAAGATCAATGCTGTCAGTCCCATTACAAGTCTTGAATCTGGATGTAGTCACACTCTACACAACATGTTGGATCCGGCATTACAGATTTATGCAATTTGGGGGACTTAGTTTAGTAACCCTTCATCTCCCATAAACTATTGCTCCTTCTTCCCATATATTAACTTCTATTAGTTGGACCATGCTAGCCTTAAGCAGATGCTGAGAGCAATGGCCTTGCCTATGGGATAATTGCAAGAGTTGGCTTCGCAGAGTTGATGCAGTGGTTTTATACCCCAAGCCTGCCTTGTACCCAAATCATTTAATAGCATTATTCCTGTAGTACAGCATTTCTTAAACATTTTTTACTATATTAAAAATTAAAGTAGACACATTTTCTAGGATTTTAATACTGCATTATTTTTAAACATATGTTGGCAAATAATTTTGATTTCATGGACCTCTGACAGGGCCTTTGGGGACTTAGAACCACATTTTAACAACCACTACTCTAGTATAATTCTGAATATTTGGTTTCTCCTACAGGTGTGCTTTGAGGGCCACTGTCAGAATACCTCCTTCTTTGATAGGGGACATTGTGGAAAAAAGTGCAATGGCCATGGAGTAAGTATCTGTCCTTGTATTCAGATATCATGTGACTGTATATACCGTATTTTTCGGAATATAAGACACACTTTTTTCCCTCCTAAAAGAGGCTAAAAATTTGGGTGGGTCTTATACTCCAAATGTAGCTTTTTTGAAGCTTTTTTCCAGTCTTAATGAGGCACTAATGAGTGAAGCAATCTACCTCCGACTCTCAGCTATGCTTCAGAAGCTTTTTCAGGGAAGCGATCTACCCTTCTTTGCCTGGTACCTCCGACTTTCAGCTGTGAAGCTTTTTTCAGCCCTAACAAGGCACTAGCGAGTGAAGCACTTTGCCTGCTCCCTCCGACTCTCAGAGGCGCTAGCGAGTGAAGCGCTTTGCCTGCTCCCTCCCACTCTCAGCTGTGAAGTTTTTTCCCAGCCTTAACGAGGCGCTAACGAGTGAAGCGATCTCCATGATTTCCTGCTTTTCTCATTGCTTCTCTCTCCAAAGATCAGTTGTGCTTTAGAAGCTGTTTTTTTTATCCCCAAGCCGGGGATAAAAACCAGCAAACTAATGTGCTGAAGCTGACCAGACTAAGGGCGCTAGCCAGATGAATACCTGGTAGGTAGATTTCCCCCCCCTATTTTCCTCCCCAAAAACTAAGCTGTGTCTTATACTCTGAAAAATACGGTATTCCTTGCTGTCTTGGCTAGCTCTTATTCTTTTTGTTGGGTTTCAGAAAACTAATAGATAGCATCCATGGAGAAAGATGTCCTATCAAAGATATGCCTGGCTGTAGAAAGACTTCCAGTTCAAGTGTATTTGGAGAGCTAGTTTGGTATGGTGATTAAGATGTTAGCCTAGAAACCAGGAGACTATGAATTCTAATCCACTTTAGGCATGAAAGCCAGCTGGATGATCTTAGGCTACTCGCTCTCTTAGCCCAACACATTTGGGTGGGGAAAATAGGAGAGAAAATATTACAAACATGTATGTCCACTGTTTTGAGTTACTCAAAAAATAATAAAGGTGGGTTAAAAATCCAATAAATAAATAAACTCTTCCTCTGGAACAGGGATCAAACATATTGTTTAAAATCAGTTTAATTTGTACATTGACCAAAATATATTTTAGAGCAGAAATTTACACTGCATGTGTCCTTCTAGCACCCCGTCTGTGCCCTGCCAGCCCCTTGAAATCATGTAGCTAAAATTTGAGAGCAATATGCCCATTTTTAAGTAAGCAAAACAGAATAGGAATTGATGAGAACAATAAAATAAGAAATAAAAGTAAAATTTCAATGGCTATAAATGCTTTTGTACTTTTCGTGGAACAAAATGCAAAACATTTTTGTATTTATGATCTATTTTTTTTTTTGGAATATTTTTATAGCAAAAATGGGATTGTTCACTAAACAATCCCAAGTGGTGGCTAAGAGGTGGTAGAATGGTGAGACAGAATACAAAATGTTAGAGTAGGTGTCCGTCATGCAAAATTAAATCGATACTTCTCTCACAGTTTTAAACAAATCTTAGGGTTCTCTTCAGAACATAAAGATAGGCTATGAAGTATTATACTGATCTTAAATATCAAATGTTGGAAGGACGGCTTTCCTTAAGCTGTGGTTTTACATTTGAGAAGAAGTTATGGCCATTTGTTATGGAGAGGGTATTTATTGGGAGGTTAAAAATAGTGGGAAGTCATCTCTGTTCCTCTTCAGGAATGCACATATAACCCAAAGTGAATTTTGAAAGATGCAAATATACCCTTTGTGGCTTAAGTATTAAAAAAGAAAAGAATGTTTAAACACTGCATTTCTTGGGAGGGATGATGGACATAACCATGGATTGTTGGGGTGACTTTTAAATGCACTGAGCTCTAACAAAATCCAAGGCAAGTTGCAAAGGCTTCTTGTGTTATTGGATTGACCTGAGCAGGGTGTTTACTACAGAAGTAACACTGATGGTGTTCTCTCAATACAGATTTGCAACAACAATCACAACTGCCATTGTTTCAGTGGATGGGCACCTCCATTTTGTGATAAACCTGGAAAGGGAGGAAGCCTGGACAGTGGCCCCATGCTTGAAAAAAGTGGGTGTGATTTGTATTGTTATTTGATCATTGACATGTGAACAGAGCTTGTGGGGCAGGGATTTGGCTGAGCAGAGGAGGCACAGGACCACAATATATTTGGTGGTCCATACCAATATAACTGAGGGAAAGATGGAGTATGGCAAGTGAAGTTTTTGTCTCTCTCATATTCAGCATTGGGACACATGATACAGATATGCCCTTCACTATTACCTGTTCAAATGCTGGCATCCTACAGTGGGTGGGTTTGGGTTTTTTTGAGGGGTGGTGGTGGTTGCATTTTAGCACAATCAATGGATTTGAATAATTTTGACTTTTTTTTTTTTGCGGTCCAGATCCTATTCCAATCATCATAGGTGTCCTGGTTTCCATCTTGCTTTTGACTTTAATTGGAATAGCTTTATGCTGTTACAAATGGAGGGCCAAACTTGTGCCAATTAAGAAGACTATCTTTGCTCCCAAGAAAACCGAACAGCCAAGGTGAATGAATGAGTGAGTGAGTGTGTGAGTGAGTGAGTGGGTGGGTGGGTGGGTGGGTGGGTGGATGGATGGATGGATGGATGGATGGATGGATGGATGGATGATTTGTCAGTAAATGAGATGATTGCTTTTTTTTTATGGTAAGTAAGCATGAGGGTTGATGTGATGTTGCTCATATCCCCTCATATTTCATTTGAATTCTGGATACATATGCATGACAAGCCAGTATTCTTTTATTTACTGTATATACATATATTATAAAGGTACCATTAGAGTTTCTGGAAAAGCTTTATAGACCATATTCAAGGCTTTTAGGGAAAGGTTACCTTTGGCAAATCTCACTCTGTAGACTCCTGCCCTAAATTGATTTACAAACACAGTGGCTGAGTACATATAAGAGAGGTGAATTACATATAAGAGTCTTAGTATAGTGTGTGAACTATAATTTGAAATATATCCAGGGCATAATTCCACTTATATTTTAGATAACTATTCAGACCTGTCAGCACTTACCCTATAGATCTCCTGCTAGAAACATTATGAAAAGAAGTCTCTTTGTTATATTTAACAAGAGATTTCACCCATAGAAATATGAATTGTTACAATTTGGCTACTGAGTATATCGGCCTTTTTGCAATGTTAGTCTAAATAAAAACATGTGGTTTTATTTGTAAGAGAAACCGTTATACAAATAATGCAAGTGCAGTGCAGAAATGATTTATAATACTCGTTTGTCCCTATTGTTTGGATACAGCCCACCTCCTTCCATTCAGAAGGAAGTGAATGGACATGCCAACCCAGCATTCAAATTGAAAACTCCACAAGGACAGAGAAAGGTACTTTGAAATGACTAATTTCCATTCAAACCTCTGTTGAGCCATGCTCTGATTCTTCAGCATTTTGAAATACGCTATCAAACAAAACAGTGGTGGGTTTTCTACCAGTTCATCCCAATTCGGGAGAAGAACAGGTAGTGGCGGCGGCGGGAGGCTCCACCCACCCGCCTGGATGTCATTATGGATGCTCTGCGCATGCGCAGAAGCACCACGCACGAGTAAAGTGCGAGCGCGCACATGCGTGCTTCTGATTCCGAACCGGTAGCGAAAGTAAGTGGAACCCACTTGAAACAAAAAAGATCATAGTTGTACAACTAATTTCCTTGTTATGTTCTAAGAAACTTGTTCCATATGTCAGTTCCCATAAACTCTGAACTAGACCATTTTGGGATCTTCAACCATTTTTTTCTCACTGCAAATAATTATTTAAATACTTATTAATTATTTGTTAATTTATGTTGTACTCGAGGCAGTATAAGTAGGGGGTCTGTCATTTTACTCTTAAAGCAATGCCCCAGGGAAAGGCTGGTCTAAAATATAATACCTGACTCAGTTGCTCAGTGAGTCTAGTGGAGGCTTCTAAGCTCACCCTCTTAACCACTATACTATAATGCCTCTTAATTTTGTCCTATTTTAGAGTTGCAAATTGTATTTATTGCAAATATTTCCAATAGGGAACATGTATAGATTATATTTTAAATGTACTCTTCCAAGTGCTGGAACCTATAAAAGTAAGGACACAAGAATGAACAGAAAAATCCATACACACACACACACACACTCACACACACACACACACACACTCAGCCAGGACATAAAATATATTGGCAGCACTCATTCAAGAAAGATACTTGGAAAATAGAAGTGCAGTGATTGCTGTAAACTTATTTGATCTCTGTGAGTATTTGCCAGAGTAGGGAAAAGATAAATGAGTTTGACCTCTGGTGACTTAATGGACACATTTCCCCAGGAAGTTTGGAGTTGTTCTTTGACTTCCAATTCTCACTAACCATGCAAATCCCTTGAGGTCCCCCAATTAAGCATGAACTAAGTCTATCCTAAATTGTTTTGAGCCCAGACAGGGTCAATTCAGTGCTGTCCCCTGTTGAAGCCAGAAAAAAAGTTGTTTGTCAATCAGCCGCACTAACTAATAAAATAGAAATGCCATCTTCCTCTTTGTATGATTTGCTTGTAGATTACTGATATACAGAATGCACTCTCAAATCTGAAGTGCTATACTGCGAGCCACCTGCAGAGCTCAAGAGACAGGGGCAGCCACCACCCCCGGCTTTTCCACCTAACTACACAAAGAAACCCCCCTTTCTGGAACATCGTACCGAGGAGAAGCATTTGCCAAAACGAACTCCGCCAAACAGGCCCGCACCTCTGCCTCCAAACGTCATGGTTCAGCAGGTGAGGAATTTTATACCTATGAAATCCTCTTTGTCAATAACTCTGGGTAAGCTGTACAGGTGTTTTAAAAATAGCAAGCATTCAAACAAGTACATTTGGTATTTGCTACCAAATGTGTTCTGATGTAACTTTAGAGTAGAAGTATCTGCTTCAATCTGCATTGTATAATTGGACCATATATTTTTCTCAACACAGATATAAACAGTGTATCATTTGGGTGTGTCTCAGGGGTGAAATGCTCCAAGTTCAGACCGGATCGCCCAATCCGGTAGCGATGGTGGCAGGTGGTTCGGAGAACTGGTAGCAAAAATCCCTGCCCCACCCCCATGCCCAGCTGAGCCGCATGATCATCAGAGGCTTTTTTTTTAATTTTAAAAGCATTTTTTCTAAAACCTCTTCGGCCGAAGAAGTTGTAGAAAAAATGCTTTTAAAAGTAAAAAAAAAAAAAAGTTGGCCACGCCCACTAAGTCACATTACCCCCCACCAAACCATGCCCACAGAACGGTAGTAACAAATTTTACATTTCACCACTGGTGTGTCTTATATCTGAGATTGACTGTCACTTGTACTGGCATGACCTGGCCTATAAGAGGAGCACTCATAGTTCTTTTGTGTAAGCAAGTATTGACAAGGAAAATATATAGGATTATATAGGGTTTTTGACTGACAGGTTGATGCAGCAAGGAAGCATAGTGGTTGATGTAATATACTGAAAGTAGTTCAGGATCCAGCATTACTATAAGAGAAGTATTTATTTTCAGGAGAATGGTTTTGCTTGTATATATTAGAATGAGGGGGATGCAGTGGCTCAGTGGCTAAGACGCTGAGCTTGTCGATCAGAAGTTCGGCAGTTTGGCAGTTCGAATCCCTAGTGCTGCATAACGGGATGAGCTCCCGTTACTTGCCCCAGCTTCTGCCAACTTAGCAGTTCGAAAGCATGTAAAAATGCAAGTAGAAAAATAGGAATCACTTTTGGTGGGAAGGAACAGCGTTCCATGTGCCTTTGGCATTTAGTCATGCCGGCATATGACCACGGAGAGGTCTTTGGACAGCACTGGCTCCTCCGCTTTGAAACGGAGATGAGCACCACCCCCTAGAGTCGGGAATGACTAGCACATATGTACAAGGGAACCTTTACCTTTATCAGAATGAGAGAATTAAGCTTTTTAAAAAAGATTCCCATCAATAGACGGCAAAGGACTTGCATTTTTGTGTTTTGGTGGGATTACTGCCAAAGTTTAGTAGACTAATATATTGGGGCCTGAGAGCTGCAGAAAGGGAAAGTGGGGAGCTTCTCACAGATTTCTCTTACCGCCCTTACCACTTCATCTCAAACAGATTGAAGTTCGTTGGCAAAACCAATAAGGTTGAAATGACAGCACCACCTTGTGTCTAATGAATTTCCCTTCCAATCTCTTCTCTGCATAGAACATCTCATTTCAGTGATGAGGAACTGAACTTCATTTTTAGCTTGGCATAATGTATAGTGGGTTTAGTAAACCCTGGGTTCCAGATTTTTAATTTAGCCTTGTGGGTGAACCAAGCCATGTCTCAACATTATTTTTTAATAGTTCCTAGGCCCTAACAGGCTACAACTGTTCATTCCTTGAAACCAAAAGTGCCCAAAACATTTCCTGAATCTGATTGTGCAAATACATCATGGATGTATGACATGACAATTACGATACTTAGATTCGGAATCTGTCTGATCTGATTTATCTACAACAACCAGAGAGCCTGTCATGGGACTTCAGTGAAAAGACATCTGAGACTGATGCAGCGTGAACAGAATGTTGTTATTGTATTTCATACTAACTGATCTGTTACTTCTGCAAGATCAGTTCCAGATCAGTCATGTATAGCACGTTGGTTTCTTATATGAGAATCAGCAGCAGTTATGAGCCAGTTATGAGCACTTAGACATATATACTGCTTCATAGTGCTTTACAGCTCTCTCTAAGCAGTTTACAGAGTCAGCATATTGCCCCCAACAGCCTGGAATGATGGAAGGCTGAGTCAACCTTGAGCAGGTCAGGCTCGAACTCCTGGCAGTGGGAATGCAGAGTCATCCTGCAATACTTGCATTCTAACCATTGCACCATAATGGCTGTTGATACACACACACACAGAGACAGAAAAAACATGGTGGGAACAATTTTTTTTTCATGTACATCTTCTAAAAATGCAAATCCGTGCATATTTTTGTCTTGCATAATATTTGTATACACCATAAAGCGTGAAAAGGAATAGCAGAATATAATTATCTTAAATTGATCTTCGCAAATCTGGTGGCCTCCGGGTGTATTGCATTGCTGCCCAAGAATTCTGAAGTTGCAACACCACCACATTTGGGCTGTTTTACTTGGGGAATATACCTTAAATCGTGAATGTTTTTTCTGCCTAATAAATTGCTTTCCTTTCTGAGCTCTTCTAATGTTCTTTATACCACACTGTTAATAGATATCTGTTTATCTATCCAGTTATAAGATCTGTATAATTTTCTCTTTCTTTCTTTCTTTCTTTCTTTCTTTCTTTCTTTCTTTCTTTCTTTCTTTCTTTTCTTTCTTTCTTTCTTTCTTTCTTTCTTTCTTTCTTTCTTTCTTTCTCTCTTTCTCTCTCTCTCTCTCTCTCTCTCTCTCTCTCTCTCTCTCTCTCACCTATCTGTCTATCTATCTACCTACCTACCTACCTACCTACCTACCATCATATCATATAAAATAAAAATTGAAGAATTCTTACTTTTTTCCCTAGGATTCTTCCCGACTAAAACCACCTCAGAGAGCACTTCCGGCTAATCCAGTCTCTTCAAGCAACAGGGCGGGGTTGTCCAAAGTGAATACAGGAGCAGTACCATCCTATGGCACTTCAAGGAATACAGGAATACATGCAGCCTTGGCAGAGGTGAGCTATAAAATGGTAACAAGGATATATAAATAAAAGATAAAGGGGGAAAAATAACACTCGAGTGTTGTGTGATATTTTTCCTGTTTTGAAATATTCAATTGGACACATGATACCAATTTTTTTCTTGTTTTTTGAGGAGAACAGAAAGATAAGTTGATTGATATCCACATTTTATTTGTTCAACTTTTATGCTGCCTTTCTCCGAAGACTCACATAATTGTAGCATGGTATTTTTCCAGGGGTAGAAAAGCCTAAAATTAAAATTCACCAAGAGATGAATTTTAAAATAGATGCAAAAACCGCGAGGCAATGAAATGTCACTGGAAAATTCTCAAGGCTCCAGATAAGCCTTTCATGGGAGACTCTTTAGTCACCTTCCTCAATTGTCACTTGCCTCAATTGTCTTCCTGAAAAGAACCCTTTATTAAACCCTGAATTAAAAGGTGAAAACAACCCAGGAATGACTTGGAAGCAACAGAGTCACAGATCTCCTCGGAGGTGAGATATGCTTGGATCCCGGCATCTCTGAAGAATCCCTAATGGTTCTCCTTGGCTCTTAAAGAGCCAGTGGTTTGTCCCTTCTTCAAGTAGCCTTTGCCTGAATCCAGTGGTACTGGCAAATTTTGTCTGGTTTCCAATTCTTCTATTTAGGGAAGGTTGATGGAAAGTGATCAGTTTACAGCTCCTGTATGTCAGAGTAATGTTGGTTGAAGATATGAAAATGTGTATATGTTGTATGTGGATAAAACCAATGTTGTTGTCTGGGAACTCATATGAGTGAGGAGCAGGGATCTTAAAATTACTGCATCAAAGATCAAGGTAGTTGCATGGGGGGGGGGGAATTGAGTGAATTAATGCAACATATACCTCGATGGTCAGCAGTTAGTACAAGTAGGTACATTTGTGAACTTGGGTAGAAAGTTTAGTAAATAAGGGAAAAAGCAGAAATTTTGGAGAATGCAAATCCTGATAGAAACCTAGTGGCTAACAGATGGTCTAAGAGAATATTGTTAGAAGGGACCTTGGAAGTCTTCTAATCCAACACCTGCTAAGAACAACAACATATTTTTATGGTCAATGATCAGTGCAAACATGAAGTAAAGTAGATAAAGCATTTTAGATTAAGATGCATTACATATTTAGTACCCATTCTATTTTATTGCATTCAGCAAAGCTACAGTATGTGGATCAGGTCATAATTCACATACGGAAAGAAGTGACGTGACATTTAAAATGTTTGCATATTGGCAATATCCATCTCCATCGTTTCATCTAAATGCAAATATATCTCTAGTTTCTCCTATCCAAGACAAAACAAATACTAAAATTATTTTATCTTTTGTAGAATCGAGCCATGAGAAATCCGGGAGCGGCAAATACTCTGAAGTTTAGAAGCTGAAATTTGTCCTATGGTTCTAAAATCTGCATCAATTCTATTTGGTTTCACCTGGAATTTTCAAGGGCTTTGTTTCATTTTGTACAAGTCTTGGGCCTAAAGTAACTGAGATCAATTTCAAAGCAACCTTTAGGAAAGGACCTATATTTTGTGGCATGGGCTGATGCAATTCTCTAGAAAAGGTCTAGAGATCTCCCAGTACGTACCAAGGACCTTTCTCCATTACAACATTTGTTTGTTTAAATTGACATGTAGAGGGAAACAGAGGACTTAATTACTCCTGTAATTCATTGTTTCAACAATAGAAGATTGATTAATCAACACTGCATAATGGAGGCAATATATCTGTCTCTGAACACTTTCTGGAACAAAATCTTAAAGAAGAGAGAAATGTGATGCCCTAAGATCATCGCATGCTGGTGAGAGATCCTCCCAAACTACTTTAGATCATAGAGAAGAGTTTCCCAATTTGAAGAATTTTGCTGTATATGCATTTAAGAGAAGAATTTTCTTTCCCTTTAAGGAATCTTTTTACATATATTTAATCTCTTATATTCTTCTATGGCATCAGCTGTCACTCCAAAGTTTTTTCAGTCCACACTTTTCAGAATTTAGAAATTTTAGCAATGTAAGTGCAGTGAGTCCATATTTTGCCTTGAACTTCCACGATTCTCTGAGGCATACTCAGGTCTATTTCAGTAGTGGGTTTTAAAACCTGGCGCTACTGGTTCGCTATTGGTAGCGCGCAGGTAATGTGTGCTTGCTTTGTGAGCGCGTGGTGCTTCTGCGCATACGCAGATCATTTTTGATGACGTCTGGGTCGGTGGGCAGAGCCTCCCGCCACCACCACTACTGGTTTGCCTGAACTGAGGCGAACCGGAAGCAACCCACCACTGGTCTATTTGCCTTGGAATTGTAACAAGTACTGACCAGCTATGCAGGGGTGTTTTTGTGATGGCAAATGTTTACCTTCAACCTTCAACTGGTCTTGACATCATTTCTTCTCAGCTGTTGTTTGCTTCAGATGTCTTATGTATCTCTGAAATGCAACTTTGGGAAATGATTGCTGAGCTTTCTTCAAATGTTGCATGAGGTAATTTCAACAGAAAGTGAAGAATGGAGAGATGCTTCTAATACGACACCCATCTCTATTCCAAAAGAAAATACGTGGAAGGAACTTCATAAACCTTTTATATGAAGAGGGAAGTGGGCTGTTTTAGAGGGGACTAGAATAGGGAGGAAAATGACAAAAATTAAGTTGGACTTTATCATGCATGGGGCAGGAGCAGGATTTTTTTCTGTTTTTCTTTTCTTTTTTTGTAGGTAGGGTAGGTTTTTAAAGCTGTATTATGCCTATTCTAGGTTAACTTTAGAGTTTATTTATTGTCTGGTCTTGAAACAACATTTTACGGTACAGTTGGAGAAGGTGCAAGAAAGAGACTTTTAAACATTCTTTTGCTCTGAGGGATGTAGCAAACCCTTGACCCAATACCCCATGGTGTGCTGAAGCTGGCTTGTCCTGGCTCATGAGAGCCAATTGTTACATTTTCTTGAATTTTGTGAGCTGATGGAGAACAGAACTCTGAGCTACTGTGCCTACAGTACACACCAATCATCATTTACCAGCATATCAGTACCCATTTCTCACACACCAGGAGGTCCTCATGGATTTTGCTGCGTGGACTTTACCTTCCTGAGGACAAAAAAAGATGAGAGATATTATGCAGGGTCCACACAGTGTTTTTGTCACTGCTGCCCCACTCTGCTTAAGGTAGTTTTTTAAAATGTATTTATCTTTCGTATATAGACTGGGCTTACTCACTTAAAACATTTGAAAATGTCCTTAATGTAACTAGTGACTTTCTATACTTTCTAATTTGGCGCTGGTATAAGGAATACAGCCAATTTATAATAAGAACAAAGTCATCAGATAAGGTACCACAGTAACTTTTAAAACACCATTATAATGGGGAATCTCCTGATTAAAATGCAATGCAGAGCTATGTATATGTGTCACATTGATCAGTGTTTATGTAAGGATGTTACCTTACTCATCCCACATTCAAAGTTTTATAGGCTTCTCATTCCAATTAATTAGGGGATACCTAATGATCCAGCTTAATTGGATGTCCACCACAGTTCATGAAGCTCAAAAAATAGGCTTTTTGATTCATGGTGCTAGTTGAGCAGTTGATAAAAGTCTGTTGTTTGTCTAACTGTGCTCCACAAGTTGTCTTTGCACTTTAAACAACCTTGAATTGTAGTGAAAGTCAATTGTAACACTGAGGCATATCCGAAGCTTCACAAATGTTCTCAGGTTTTAAGTGGTGCTTCCTTTATCCTGTGGATTTATTTTCAGTTTGCTTTGCAATATGTTGGTGCTAAAGAAATGCTGTTTGGTTTCTGATGACGTAAAATTGGCATGGTTAGTCTAGGAGATATAGAGCCACAGTGCATATAATATGTTTGTGTAGTACACATTTTTCCTGTTTTTAAAACTGACCCCAGTTGTAACTATAAGCATCTGAACTGTGACAGAGTACAATCCAGTTACCCCACATACTATTTCAAGAGTTCATACAGAAATCTAAAATTATGTTCCTGAAAAAAATGATTTCCAATTGGGCATTAGCTGCTTTTGATTAATGCTGGGCTTATCAAATAGTATTTTAATTGCATACCCACATTGCCAGAGTACAAAGTAATATTGTATGTTTATGTTTCATACTGAACATGTAGCTACAAGAAGAGCAAATCTTTCCCATGATCTTTCTGTGATGCTCATTAGTTCCCAGCAAAGCTGCATAATTATTTGTAATACGAATGAAGAGTTTTCTAATCCCTTTATATTTAACTTCTTCTGAACGAAGGAGTGTATTTGTAAAAATGTGCACAGAATAGGAAACATGTTGCAATTTTTGCTCAAAAGAAAATAGGTCTCCTCAATACACACTATAAAAACACTTCTACGGGAATGTGTTGTGTTAGAACAAGGGTGTCAAACTCGATTTCATTGAGGGCCATATTAGGGTTGTGTTTGACCTTGGGGGGGCTGGGGGGGCATGGCCAGGGTAGGCATGGCCAGTTCAATGTCACTCATGTCAGGGCGCCTGTGGCACCTGAGCGCTCTGCCAATGAAAATGGGCTCCCAAGCTCCGTTTTCACCTGCGATGGCTTCCTGCAACCCTCTGCCAGGGAAAATGGAACTCGGGATGGCCTCCCGCAGCCCTTGCGAGCTACGTTTTTGCTGGCAGAGGCACCGCAGGCCAGTCCTTCGCTGTTTCCAGAGCGGCTCCGTGGGCCAGATCTAAGAACCCCGCAGGCCAGATCCGGCCCCTGGGCCTTGAGTTTGACACTCCTGTGCTAGAACATAGTTTGAACAGTTTCATTCTGTTGGACAAAGCTTGAAACTGTTAAAAGTATTCTGATCATAGGGTTTAGTGGGAAATCTAGATCCCTATTTTTCATGCCAAAAAGCTACAAACATTTATACATTAGCATTTCATGCCAAGTTTTATGTAGAAAATTGATCAAGTAAAAACTAAAAACCCCAAAAAGTTTTTCAAAACTTTTTGAAAAACATTAAATCCAGAGAGGAAGCAAGAGGAACAGAGTTCTGCTCTAACTATGTACTCTTTCCACTCTACTACCCACTTCCACATCTGCTTATCCAGTATAAACAATAACAGCAAGAGCATCACTTAATCCTTGCTATTTTACTGATATCTGAAAAAGTTGAGAAAAAGGAACCCAGTCATAAGTCACAAAGCAATAGCCCAGCTGCAGTTCTCAGAACAGGTAAAATACTGAAAATGACTCCAAAGCTGCCAGCATAATTTCACATTCAGAACAAACTGCTGTGTTTTGCTCTAACCAAACTCTTGAACCAAACAACTTTTTTGCTCCATGTTTGCAATAGCTGAAATGATCATTTTTAAAGCCAAAGTATTTTGTGCATTCCTAGGTGTATGTTTCAAACCCACACCAATCTAGTAACTCTTTTACAGTAAGAAAGCATCTAGAAAGTGCAGCCATCATACAGAGTTATATTTAGTCCTTTGAAGAGGATAGGTAGATTTTCAATACAATCACTATAATGTCATTCAAAATTATGACTACAGGAGTTGAAGCCTTGTAGTAGCCATATTATGTAATGACTGCCTTAATGAAATGCAAACACATCCTACATTCTCAGTCTTCCATAATCTGAAAATCTATTTCCAAAACTTTGCAGAATCTTATTGAAAATCCTTTACTGAGGGCCATGGCAAGTGAAGACACAAAAAATCAAATTCTTAATTTAGTACTGCTTTGAGTAAATATGTACAATCCTGCCATTTCTTCCACTAATCTTTATTTGGCCTATTTCATATTGCTTCAAGGTGTCTCTATTTCCAAGAATATTTTACAGCCAAAAGGATATCTTATTAATCATATTGCTAGTTCTTAAAAGTGACTTCCTCATAAATTCTAAAATTAGCATCCTGCTCCCTTCTCACTGGTGCAGGAATACAACTCTGTCTTCTCCCTCTACCTCATGGGAATAACAGACATTTCCTTGTGTGATAATGGGAGAGAAAATAACTCTGCTCCTACAGTTACTGCACGATGGAGGGAATTTTGGTACATCTCATAACTATGTTCTAGAGCAGGGTTCCCCAACCCCTGGTCTGTGGATCTACACTGATCCCCGGCATGCCAGAAACAGCCTTGCAAACAAGCGAAGCCCATCCACGGGATGCAGGCAGTTTGCAAATCCACAGCTCCTCCAGTCCATGGAAAATCCTCTTTCCACAGAACTGGTCCCTGGTGCCCAAAAGTTTGGGGGCCATTATTCTAGAGGAGTCTTTTCAGATGCAGGAAATGACAGTCTCAATTACAGCATATGCCTTAATACTGATAATACTTCACATTATTCTGTTTTTTCATATGCATGGCATAGATTGGGAGAGAAATGTTACATGTGGCTACAGCTCAATACATATTGAATCAGATTGTGCTCCTAAAATCCTGTGGAGCTTATTTCCAAGTTTAATAAACACTAGAGCTGTGCAGTGCTTTGGATTCAAAGGCAAAAGGCAAGATGAGGATTCACCAAATTGAGGGAGGGAGGGAGAGGCAGAGTTTCATTGTTTGGAGATGATCATTGCTGCATGATCACGGGAAAAGATATATTTGATGAAATGAGTTCCAAAGTGCCCTTTTTGCCTTTATAACTGAAGTACCGTGCAATCTTAAGACTGAACTATAACAATTTCCACACAAAATGTTTTGAAGAAGCCTTTTTTTACCATGTCTCACCACTTTGTTTTGGAGTTTACAGTATGATTTTTGTGTACCTTTACAAATTGTACACCTATACAAACACTTGAACAATGCAGTTTGTTGTGCCTTTTGCCTAGATATACTGAATAAATTTTGTGATTGCTATTTGTATACTTGTCATAAATTATTGTATGGAGATTGATAGTATTGAAGAGGTAGGGGATACTATTCTTTCAACCAATCATCCACATTGCTGGAGAACAGTTTTTTTCAATTTGAATTCGATCCAGGAAACAATGTGGATTTACTTATGTAATTTTTCTTGGACAAAACAATACATGAATCCTGATGAATCAGGCCATAGGCCCACTTAATCAAGCATTTTGTATCACACAGTGACCAACTAGATTACAGGTGTCAAATTCGTAGCATATTGCTGTCATGTGATGTTTTGCCATGTTTTTCCCATTCACGGAGCTGGGGTGGGTGTGGTCTGTGTGTGACACATCCGGCCCGTGGGCTGCCAGTTCCCCCCCCCCCCGTGAACTAGATTAGGGAAACTCAAAAGTTTAGAGTAGAGAACAACATCCCCCTTCTGCAGGTCCTTCCCAGTAAATCAATAAGGCTTTTTGACTCTGATTCAGGAGGTACTAACAGCCAACAGTACAGAAGTGGTTTGTCACTGTTTTCTTCAAAGATGATTTCTGAGTTCTGAGGATCAACTAGAGTTGGCTAGCTTTGTACTGTTTCCCCTCCTCCCCAATGATATTTAACTTTTATTTTTAAACCCTATGGCCATCAAAGGGACTCAGTGGCTAAGACGCTGAGCTTGTCGATTGAAAGGTCGGCAGTTCAGTGGTTCAGATCCCTAGTGCCATGTAACAGAGTGAGCTCCCATTACTTGTCCCAGCTTCTGTCAACCTAGCAATTCAAAAGCAAGTAAAAAATGCAAGTAGACAATAGGGACCACCTTTGGTGGGAAGGTAACAGTGTTCCGTGTGCCTTTGGCATTTAGTCATGCCGGCCACATGACCATGGAGGTGTCTTCAGACAGCGCTGGCTCTTCGGCTTTGAAATGAAGATGATCATCGCCCCCTAGAGATGGGAACGACTAGGACATATGTGTGAGGGGAATCTTTACCTTTACCTTATGGCCATCAAGTCAAGTTGAAATATGGGATTTTTTTCTCTTTTTATGTTCTGTCCCCCCACCTCACACAGGCAGACACACGAGCAAAAGACGTCTATCAGTAATTTATTTTTACAAGCCAACCTGAATCCCTTTGGCAGATAAAACCTCTCTTTTAAACTGTTTTTTAAAATTTTTAAAAAATTTAAATTTTAAATTTGTCTTATGAATTTGGGGTGTTTTAAATTTTGTTTTCCGGGCCAATTATTTAATTGTATTTTAATGGTTTAACATTTGTATTATATGTATTTTATTTGGCTGTTCACCGCCCTGAGTCCTTCAGGAGTAAGGCGGTATACAAATTTAAAAAAAAAAGTGCTGGCAGCTACTTTCTGAATGCCTGCCAAGTTTCTTATCACCTCTAAAAACAGGAGTCAGCGTATCTGTAGTCCGTTGCTGGGGCAACCAAGAGTTCAAAGAGTAGTCAGACGTTATTCACAAAGTCCAAGCCTTAATTCCGAAAAATATCCCATCCGAAGCTCACGATATGCAGTTTTTGTCCGTCACAGAGCCTGCAGAGCAACCCCACCCACTTTTATCCCCTGTGGGGCATGGCTCAGTGACTCAGCAATCTCTGGCCCTTCCCCACCTCTTCCTTTAGTGCGCACGCCTCTCCCTCCGAAGCTGCCTGGGATCAATCCAAGATTGATTTTCAGCACTCCCTATTAGTGGGTGCTCCGACATACCTTCCTCCTGGCCTTCAGCTGGAACCTGAGGCGTTGCCAGAAAGGAGGATTCTGGAGAGGGAGGCCTTGTGAGTTCCTCCCCATCACTTTCAGAGTAATCTTCCTCCGTGAGGACAGGCTCGGGAGCCAGAGTCACAACATTTTGTTTACAGACCACTCAGAGAGTAAATCTCAGACACAGGAGCGTTTCTCCAAATGTGATACGTGCTTTTTAGCTATATTGGATTACAACTCTCTTCCCATAAAACAAGGCTAATTTCAGAAAAGATGTTAAGGGGCAATAGAAATTAGCAAATGAAACAGATCACCAGCTTTGGAAGTTCATAAAAACAATACGTTCTTCCATACAAAATAAATGAGTTGTACTAAAAGTCTTATGAATCAAACAAGAACAAATTTCAGTCATTTATAAAGCCATTTGCAAAACTCGATTATACTATTATCTAATTGTAAAATACATTCATTAGCAACAAAGATCTCCAAAGTTTTACAAGATTTGCTTGACACAGTTTTATTTTTTTGTAGTTTTGGAAAATGTAGTACCTGTGAAACAAACCTTTACTATAATGAAAGCCAAAGCAGAGTGGCTGGGTTTATACATGCTAAACAAATCTACATTATGGCTTAGCATAAGGAATAGATATAAAAAGTTGTTTTCTGATGCCAGCAGAGCACAACAGCCCTTAGTACCAGATCATTATATCTAACCATCCAGAAAGCTTCAAATATACCATCCCCAAGTCAATGTTTTAATTTTGAAAACTTTATTTTTTACAGTGCCCAACTACTTACCTATCTATTCACCCATCTACCAATCGATCTACAAGTTCAAAAACCAAGAAACATTTTGCACTGGAAATAAAGTAGCAAATACATGTATAAAAGAGAATGACTACTTATATGAAGTGAAGCTGCAAATAGGGGAAATTTGGGAGGGGTCAGATTTTTTTATCCCATTTTTATTATTATTATTTTAATTAAGGCGATGAACATATCTAATACAGGAAGTCCTTGATTTATCACAATTGAGCTCAAAATTTCCACTGCTGAGCAAGGTAATTTTTAAGCGAGTTGCCCTATTTTACGACCTTTCTTGTCACAATTGTTAAGTGAATCATTGCAGTTATTAGGTTAGTAACAGTTGTTAAATCAATCTGGCTTCCCTATTGACTTTGGTTATCAGAAGATCGCCAAAGATGATCACATGACCATGGGGGAATGCTGCAACAGTCGTAAGTGTGAAAAATGGTCATAGCTCACTTTTTTCAGTGCCATTGTAACTCTGGTCACTAAGCAAATGGTTGTAAGTTGAGGATTACCTGCATTCCTTCCTCCTCCTATTTTGCGCACAACAATCTGAGGTGAGTTGGGCTAAAAGAGTAACTGACCCAAAGCCACCCTTTCAAATTCAGGATCCAGGAAACAGAAGGGAAACCCATTGCAACGCATCTTTGTGCAATACAATTTTACAAAAAATTGTTCAGAGAAACAATTTGGTTTAGCACTTCCATACAACCATCCCATGAACTATACATAGATGGAACTCCTCCAATAAATCTTTCGATGGTATTCCTCTTAAAAGTTACATGTGTTCTTGTGATCCCTGAAGTTGTATCTATTGCATTATAAAATAGTCTTCTTTTATAAATGAGAACTATATTCTGCTGTTGACCAATAGCAAAGTACAAACAACTATATATGACAGGCTTTCTGAGCTTGCTTGATTTCTTGCAGATGTTTCATTACCCTAACAAGGTAACATCATCAGTAGCACAGATGATGTTACCTAGTTAGGGTAATGAAACCTTCATTTCAACCCTGAGCTACAAATATTCTCCTTTATTGGAACTATATATGACCTTGTTTTGCCTACTTTTCTGACTTTACAATAATCAGAATAGGCTCATTAATTTAGAAGCACAGAGACAAGACTCAAAACAGCCTGAAATATTTATCCAGAAGCTTTTTCTAATGAAGTATACCTTCAAACTTAACAAAATTAAGTTTGTTAATTTTGCACTTGATACAACAAATAAATAATTATCTCAAACCAGTCATGTGAATCTTCACAAGCACAGACAATTATAACACTTTAGATTAGAACATCTTGGTCATCCAGGCTAAAAAGACTTTCATTAACCAGTAAAATAGCATAAATTGGGTGGCTAGTGATAATTATCATAGGCAGTTAGGCCTCTAACTCATTCACTTCTTATAACTAATTAAATCTTATTAACTTTTGACAGTTTTGATCCCAGTTTACACTCTCTGTGATCATAACTGAGTTCTAAATTATAGAAATTACCCCATTCCTCCAAAATATCTACAAAATATAATTTTGTATGGGGACAAGAACAAAGCATTATCACAATTAAATTATAATTCATATTTATGGAAAATGAAAGATAACTGCTGCTGCATCTGAACATCTAATAGTATCAGTAAAATTAATTAAAATAGGGAAAGCACCAAAATGTATTAAAATCCAATATCCAAGAAAAAGGCTGTGAGGCAATTTTTTGAGACTGCACCATTTAAGAATAAGGACATGACTGAAATTCTGAATGTCTTGGGCAACATTACAATCCGGAGGGAAACGTAGCTATCTATTTTACCATATTTTCAAAAATGACTTGGGTATTCCTAGCTGGAAAAATAGGCATGCTTTCTTTTGAAGCTTCAAATTCTTCACACACTTCAATGAATATAACTTTTTCTCGTGAAGATAGGGGAAGAGTGAGAAAGATCTGGAAGAAACAATGCCAGTTGACAGCAAAACATTTCTTCCAAAGGCAGAGGGAATATGCCCATGTTTGACACAAATACAATCACCACTGCTATTGATTCTAGAGTGTGCAAAATCTAGTACCATTGCCAAGGATAAAAAGGGGAGATGCAGAAATGTGGAGGTAGCAAGCTGCGTTGAAGTTGGTTGCTGTTTTCAAAAGGCACATATGGTGATGTTTCACTTAAATTCTTTCAGATACATGCATGTTTTTATGCTGTTTGGCCCCATTACTCGAAGAAATAGAAATATTAAATTAGGTTTCAACTGAAGATCATGAATACTTTGGGTTTGTTCTGATCCTTGATATCTGGATTTTCCAGCTCTATTAAAGTGTTCTTGTCATCCTTAATTGCTGGCGGCTCATTAGAAGTCTGGAACGTTTGTGGCAGACTCTTCAAACTGACATCCATATCTTTGAAAGCATGGAGTAAAAAGACTCCTAAAATAATGGTAAGAAATCCACATACCGTCCCGATAATGTCTTTTACAGACATGGTGACCCACTCTTTAAAGAGGATAACTGAAGTTGTGATGACAACAGTGGTGAAAAGCACATAGTAAATGGGAAACACCATAGAGGTATTGAAGATGTCCAAAGCTTTATTGAGGTAGTTGATCTGAGTAGCAATAGAAGCCACTAATGTGAAGACAAGAATCCAGGTCAATGGGTTTTGTAGAACAGGCAGGTGAGTGAAAAAACTCTTGATGGCAATGCCCAGCCCTTTAACAGAAGAGACGGAGAAAGCCCCAATCACAGAACAAATGGAGAGGTAGATGAGAATATTGGTCTGGCCATAACGTGGTGCTAGGAAACAAATCAGAACTAAGCTGATAACCAAGAGGATGCTGGCATAAACAAGAAAACCTGGAAGAAATAAAAAAACATAAAAAGGTGACAAATCATGACATTTTAATACAAGACAGAATGCAATGCTTAGCACAAGCATTGGCCAGTACAATAAATGGATGGATAGAGCAACAGAGCACTGCACTGTTTTTAGGAATTTAAATAAATTAAACCAGTTTATTGTAAGGAATAGGCATCCTACTACACATGCAAGAACAAGATTTAAGTCTACAGAAAAACAAAGTTTTTAAAGACACAAGCCTATGGCCCTAGAAAATGTGGAGGAGAGGAGAAACCTAGGAGACAGATGTGAATATCTATCCTGTCTTGCTGGCTGCAGACTACTGGAGTTGGGGGATTACTGAAATATTCCAATTATTGAATTTAGGGCTACTTTGCAACTGATCATCCAGCTCTAAGAATAAGAGTCAGTGAAAGGCAGGCATATATGCTCTGTGTACCTATTTTCTCTGAAAGGCTAAACATCAAAAGCTGTTTCCCTGTATGTCATCTCAAAGACCAATTTTTTAAATTGAAATTTATATCAATTCAAAATGAAATGTAAAAACAAATTGACAACAGGACATGAGAGTTTTATGAAAGCTTTTCTCCCTGGGAAAGAGAAGCAAGACAATTGGCACCGCCCATGGGATGCCACCAAACCCAAATGTGTACAAAATCGTGGAAGATTCACCCTTGTGCAAGACACTTTTACAACCATCACATTACTGCCCCTGGGAAACTGGTTCAGATATGATAACATTCCAACTAAACACAACACCTTCATTCCTTTGCTACCTTATTTCATAAGCTTACCTGGTTCCTTCAGTTTTGAAAGCAATTCTCCCAAAGTGGTGATTTCCTCTTCTTCTGGAGCATGTATCACAAGAATGGTACTACCCACAATGCTCAGCATGCAGCCAAGTTTGCCTAGCAAGTTCAGCCGTTCTCCAAGCAAATAAGAGGACAAAATGGCACTGGGCACAACAGACAAATACAGAAACACAGCCTTTATTCTACCTTCCTTTACACTTGTAAATTACTGATAACAAACGTAAGTCCTTACAAATCTATATTCTATTAATGGACGTAGATTAGAGTCACTGAAACACAAAAGTAATATGCAAGATCAATTTGGAGAGGGGGAAAAAGAAGCAGGACTTAAGTACATATCTGGCTATTGCTATATTAGCACAAGATTAGAAATCTCTTTTCTACTGGCAAGATCACATTATTAACACCTAGACCTAGAATAAATGTAGGAGAAAAGAGCAAAATAAAAGGAAGTCACCTTATAAGCACACTAAGTGCCCCGAGTGGTGTAACAATTGTTGCAGCTGCAAAGGCATATGCGGCAAAGTTGGCGGCCTCTCCTCCACCCACTGAGCAAATAGCCACCAGGGAAAAAAAAAAAAAAAAGAACAGGTGAATTACAATGATTACTACCGGTATTTAGGTTCTCACTGGCCAGCAACTCTACTCAGTTCCATACAATTGTCTTATTAAGAAAACATGAAAGCTTATGAACCCCAAGCAAAACGTTATCTGTCCAGGTAATCCTCGACTAATGGCCATTTGTTCCGAGATTGATCAAAGTTACGATAGCGCTGAATGAAGGAACTTATGACCTATGCCTAAAGTTATGGCCGTTGCAGCATCCTTCATTGTCACGTGATCAAAATTCAGGCACTGGCAGCCCACCTGCACTTATGACCACAGGGTACCATAACTCCCTCCCACCTATCTCTTCCCTTCCTCCCATACCATCTATGTCCTTTTGGTCCCCTGCTGCTCTCCCCATCTGTCTTCTTGCTCTCACTGCTGACAAGGAATGCCCGGCCTGGCTGCCTTGTGCTGTGGAAAAGGAAGAAAAGCCTAAAGCAGCCCCTGAGCCGTTGCAGCACACTAAAATGCAAAGAGCTCCTGGGTGGGGCTGAGGCTGGCTTTGCACTGTGAAAAAAAAAGGGGGGGGGGGAAGAGCCTAAATCAACTTAAAACAATCTGTGATACCTTGTCAATAGTGGAAGCAAGAAGATCAGTTGGGGTTGTAAAGATCTTGGAGTGCAGGGTGGCAAGGTCAACTGGTACTGGGCTGGGATAGTTTTTCCAGGGCATGGCAAGCAGAGTTGTGCAGTTCTGGGGCTGTTTGCCAACCCACAAGGCAGGGTGCAGGGCAGCCAAAATGGCGGTGTGTGTGTGTGTGTGTGTGTGTGTGTGTGTGTGTGTGTGTGGAGGGGGGGGGGAAATAGGTGGTTGGAGGAGTTGGAGGCTGGATAACCAAGCTTGAAATGGGCTGCTGGGATGAGTATTTGGCTAATGACTGATAAAATTTGCTTAAATACAGCAACTGGGATTGCTAAACAATGTGGTCACATGACATCTCCATTATATATCGTTTAGCAATTGAAATTCCGGTCCCAGTTGTGGTCGTAAATCAAGGATTATCTGCACAACAGTCTTTGTAAGACACTTAGGTTCCAGCAAAATGTCCCCCAAATTTTCCAATAGTTCAGAATCCAAATGCAGTTTGTCAATATCTCTTTGTAAATAAGAAAAGGAATTCAAATTATTGAGCATATGATGTTATATTCAAATTGCAATGCAATAATCAATGACTTAAGACAGTAGCTTCCAGAGAACCAGTGTAGCAAAACTAGAAAAAATATTGTGTAGTGTGTTCAAAATATATTTTGGTATATACGTTTTTTGGGGACTGAAGTTGCCTGCAAATATTTCCTGCATTCCAGTCCACCAAAGCTCACACCACTATAAATTTGTCAGTTGCTGAAGGTGCTACAAGGCACACTGCTGGCTCTGGCCAGCAAATGTCTCTTCTGAAAACCGAACCATTTAAATTCCTGAATATTCCTATGTTATGGTGATAAGATCTGAAAAAATGATTTCCACAGGCTTCAGCATAACCTGTCAGTGTAACGAGGCCTTTAAGCACAAAAAGATATTTAAGGTATTCAAGCATAAACTTCAAGTACAAAAAGGCCAAAAAAAAAAAAAAAAAAAAAAGTAGAAACAACTTCTGTAACTGAAGCAGGCAAAATAATCTTTACGGCCCAGGGAAAAACAGAGTCCTCACAATTAAGTCCTCAGTAATCATCAAGGTTAAATATTTGATCAGATAAAAACCCAAGCCTGGCTAAATATAATCGTACTTACTGGTTAGCAAACCAGCCCACCACAGCCAGTCTCTTAGATAGCCATGACCTCCATCTCCTGGGGAAATAAAAAGGACGTATTTAGAGGAGCATTTGTAAAAACCTTCCATATAAAATAAAATCAATTCTAAACATAACGCTACAGTACTTAAACATAAAAGAGAGAAAGAAACAACAGCTTGGATTGAAAAAAACAACAACTGGCCTACAAGTCATAACATACATATGTTCAAAGACTTTTAAATACCTTTCAAGAAAGAAAAGTAAATAATACCTGAACTGGCAGGCCCTTAAAATCCCTCCCCACACACGCACCTCTTGCGTGCATGGACTGAACTCCCCTGGCTTAACATTTCTGAAATTAGCTGCCATAACCTTATGCTCTGACTTGAACATTTTATCATAAGCCATAGTGTACATTGTTATAGACTTGTTTTTCAACATTTTCTCCAGAAATATATTATGCTAGAAAAAATATTGTTATTCTACGAAGCAGGACTGGATTATTAATCCACTTGGACTTGTGCTGTGAATACTGATTAGTAGCATCTCTCTAAAGCTTCAGGTTGTGTATTTAAAATGGCAAACATAGGATGAATTCAACGGGACATCTGAAGAGGTCTTCAGAGGCCAGAAGGTATTAATTACTTCTTCAACCTGGAACCTGACTGCTGTGTTTTCTAACAAACATTATTCCCAGTCAACATACCTTTGATTATACTGGCTCTGAATTTTTATGAAAGTTGAAGTCCAATACAACAACGCTTAAGAAAAGATGGCTTAAATGCCACTAGAGTTCTTTTCCAGAAAACATATTTTTCTGTCCCCTCTTGTAAGTCAAAAAATCCATACCAGCCCTGGTGCCTCCTTTCTCCACCAGTCGACGCAGTCCTTTCTTCTTGAGGATGACACTGGTGCCAATGAGAAAGCTTGAAAAGATGGCCAAGCCCAAGCCAATGTAAAAGCCATATTTGTCTTCAACTTGTACCATCCAGCTGGAGCTTAAATTAAGATTTGTATGGGGTGAAACTGGAGAACTGACATTCTTAATGATTTGACAAACAGCATGATGATTCAGGCAAGCCAAAGTGATCAGAGAGCCTAAGCAAGACAATGAAATGTGGGGGAGAAGAGAAGATTAGAAATTAAGACATTAATAACTAGCAACCCACATGTCTTTAATTTTGCATGCAACCTTACTGCTAGGAATCTTTCTTTCTTCATTTGGATTCTTGCCCTACGAGTGGCATTTAATTATTTCTTAGAAAAACTATGAAGTTAAAAATATAAATTCTAAATTTATAGGAGAAGAATTGAGAAACAATGGCATTCAGATGCCTTAAAACACAACCTTATAATAGCCAACAATCTGGAGGTACTGTATTCTTCTTGGACTACAAATATTTTCAAGGTATATTTCAGACTTGAAATTCAGCTTAGATGAGATCATGTATTTGGAAACCTACTGCTTCTTTAATTACATATTTCTAAGACTATGACATTATTGCTGTAAACCATTGTCCTTCCAATGCATGTTCTCAAATTTGCTCTGCAATAAATTAGCATTTGTAAATAGCCTTTGACAATTTCTACTCTTTAAAAGGATCCCTGATTGTAAGATTATTTATTTATTTATTTATTTATTATTTAAATTTCTATACCGCCCTTCTCCAGAATAGGACTCAGGGCGGTGAACAGCCAGAGTAAAAAAAACAATACATACAAAATTTAAAAACAATTTAAAATAATTAAATATTATTGGCCGTAAATTAAAATAACCCAATTTAAAATCAATTTAAAATTAACTCAAGCCAGCCCCGCTAGTTGAAATAAATGGGTTTTCAGGGCCCGATGAAAAATCCGGAGGTCTGTTATTGTACGTATCTCTGGGGGGAGGTTGTTCCAGAGGGTGGGCGCCGCCACAGAGAAGGCTCTCCCCCTGGGAGTTGTCAGCCGACATTGTCTGGCGGGCGGCACCCTGAGGAGGCCCACTCTGTGCGAGCGTACTGGCCAGTGGGAGGCTATTGGTGGCAGAAGGCGGTCTCGTAAGTACCCCGGCCCTAAGCCATGGAGCGCTTTAAAGGTGGTCACCAACACCTTATCTATAGGAACCTTCAATTCATACACATCAATTTAGTACATATTCAATTAACTGTTCCAGTGTTTCCCAAGGAAAAGCTTGTCTCCGTTTTATTAGGTGGAAATAATGAGAAGATAATATTTTTTCACAAGTTCTGAGATGTCTCTCTATTGCAGGGGTGTCAAACTAGATTTCATTGAGGGCCGCATCAGTGTTATGTTTGACCTTGGGGCGGGGGCATGGCTAGTATGGAGAGGGCATGGCCCTCTGTCAGCGAAAACGGAACTCAGGGTGACTGTTTGTGGCCTTCTGGGGCCCTGTTTTCAGCTGGGATGGCCTCTTGCAGCCCTCTGCCAGTGAAAACAGACCTTGGGGGGCTGTGCATGCCCCCAACCTCCATTTTCGCTGGCAGAGACACCACAGGCCAGTCCTTTGCTGTTTCCAGGGTGGTATCATGGGCCAGATCTAAGCACCCCGAGGGCTGGATCCGGCCCACGGCCTTGAGTTTGACACCCCTGCTCTATTGTCTATGCTAAGTTGGAGTGGTGTAGTTATCAGAAAATACAGGAGGTGGAGTTTCAGGGTTTTCCACAGATCCTAATCAGCTGCTCTGTATGAAAAATGAAAAAAAAAGTTAAGTAGAGTATTCAATGTAGATGTGGACTTGTGGAAATTTAATTGGGGAAGCAATGAAGCATTACCTAGCAGTGGTGCAAGTAATGTTTATGCATGTTGAGTATAACTATTTTAAATAATTAATTTTATTACATTTATTCTTATGTTTCAAGAGCTAAATATTTCTTCTCAACTATCCCATCTTCAAAGCAGCCTGAGAAACCAACTTCTCTGAAATCAGCTACAGATGAATTTACATAGAGAGAATGAAGGTGGATTTTCTAAACTTTCTCAGAGTACAATATGTTTTGAGTTTTTCCCTTTTCTCTTCAGGTCTGAATGTGAGTCACCTGTAAGTATGAATGTGTATAATCTAGAACAACAAAATATCTAGATTTCCTTCTTCTTTATTATTCATGTTGTAATTCTGGCACTCAATCAAAACTTCAGCTGGAGTTTTAGCCAGAATAAAGAACAATTAATTGAAAAAGATGAAACTGCTGAGGATTGTCAAATGACAAAATGTGTCTGTTATAAGAAAAGGATGAGAATCCCTACAGATCATCATTAAGGGAATATTTCGAAAGAACAAAGTCTTTGCAAAATAAATTTAACAAATTCCATTTTAAGGAAAGTGAATATTTAATAATTAATATATCTTGTTCTATAACATCCTATTTCAACCAGCTTGCTGCTGACATTTTCTAATAATCATACACGTTTACTTTGTAGAAAGTGAGACCTTGTTACATTCACATCTCATCTTTCCTATAAAGACTCCTTTAGTGCCAAAGACAACACCACTTTCTGAGAGACTGATCCTCCAAGACTGGGCTTAATGATCCTAGGCCTAGTTCAACTGTCTAGAATTTTGTATAAAGAGGCATAAATATAACTAGAAAATTAACAAATACAGATAAGGGCTATTGAGAAATAAAGAATTTACTTTTGCTAATACCAAAATACTGTTCAACAGTTGCCAGATTTCAAACAAATCATGTCTATCATAAGCATCAAAGGTTTTTTGTGAATGTTCATGTTTAATAAATTTATTATAACTTCAGATATAGATAACTGGCATTTGTAATTTTGTTAAAAAATTAACCTTTTTTATTTCAAACATGGCACTTAATCCACTAAACTCTAGATTAAGTTGCACAAACTTCCAAATGATTTGGAATAAGCAGTTCAGAAAAATTGGGGGGGGAAAAAAATTAAGCTGATTCATTAAGGAAGCCAAAACTTTAATGCTGTTCTTTAAAGCAGCCATTTTCCCACCAAAGCACTTCTTCTAAATGAATGTCAAAGCTTGCCCAGCCCTATTCTGTAGTTCCTATCTCACACAGTTGGGGAATAGATACATATTTTAAAGGCAGAAATCTGTCCACAATTTTGAAATGCCTCATTCTTCGTACATACCCTAGTAATTGCCTAGGCCAGTGATGGCTAATCTTTTTGCCATCCCTTGCCAGGAGAGGGGGGGTGGTTATCTAACATTGCCAAAACTATGGATCCATGTCTAACTTAAGATAGCTGCTAATGAAACTATCAGAAACAAAGACTGAGGCAGATTGTTTTTTAGAATTGTCACATGTTAGGACTGTCTCCCCCTCTCCAACAATCTGCCTTCATTTATACAACAAAATTGCATAATGTTAATTAATGATCTTAATAAGGAAGTGAAATATAGTGGGTGAACAAAATCTGGGAAGGTTAATAGTTTCACCAAAGCTTTCCAAGGGCATCTTCAGGGGCAAATGATTTTTTTTCAATCCAGATATGTAATGAGTGGATTTTTTCCTCAGACAATATAGCTTTTTCTGTCTCCTTGCCCATCACAGCCCTCTTCCCACCATTCAAGGTATTTGAGATCATCTTTAAAGCCCTTTCAGACATGTGTCCAGGTTACCATGGGCCCAGGTTACCCTGTCTTTTCCCAGTTACAGTGGCCCATCCCACCCAATCAGGCAGGGCTGCTAAAGAACTTTGATTGACAGGGTCCAGGAAGCGGTCCTTCTCTGTCATTGCCCCAATCCATTCTGCCCCTTGAGGTGAGGCTGACCCCTACCTTTCTGGTATTCCAGATCGGCATTAAAATCTGGGTCTTCCAATTGGCATGGGGGCCAAAAAGTAATATGCAACTCTGGGGTTAGTTCGTGGCTCAAGGGCATTCCCTCCATCTTTTTAACTCTGTCATTTAACTGCCTTTTTAACTTTGTTAATTTTATTTTTTGTATGGATTTTATGGATTTTTAAAAAATCTGTAAATCAGCCACAGTCACTTCATTAGTGAGATGGGCGGTGTATAAATTTGGTTAATAAATATATAAATTCCTAGGAGCCTTGGTAGTACAGTGGTCTAAAGCACCCTGTTATTAAGACCAGCTGCCTGCAATTACTGCAGGTTCGAATCTCGCCAGGCTCAAGGTTGACTCAGCCTTCCATCCTTTCTAAGGTAGGTAAATTGAGGACCCAGTTGTGGGGGCAATAAGCTGACTTTGCATAAATATATACAAAAGGATGAAGGCTGTTGCTTAGCACATTGTAAGCCGCCCTGAGTCTCCGGAGAAGGGCGGCATATAAATCTAATAATAATAATAAAAAAAAAATTCCTGAATGTCATGGACATTTTGGAATTGCATATTCAGATATTGTAGTGGAACAGGACATCAAGAGAAATTGACAGGGCTCCTTTGAACAAGTCAGGAAGTGTCTTTTTGTTTGAACCAGACAACCCTGGATCAAAACCACCTTCTTAAAAATAAATAATCTCATTTGTTCTTTTGGGTTTTTTTTTGTTCCTTGTTTGAGTATTAATAATGAAGTAGTATATTGAATGGATATGTTCACAAATCAGAAACTGAAGAATAGAATTGAAAGAATCATTACAGGAAAAAAAATATTAGCAGCTCTATATTTATGAATTTGCTAAAACTGCTTAAATACAAAAGGAGAGATAATGACCAAATATACTGAGGGAACAGGAAACTCAAATCTGTCTTTTGTCAAATTAAACAGAAAAAAAATAAAATTGCTGCTAAATTATATCTACAGCAATGCAAATATAGCATGGTGGTGTTTAGACCCTGGCACTTTGCCTAATACAGGACAGTCTTTGTGAGCCTGAAAACAAAAAGAGAATTCTTATTAGTTCTGAAGCCACAATGCCCTAATGTCATGCAATAGCTAGCCCTTTCCTTCTTCTGCGATAGTTACCCTCAAAAGCAAATAATCAGAAAGAAAGAGGCTGAAAATGGAGAGTTGTTAACTCATACATTTTATTAAGACAGCTTCTGCTGCACTTTTTGGTAGGAGATTAAGTTCAAAGCCCTCTGAATAGATAGGAATTGAATATTAGGCCTAGTCCATGTACACAGCAGAAAGAAGTGGTGATAAAGCGGAAAGCATATTAAAGAAGCAGAATTTCCTTTCAAACTTTTAAAAAAGAATGTCTTATGGAGATTTTCAGTGATCCAGGTCATGATTGTCCCAAAGGAAGAATAAATTGTTTTGAACACTCCTCTGTTAGAATCAGGAAAAGACAACTTTTCAAATCAGGAAACTGAGTCCCTTTGTCTCAGATCTAAGGCTTGTTTTGTAGAGGCAATCAGGTGTCCCAATTTATTATGTGATATTTTAGCAATTCATATACACCTGTTTGTTTACTTAGGCAACTTGCCTTTCTTCTAAATTTCTGCAGACTATGCTCGAGAATCTCATAATTAACCCACACAAACCTGTCAACCATGGGAAATTTTAACGAGACACATGTAATAAGTCGTGCTCCCCAATAAAATCAACTATGTATAGTACTGGGAACGACTAGCAATGTCTACTGAGTCTGACAAGTGGATTTAGTTTATGGAAACAAGGCTCAACTTTGCTCCTGCAAGAATAAATTAAATCTACATTGGTAATTTAACAACAGATGGCAAAGATTTATGTGTGAGCAGCAGGATAATGCCTCTAAATATGCAAATTGGAGAACATTATTGCTCTGAAGAAGTGATTACACATCAATCTGTAGAATTAGGAGGTTGCTTTCCTGGATCAGGCTTCTAATAACTCTTTCAGGATCCACTGCCTGAAGAATCTTCTTCCAAAACAAACAGATCCAATCGTTTGCTTAGCAAAATATAGAACAAACTCTATAAAAGAAGCTGAAAAGCTGAGCAGGATTGTGGCAGGATGTTAGGCAATCACACCTCTGCTCCTTTCACCTCCATTTCTAATAAGGTCTGGTTTCACAAACTTTGTAGGCTTAGGACAAACAGGAGTGGCTTGATGGGGCTGATTTGTTCCTTATATACTCAAGAACTTTGCTTCCTCCCTTTGGTCTTCCCCCAGTTGTATCACAGGAAGATGATTTAGTCCCAAATCAGTAAGTATCCCAGTGCAAACTGTTTTACAGCTGAACGCAAAATTAATTAGGAAATTGGTTAAATTCATTAAAAAAGTCACTTTGCCCTCAGCTAATCCGCCTCCCTTTTGATCCAGCAATTATATCACTCTTGGCAGATTAATTTTAAGAAGTATAAACCTCAGCTCCCAGAATTATGCTCAGGAAGGTGAAGTTCACACCTCTTAAAAGGCACTAAGGTTGAGAAATACTGAATTATACAGTATGCTTCATTCTTGTTAATTTTTGTAGGAGGAAAGGGAAGAGGAGGAGGAAGAAGAGTTGAGTGGAAACTTCTGAAAGCCAAGAAAAGGCTAGGTTCCGACCTCTTCCTACAGAAGAAAGAGCTGGGCCAAAGAGGAGGCAAAGAGGGCCAAGTTGGAGGGGGGGGGAGAGCTGGGGTGGAGATCTTATGAATTTTCTGATCAATTTTTAAAGAAATCAGTCTTGTCTTCTTGCATTTCTCCCAGGGTCGACAGGTGAAGTCAGGTTCGTCGCGAAGGAGGGCGGGGGATGACGAAGGTTTCTCCCTTAATCGTTCCTTAGAAGCCAACGAATTTGGAGGGGAGGAAAAAGGTTTTCCGTGAACCTGAGAAATGCAAGTGGGTAGGAAAGGGAGCCTCCTCAAAAGCCAACCTGGGGACAAAAAACGAGCGCGCTCACTCACCGCCGGCACAGCTCCTGTTCACCCACAGCGGCTCCGGGAGCTCCATGCGCGCTTCGGGGTGAGAAGAATCAGCACATTCCTAAAAGGCAGCCGCGAAGGAGACGCGGCAGGGAGAAATCTGGAGACTGGGCGAGATGCGCGCCTGGTGGCCCCGCTGGTTCGCTCGGCTTCGCTCTTTCTCTGTTGGCTCCCTTCGGCCGTCAGCTTCGGAAGGAAGAACGGCCTTCCCTCCCCTCCCCTCCCTTCTCCTCGCCCCGCCTCGCCTAACCTGCGCGGAGCTTGAAAATTGCCCCCTGGCGAAAGTGGGATCGCACCTGCTCCAGACGGGGACGCCGCGCCTTCCTCCTCCTTTTTGCGTGGTGCCTCCTCGTGCGTCACAAACCTGCACCTACGAGATCGACGGACTGTGGAGAGGACCACGCCACACACGAGCTCTTGCAGGCACTCTGTGTGTGCCTGGCTTTCTGCATGGGGCTAGAGTCCCGTGCGCTTTCGTAGTTAGAAATTTCTTAGGCATAAATTCGGACCCCTAAGTCTATTTTCAAAGGTGGAAAGGCCATCCGTTTTTCTGATTTAAACTATTTTTCCCTCTCTTTTTTTGTTTTGGCAAAGTATGATTGACTGAATGTGAGCGTACCCCACACGTATCACTGATGGTGTTACATAGTCAGGTAATAAAACATCTGCAAGCAAACAGCCAAGCTCAGAGAACACCAAGGACTCCACAGTTCAACTCTGAGATCCATATCTTATTTTTTTTTTGAATTCAGTATAATCTTGTTCTAAGTCTTACAGATTCTAACAGATTAAGAGTTGGAAGGGATCTTGTAGGTTATCTAGTCCATCCCACCCTCCCACCCCTGGCCAAGCAGGAGATCCTACACCATTTCTGGCAGACGGCAGTCCCGTCTCTTGAAAGCTTCCAGTGATGAAGCTCCCACAACTTCTGAAAGCAAGCTGATTCAGTGATTCAGACCCTTATAGTCTCCAGGTACTGGAGAGGGATATCAGCAGTATCACCAGTCTTACCTGCATGCAGTAGCAATGCAAATCTAGAGTATCAATTAACATATTGATAATACCAAACCCCAAACAGCAAGGTGACGTCTCCAGTGGCCTTATATGGATTGTTAAATGGGGGAGAGAGAGGACTCTCTTGTGTGGCATTGCACAAGGGAATAGCCAGTGGGCCTACCTGCCATCCTTACCCAATACCGACTGAGACTGACCACTGAGGGAAGAGCAGTAGAACCAGGGGTGAAATGCTCCCGGTTCTGACCGGATCACCCGATCCGGTAGCGATAGAGGCGGGTGGTTCAGAGAACCGGTAGCAAAAATCCCTCCCCTTCCCATGCCCAGCTGAGCCGCACAATCACCAGAGGCTTTTTTTTTTTTTTTGAAAGCATTTTTTTTACAACCTCTTCGGCCGAAAAAATGCTTTTAAAAGTAAAAAAAAAGCCTCTGATGATCGCGCAGCTCAGCTGGGATTGTCAAAGGCTTTTAAAAGAAAAACAGCCTCTGCTGATCAGACAATTCAGCTTGGATCATCAGAGGCATTTAAAAGAAAAAAAAACCTTTTCTTTTCTTTTCTTTTCTTTTCTTTTCTTTTCTTTTAAACCACCAAAGAGGTTGTAGAAAAAATGGTTTTAAAAGTAAAAAAACAAAAACAAAAAATTGGCCATGCCCACCCAGTCACATTACCCTCCCCACTAAGCCATCCCCACAGAATAGGTAGTAACAAAATGAAAGCTGCTAAAATGTCTAAAATGATCGGAATGAGTTTATTTCCTCCAGTTAGTTCCTGGCCAAGGTTATCTATTCATCCAGTCAGAATGTCTAACTTGTTGTCACAATGTCTAAACCTAGACACTCATCTGCTTCTTCAATGCAGTTTTGCAGTTGAGCATTCACCATTGTCTCAGCAACCTCCCACAAAAGAGAAGGTTGAAAACTGATGATAATTGTTTAACGCTCCTGGATTCAGGAAAGACTTCAAGAAATGGGACACCACAATTTCCTTAAAGACCACTGGCAGGTTCCTCATGAACTGAGGTGTAGCAATCTATCAGCATTTTGTGGTAGGCCAATCAAGAAACAGACACCTCAGAAATTTCAGGAGTGCTGTTTATTGTTGAATGGTAGAGTAAGAAAATCCTGAAAACTCTTCTTCTTTCTCAAGTTTCTTTTAATTCTTTCTCAAAGTCTTCCTTAAATGGCATATTCCTTCCTTTCCCATTTTCAAGGACAGCTCTGCGTTTCTTCATACAATCTACCAGAAATGGGAAACTCCAACTGCCATAAATATGTGTCAGTTGCCAACTGTCTGAATTTTGATCACATGACCATCGGGATGCTGCAACAGTTGTAAGTATGAAAAATGATCATAATTTATTTTTTTCAGTAGCATTGTAACTTTGAACACTCACTAAATGAACTATTGTAAATCGAGGAAAGCCTGTACTTGTCCACCATTAGATTGTGAATGGACAAGGTCTTATTGCAGCCAGACCTGGCACTTTAGATGGTTTTGTGATTATGCCAATTTATTTCTGTGGATGAGTGTTTCTTTTAACTATGGATCTTGCTGCTATTTAGCATTCTTAATAGAAAGCTGGCATATAAAGACAACAGACAAGATATATGAATAAACACAATTTTCAACTAGACATTTTGATAAATGTCAGTATGTCATAATACAGTGAGCACTGTGGTATCACCTGATTGTCAGTATAGGGGAAAAGGTAGAAAATGATGTTTTTCATCCAAGTGCAAACAACGGGGGGGGGAGGGGGAGGTTCTTGTTAAAAAGGCCAATAAGATACATGAGAAAGGTATGCATATATATATATATATATATATATATAGTTACAAAATAATTTTATTTTAAAAAATAATTTTATTTATTTAGAATCATAGGGCTGAAAGGGACCTTGGAGGTTTTCTAATCCAACTCCCTGCTGAAGGCAGGAAGGATTTAATTAATTTTTATCCTACCCTTATTATTTTTATAAATCATTCAAGGCAGCAGGTATATTTAATATTCATTTCCCCTCCTATTTTCCGCACAATAATCCTGTGAGGTAGTTTGGGCTGAGAGAGAGTGACTGGCCCAAAATTACCCAGACTGGCTTTCATGATTAAGGCACGACTAGAACTCACACTCTTCTGGTTTTTGGCCTGGTGCCTTAACTATTTAACATTAATTTTAATAATCCAGGCACAGGTCCCTGGTGAGAAGAAAGTTCTAAATCTAAATGTTTATTGCATATCAGGCATCATACATCAGGACAGAGAGTTCCAATAAATTACAGTGTTTTCCTAACATTGCTTGTTAGGCCTGGGCACTGACTGAACTAAGATATTGTGGCAAGGAGCAATAATTTATCATTCTGAGAATGGTGACTAGACTAGTCAAGCTTTTTTGCTTCAGGCTCTCCTCAGTCATTATTATGGCTTGCCAGCAGACATAACAGCAATCTGGCATGTTAGTTGAATGCTGAAATTTGCTAGCTTTAATCCTCCCTCAATGTCTCCAACAAACCTTTTTACAATTCATATTTAAACATTTACATTTCCCTGACACCGCCAGAATAGTTTTATGCCAAATATGTAGGGGAAAATGATTTGATTACTCCCAAAAGTTGTCTTTATAAATGTCTTTACGTAGAGTGTTTACATGAAGTCCAATGTATGCCTCCTTTCCAGATTTAAGATTATCTAACAGTCTTATCTGCTGCTTAATTTAGGTAACATCTGTTTCTTTAGGCAGGTCTGTCATGAAGGCATCCCTGGGATTTACAGTCCTATTGGTTGCTTCTAGCACAGGGGTGTCAAACTGGATTTCTTTGAGGGTAGGATCAGCATTGTAGTTGTCCTCCACAGACCGGCCAGTGGAAAGGTAGGGAAGATGGGATGGCCATCTCCTGCAGTACCCTGCTGGCCAAAATGGGACACAGGGGGGCCATGTGAGGCCCCCATGCCCCGTTTTAGCTGCCAGAGGCACTGCTGGCCGGCCCTTTGCTATTTCCAGGCCGGCCCCTCTGGCCAGATTTAAGCACCCCGTGGACTGAATCCGGCCCGTGGGCCTTGAGTTTGACACTCCTGTTCTAGCACAATAGACGCAGAGTGGAAAGACATGGGAGGTTACAACAAAAGATAATCTCTTATGAATTCTTCTTATTTTTTTGTGACTCAGCAAGGCAGTTGTATGATAAAAGCCTTATGGGAAAGCACAAGATGAATCATATGTAAACTCCAGAGTTAATGGTAGGAAGTTCAACCTATGTTCTAATTTAAAAGTACATTTCCAACAAAATATTGTTTGGAAATATGGTGAGTTTATCTCACTGGTGATATTAAAGACTATTATGACTGAAGAATTATTAAAAGTAAAGATGTTATTTTAAAAGTAAAGATAACCTCTACCTTCTACCACAGGCTTTCTACTTGAAGCCTCGTATCCGATTACCATGCCTGAGCCTGCATAGGATTTCTATGACCAGCCAAGGTTGGCTCGATGCTGCTTCCTGCTGTTGTCTTTTGCTGGAAACAGGTGATAAGAATGCAGGGTGACATTTCTGGCCTCAGCTCATTAAAATATCTGTGGAATTAAACAATTAATTAAAACAAAGCCATGATAAGAGAAGGTTCTTTCTTTCCTTGTGATGAAGTCTTAAATTGAAAGTACAGCTGTACACCATAAATATCACTGAGCCCAAATAAAACCGAGTCTTTAAGAGATGAATCCATTAAAAGATCCCGTCAAATCCCCTTGAAATTGGCCCAGTGAAACTTCTGTAAAGAATATTGTTTTCTTAACAATGTAGCCATGCTTGAAATACTGGTTTGCAGGCTGGATGATGTGAATCTGAGGTAACTAAGAATCTGGAGTGTAGGTTAATGCAATGCTTCCCACTATGTTACTTGGCTGAATAGGAAACATCAGGGATATTATCTGATCTAAAGAATTGCTTTTGATACTTAAAGAAGAGTTTCTCGTTTTTATAATATAAAAGGTTTCTTTGTTATAATAATTTTTATTACAGTTTAAAAATACAAAAATAAAAATAACTAATACAAAGTAAGAAAAATTAAAAATTAAAAAGGGGAGAGAGAAAAAAATTAAAGAAAAAAAGATATATAAAAAAATGACTCCCCTTGCATCAAGTACAATTTCAGTACCTTAACACCTTCTCTGACATTTCAACAAAAGATCTCTTCTTCCCATATCTCATTTGTAATCTATAAACAAATTATGACTCAGTCACTCTGTCCTAATCAGCAAAAGTCTGCTGTTAGAAACTACAACAATACCACACACACACAAAACATAATGAAATAAATCAGTTTTATATTCTTTTTCCAAAAACCTCTTCTTCTCATCTCTTATCTCTAGACAAATTTTTGAATTCTTGTCATTTGGACCTACTAAAGAAAAATGGATTAAGAGCTACCAGAAACAACATGTACCATATTTTTTGGTCTATAAGATGTACTCCTCCCTCAAAAGTGGGTGGAAATGTCTGTCCGTCTTATAGAGTGAATGTTGCTGAAGCCCCGTCCACCCATCAGCCCCCACCCTTCGGCCTCTGCCTCCCAGCAATTTGCCTCCTTGCCACTAACAGCAAACAGCCTGGTCAGCTTCAGCACAGCCCGATTTAGCACAACCAGCTGATTGGCGGTTGGATCGGCCGATCACTGTTCCAGGCTGTGGGGATCGCCACCACCCATCGCCACCTCGCATGCCCCATTTTTGGCCTCTACATGCCCTGTTTTCAGCCTCCATGTATCCCGGTTTGGGCCCATTCCAGGTGGTGGAGATAGGCGGCGGCAGCGATCCCTGCTACCTGGAACGGGCTGAAAATGGGATGCACGGAGACTGAAAACAGGGTGCATGGAGGCAGTGATAGGGCGGTGACTGCTGCGATGGGCGGTGGTGATCCCTGCAGCCTGGAACAGCTGATCAGCAGTATTTCGGGAAGCCAATCCAACCGCCAATTAGCTGCTCATGCTAAATACACAAATACACAAACAAGCCTGAAATTTAATTGATGTTAAAGAAATAGATATAATTAATTTGAGTCAGATACTTAAAGTGATATTGTGTAAAATTAAACAATGTGTGTAACTTTCTAAATACATAATCAATTCCAAGAAATAGATTGGCCATTTGCTAAAACCTAAGAATGGAAATGACTTAGTGCATATGTGAAAACAGGAAGAAAATCATTTCAAAAGATTACATTGGACTACAAAGCAAAAGGTGTAATTCATCAGTCAGGCGTTCAATGTGGTGTTGTGCATAGGCACTGTAGGAGGAGAGCTGTGCAACCTGAAAACCACATTATTTATAGGTAGCACCTTTTCCAACTAATTCTGTTAAAAGGCATGAGTTTTCATGATCTGCAGTTCATTTCATCAGACTCACTACCAGACACCTTCCGATTTTTGACATACTAGTTTCATTTTTACTTCATGGAAAACCAATTCCTGACTTTGGTGTTCTGCATCTTGACCCTTTTTATTACACATTAGAACTTCTTGTTTCTGTGTCCAGCACCTCTGCCCAAGTCTGTCCACCTCAGAGTAGATTTCAATTCAGCATTGTTCAATGAGGAGGAAAAGAAAATACACGTAGTCACACTAACTCATTTTGGATCTTTTGAAATGGACCCGTTTTAAAATTCCCTTTGAAGACATCCAATGGAATTTAAATAAAAAACATTGTCTTTAACTTCTTGAAAGGATGTAAGAGACATTTACATAAAGTAATATAAACACGAGGTCAGATTGCACCAGTGTTTTGAAATTAGCATATTAAGGCAGAATAAGTAGCTGCTAAAATTGTAAATCTATGTAATTAGGGTGGCTGGTTCACATGAGCCTAGTAAGGTGTCCCTTTTTAACCAGCTTTTATTTTTCCTAAAGGAACAGGTTCTTAGAATGCTTCAATTAAGCTGGCTTGATTTCTCTCCCTTCCTCCTCCCTTCCTTCTTTCTGGAATTCAAGGCAATTAACAGTGTTTTTTAAAAAGAGAGATATTAGAGCAATGCCCATTTTTTTAAAAAACAAAAAATCAGTTCCATTAAACATGCTGGTTGCACCACTTCTTGGAAAACTGGTCTAGCATGTGTCAAATACACTTTTGTGATTGCATAGACTAATTATGTGCAATATGCAGTTTCTGCCTCTTAGTTTAAAGACAATGTAGACAGAGCTTGATGCTGGAGCAAAAAGGATACGTGTTTTTAGTATGTACATTTAATATACTAAATGTGCTGCATATATATATATGTACTGGATACATGTATAGCTTTTTTCCTCCCTCAATGTCTCATTACTTTTTACCCCTGACCATTCTAAGCATAATTACCTTTTCCAGTGAGTTTGATCACATGACTTGGCCTAAATAAGATAGAATTTTGTGATTTTGCTTTCCAGCAATGTGTTTGATTTTATACACACCAGTACTTGTTCGCTTGTCACTTTTTGCTGTCCAAGGAATTCACACAAGCCTTCTCTTCTAGCGCACCTTGAATGAATCAATTTTCTTCCTGTGTGGTTTCTTCATGGTCCAAATGGACAAATAAAGAATTAATAAAATGCCACTTTCAGTTTCTTGTTCTACTAGTCATACATCCACAGAACATATCACACAGCAGAAGAATTTTTCTTTGCCATCAGTAGCCCCATTATATGAGTGTTAAAGGAAGAAGTTGTACGCTTACTTCACTTACACTACAAAAGTGTATAATCTGAAGCCTGATGCTGAGAAAGGCCACCAAAAGCTTTCAAGACTGTCCTTAGAAATTTTCCAGTGGTCGTTAGTAAATTGCCTTAATATACACATTAATGCATGCGCTGAGAGTGATGCTAATATGCTAATAATAATCCAATGTAAATTAAATTCAAAAAATACCATTAAGTTCTGCCACACTAATGATAAAAAACTGTTATTTCCCAAACAGTAAGCATCCTTCATCAGAGAAACAATTATCCAGGTTTTACTCTTCTGTCATGTAATCACCCACGAAAAATGTTTGGATCATGATTTTAAGCTTGCCTAAGAGGCACAGAGGTGTTTCCTATAAGATTAGGGAAAAGTGTTAATGGCCCTTCCCTACCATTGTTCCTATTTGTGTTTCCCTTCTTGCCATTCTGCAAGATCACAGGTTTATGAGTGGCAATTTAACATTGCAACTGGAGAACCCAGATTTATTTGTAGCACCAGGTGATTCTGAAATGCCCAGTTCAAGGAAATTCATCCTGTATCCTAAATCACAGAGAAAATCAAGTGCCGGAGTCATTTCTTCATCCTCGTGTTCACACATTTATTATTTCAAATTTTCCCCTTAGATTCATCCCAAGTTTATTGTACACATTGTTTGAAACTGCAATACAGGTCATCATCATGTCATAGCACGCAAGGTATCTTATTATTAGAGAAGCATTGGAACAGCAACAAAACCTCTGTTGACCAATGATGAAAGAACAAAAAATATAAAACAATATATACCATTTTCTGCTGCTTAGCAAATATGATTCAAACACCATAGCTGATCACTGCTGTAAATATACTGCACCATAAATAAATGTAAAATCATTGTACAAAAAAACTTAGACATTTTTCATACAAACAGGATACATTTGGAAGAATTACACAAAGATTTTCCTTATATTTTCCTTTTAAAAAAAGATTGTGTTTATGTTCTCAAATATCCAAATACTAATGAAATGCAGATTAATACAGAAAAGCAGGGGAATTACTATGGGCTCTGATATATCTGACAAGTGCTGCTGGGGAAAGGAATATAATTCAAGTGTATATTTCAGTTCAAATCATTTGTTTTTCATCTGAAATCATTAAAACCAAAATGAGAGCAATCTAACTGAGCTAGAGGGAATCAAAATGGTTTGAAGAGGTCACTGTTTTGTACTTTTCTTAGTTTAAAGGACTCATAATGCATTTTTGTAAATTGCTAATTCCCATGAAGAATGATTACCAACCAAACTTTATATCATATGTGGTTGGATAGTTTAATGCACCAAAACTTGTTGTTATTGAAAATGAACCTTGAAAGTTGCAAATAACTGAAAAAGAGGTAGTTAGGGTTTCTCAATCCCAATTTTTCTATTATTTGCTTATTGAAAATCATATTTTCCTTCTCATTCATAAGAACAGGAAATACATGGTTTTGTACAATATTTAGGATTTCCCCATAAGTAGTATTGATTTCTTTTTCTGGGAGTGATTGAGAATTCTTTTGTAATAGTGATATAAAAGCAGAACCCAACAAACTTCTTTCACATGACTGAAAATGCTTATTAGAATTATTGTTCTCTACACACTTGTTCAGAAAACAAGATATAGAATGTTATACCAATCCTACAGCAGATACTTTGGGAGGATATTTGTTTTGAAGATAACTGTAAAATTTAGAACTGCGGGATACAGTATCCAGCTCTGATGGGTAACTACATTTTTTTATTTACCATATTTAATGCTGTAAGAAGAAGAAGAAGAAGAAAGAAAAGAACGAGGAGCAGAACACCTGCCTATCTTGCCAAGTGAATTCAAAATCAATCACAAGAATATGTTCATGTTTGGTTTAGTTTTTAAAGTTTGCTTTGTTTTTTAAAGTTAATCAAGGTTTACTATGGTAGAAACTGTGATGTTAAGGAGTTCTGGCAATATTGTATTTGCTTTCCATAAAAATCACAAAACACTCAAACTGTTCTGGCAGAAATTTGAGATTGGAAAGAGCAGGACATTTCCCTCCTCTGAACTCTTTTGTTCACCATTGCTGTCTGTGTACAGAGTCTTAATTCTATGAGTTTTTCATATTTCCATCAGTACAAGAGACCCCTATTTAACCACCACAAACCCATTGAATGTTAAGAATGAGCCCAGTCCCAACATCACCCCTGAGATATTACACTAAATCAGACATTTGCATACGCAATGTACTTTTTGTTCTGAAAATGTTTTCACATAAAGAACTGAACAGATGTTGCCTTCTATTCAACATGGAATCTGGTCTTGCAAGGTTTGAGCTCATGTGAAAAGCAAACAATGTACGATTAGGTGAATATTTCCTTAGTACAGATAAGAAAACTGTATATTTGAATATCTGCTTTGATGCTCGTGGATAGAGGGGTTAGTGTTGCTGATATCATGGTTTTGTTGCATGAAAAAAAGCTGAAATAACTTACCACTTGAATAGCTGCCTCAGTTCTTATACATAGGAAACAAATATGATATGTGAAACAATATTCCATCAACTTCTCTATAAAGAGATGTAAATCTTCAGTGGAAAGAAGGCATTTAAGAAAGGCCACATACTTAATACTAATAATGTTATGCTGCTGCTATTGCTTAGGACATAATGTTCTTACAAGATTGAAAACAGAGAACATTAAGCTAGCCTTTTTTTGTATTTTTATCAGTATTAGTAGATCCTGGTTTAATAACACCTGGCACATTGTGAAGAACAGTAATTAAATATGCATTTATGATAAAGAAGAAAAAGCACAGGTGAAAATTTCTAAGATCTAAACGATGGAAAACAAAATCTTAGCTAGATTGCCCCTCTTTGGCATCTTCCCATCAGAGCTGGGCCCAAAATTCTGGAGGACAGCAAATTTGGCAAAACTAGTCTTGAACAAGATAAGGTCAAAAGCCAGCTATTATGGAAGAATCTGCACCTGTTGGAAAACCTCCAACATTGAAAGAGCCTGAGTTTATATTTTGCAGGCTAAAGAGCAGGGAAACACCTCTAACACCATCTCCACCCTAAGAATTTCACAGTTCATTACCTTAAAATGGCACCAGCAACAAATTACCAAGATGTTCTAATGATTGAGCCTCCATAGATGAATAGAAGACAACTACTGTCTTGCATACTATCATTCATTTACATAAAGGAACTTTTTAATGCACTATACCCTTGCAGTTCTGAACAAACAAGGAAAACTGTCTAAATCTTTAATATTTTGAATTAATTTTGAAACTGTAAGCAACAATAGAGCAACGTATATTTTTTTTATAGGAAATTAATCTGAACTGTTAGAGGATTTCATTCTAAAATTCATCTTTTTACCCTGGAGAATTACAGAGGAACTTGCTTGATGAATTCTATCAAGTCCCTTAGAGCAGGGCTGTCAAACTCGCGGCCTGCGGGCCGGATGCATCACACACTGGCCACACCTACACTCGGTTTAGCGAAGGGGAAAAAAGTCACGATACGTCACGTGATGCCACCATGATGCCATGAGTTTGACTTGACCCTGCCTTAGAGTATACCAAAAGAACTCAGAAGTGAATTATTCTCTTAAGGTCTTAAAAGATCCTCCCTTTTCCTTTTATTTCCTGTTACATGCTCCAGCTTTGGTAATTAAACTAGTTCTGCTTGGGTAATTAGACTTGCTAAACTGGGTAGCTTTTATCCTCAAAATCTTTTTTACTGTCATATTTGGACTCCTGAAGATCTTCTCATCTGATAAGAGTTGTGACTGACTTAATAGTTCTGTTTCTCTTTCATCATTCTTGCCCGATCTTGTCTCTTTAAGGCGTACCTTCTCCTATAGTACAGATCTGTTATGGAAAGTGTCTGACTTAATTTCTCCTGACTGTGTGTAGTGCCCTCTCATTCAAATTACATGGATTTATCTCCTGGATGAAGAAAGTAAGAGATCTATTATGAAGAATAGCACATATGTGTTCTCAAATTATCTTTCCTCTTCATTCTATAAGCTTTTTCATTTTTAAATCAGCTATGGGAAATCCATATGTTATTGGAACCATACATATTAAAGGAAGACAAGCTGTTGCTTAGAACAAAGATTTTGTTGCATGTATTCCTAAGAGCATTTCCTTTTGATTACTAAATATGGATCTATAGTTTTGAATTATCATAGATTTCCATTTTCAGGAATACAGAAATGTAACAACCTCATTCTTTTACTAAAAGCATTCCAAAGAGAAAAAAATGTTGAGCTCAAAAGATGAACCCCGTTTCCAATCAACCTTCAAAGAAGACGTGGCCTGCTAACTTCACTAAGGGCTGAGGCCATTACAATGTGTATCACATATAGACAATGACTGTCTGTAATTCTAACAGTAAGAAACAAATATTAGCTCAGATGTATTCATGTCAAGAAAGAGATTGAAAAGAAAGCATTACTTTGTTTTCCCTTCTCCATAGCATTGTCAGTCAACGCAAAAACTGAGAAAATTTGTTTGTTAAAATTCCACTGTAAACTAATTCCAAATTTGGCTTAGCAAAGTAATTCTAGAAGGCGAGATAACAATTATAGCAAAAACCTGTTAATTTCAAGTAAACAATTATATGCTATTCTAAAACAATAGGATGCTTTTTCTGTATCACCTACAGGGGGAGAAACCTCATTATTTCAAAATGTTTAAGCACTTATATCACAAAACCAAGTTATCAAGGAAAACTATTCAGTGTGCACCAAGTGGAAGACTTGCAACATTTTGAAATGTGGGCTTCTTTAACTGGAATCTCAAAAACAATGACCATTTAAAGACTGCAGATTTTTGTGCTTGATCAGATGATTATGGGTTGTCATGAAAATAAAGGAAACCCCAGGAGGAAAAAAAAAAAACACTTTCTGCTTCTTCTCACCACAGTTTCAACACTATAGTTAAAGCCAGCCAGAAAGATATAGAAGAACATGCATTCAAATGAGTCTTCTAGGAAATGCATCTTTGTGTACTGGATCCATCCATGTCTGTTTTGTTGCGGGACCTGTGTTTGCAGCTGTTTGGCTTCCAACAGCTGAAGTCCAACCTTTCTCGCCAATATCCAATGGAAAGACACAAATCTTCACACTGTATTTCCAAGGCTGAAAATTTAACATGTTGTGGCCAAGGACTGATGGATGGGGGGCTGGAAGCAGCGCACATGCTCAACTGTTGAACTGTCTGTTTCCACCGATTTCATGTATTTGTTCAGGATGGCAAAAATCTCATTGTTCAGAATTTGGTACTTCCTGATCCTGTCAGCCATTTTCTTAAGTGGCTGGAGATTAAAACAAAAACAGGGAATAAGGAAACATCAACACCATCTCTATTATTTTTATAGCCATCCTGTTGTCAAAAAAGTCAGCAAGACAACTGGATAAACATCTAGAATAGTTCTCTCCTATCTCTAAATGGAAAAAAAAATGTTTCCAACTCCCCTATTTCTTAGGCATCATAAATATAACATTTCTTTACATGCTTCCACAAAGGTGCTGGAAAATAACTCATTTGCCTTACATTTTTATTAAATTTATGGAGAAGTGTCTCTGCATTTGTTAAATTATAGACTTCTTTAAATCCATCTTTTCCTCTTTTTCTTTCCCTCACTACCAGAGAGCCAAAAGTACACAACTGTTTGCTAATAAAGGTCAGAGGACCCTGAATTTATTATATGTATATACAAAGCACTCACAATAGACCTCACCCTGTTCAGTTGGGAAGAGCTATTTACTGTTCTCCCACATAAAAATGCAAAATCCCCAAAATACAGGTTGTGCTAATCTGATAGATAATTGTCTGCTCTCTTTAGAATAAAAAAGACAATTTCAGAAGAAATTCCATGGCTTTGTGGTAAAGCACATGTTTTGCATGAAGAATGTCAAAGGTTCAGAAATTTGGATCATCATGGCCGGAAAGTCATCTCATTGAAACAGATTCAGTGCAATGCAAAAGGTTTGAAGTTTGACATAAAACCATTTTCAAGTTTCCACCTGGGATATGTAAAAAATCTGTTTAAACTCTGGGGAACCATCAATGTTCAATGTATAGAATGTACAGTCAGCCAGTAGAACAAACCCTACACATGGCAAACAGGTCTGTGTGTTCCCTCTCAAACTTACCACATTCTTTATGATTTCATCCTTCCCATCCTGTCTTTGCACTTTTAACAGATGATAGCAGAAGTCAAAAAGGTCAAAACGACGCTGTTGCCCCAGAAGAACTATGACTGAGCAACCAGCCCAGTTTAAGCCATCTCCAAAGCACTGTCTAGAATAAAAAGGAATGGGGAAGACATTATTTGGAAATGATGGAAATATTTAGATATCTTCTCACTTGATTCTATGAAGAAATAATATATTCTGACAAGTTCATACAAGAAAAAGACAGCCCTGTGGCCTTTATTCAGGACTAGTCTCAAGGATATGGAATCCAGTCACTAGTAAAGTATCCATATGATTTACATGTCATAAAATCTCAGCTCTTTGCAAAATGGATATAGCTTCAGCGCAGGCTACTCACTCAGCAGTGAATTCATTTGTTCCAACTGGAATGCAGTACACAAATTGCATGGCGCTCCAGAGCCGGTGAAATTCAACACATTCATCAACATGCATGACGCCGTTTGTCGGGGGAGGCCCACGCCAGATGGGATCTTGGAGGTAGCTACGAATGCGGGTCAGGATAACTTCAAACATGGACAGCCCACAGCACAATCTCTCCTTGGTCAGCAAGTCTCCTTCACGGGCTATGGCTATTTGCTGATGAGGAAAAAAAGCTCTATTATGAGATACCAATTTCTCCAAGAATTTCCAGATTGATCTCCCCACCCAGCCCTCCAGTAAAGTTTGGAACCTGTTAAAATGTTTAAGAAAGGACTTAGCCTGCTGAGGTTTAATTAAAATCTAGTAAAGTTTTGCCTGAGAACACTGAGCTGCTTTGTTGTTTAGTTTAAGGAAGTTGCTTTTTAATATACCTTTGTATATTTTATCTAAATATTTATTATTTTACTGGTATTCTTTCAATGAAATGACATTTTGTAAAGAACCAAAATTTGCTTCTGTATTAGGATTTTTTTAAAAAAATTATTTTCTGCACAATGTATTTTTCCTGCAAACTGCATTCCTGACAGTGAAATATATGTCTTCAATAATGTTTTCTTACTGTAGTGAATATTTAACTCTTAATTTGCATAAGACCATGTATTTTATATGTGCATTTATTAGTTATGTTAACAGTACCTGCTTATTATACATTATTAATCCAGCTCTGCATGCCTTTGTGAATTTGCATTTCCTGTTTTGATGATCTTACATACCTGATTACATGCTTAAATTTAATATTGATAATCTATCATGTAAAATTCATGAGAAACTTAAAATGTGACAGATAATAAAAAGAGCCTAGGGAAAAAAAGTCGCTATTCCATTAATTTTCCATTGTATATTTTAGTTATGATTGCAAGTAAGTATACTTGAAGTAAGAAAAACATTTTTCTCTGCTTTGAAAATTGAAAAGTCAATTTTATAGGAAAATATTTCTTCTTCCACCCAATTTTGTAGAACTCAGAAGCAGTAGTAAAATATATTCAAAAATAATTTTTTACAATATCAATAATTTAATATTTTTGGAACTCTAAAAAGCATGAATCATTTGCATGCAGAAATGAATGAGGGATATATACAATTTTTTTTAAGTGTTTTTAAGTGTTTTGTTTATTGTTTTTAATCAATGGGGCCAAATTTATATATGTATATTTTAACTGTATTTTAATATTTGTATTTGATGTTTTTACTTGGCTGTTCACCGCCCTGAGTCCTCAGGGAGAAGGGCGGTATACAAATTCAAAAATAAAATAAATATACTATTGTCTAGAGAACTGCATTTGTCAACTTTCTACACTTTCATTTGAAAGACAGCAACACAATGAAAATACAGATATGCAGCATAGAAATGGGCGGCAGGATGGCAGAATGAAATGGATTAGCACAGTGAACAACTAAAGGTATTTCAGCCATCACACACCTATGCCATTTCAGTCCTTTAATAATGCAGTAGCAACCACAAGAGAGAAAAGCTGGATGGACTTTATCTATTTGCTTCACAAAAATGCTAAGGCACTTTCATTAGTACATGTTGAGTTACCTTAGTACATGTTGAGTTATTTATCTTTTAGGTTCAAAAAACTGCTATTAAGGTAGGAGTTACCCATTACTTCTAGTTGAACTCTAAAGTGGAACATCTAGCATGCATATTGATAATAATGAACCAATCCATTTTTAAACCATTAGGCACTGAAAGCTAAAAGATGGTATAGAAAACTATGACTATATTTTACCAAGGAGTAAATATTTGCAAATCAGTCCATATTGGGAATCCCTGAAAATAATTTTCAGTCTATACATCTGCTACTTCTATGCAAGTTGAAGATTCTTATATTGAAAACTTACACTGATTTCCTCTCAGGTAATTTCTCACTAAACTCAGTGGGAATTATAGGATTGGGAATCAAATATGGGTTTGGGAATGGGGTTAAATACTTTTCATTATGCAACAGTTGCATTCTTACTGATTTATTCAAATCAGATTTTGAGTAAGAGATCATTTCTAGATATGAGATTTTTTTAAAAAAATTTTTATTGTATTTTTATTGTTAAAGAATAACAGAAAGAAAAAAAAACAATACAAAATTTCTGGAAGAATTGAAGACTTTAATTTCCTAAAATTTCCTTTCCATTTGTATAGCACGTTGGGGGAAAAAAATTTCTTTTTTAAATATAGATATGAGATTTTTTTAACATATAAGTCTTTAAAATTAACAAAAGCGGAATATCCTTTGAATATTGACACATTAGTGGCTGGAACTTACTTTATTTTTTTTGTAAATAAATGTCAGCTGGGGCAATTGGAAAAAAAATAACAAGATTTCCTGGAGTAATCTGATGTTTAATGGCTGGACTACTAAAATATATAGAACTCTACCTGGGTATGGTTTTGAAGACAACTCTTCAAAAGTCAACTGAGAAGCCACAGTAGGTCCAAAACACAGATCCCTAGTGGCCAACAGGCATAAGCACAGTTAACAGTGCTACACCAATATTTACATCACTGCATTGGTTATCAACAGCTTTCCAAGTCCAATTCAAAGTGCTGGAGATTACATATAAAACCCTACAAGGCTCATCTTATAGGATCATCTTTTCTGAATATACTGTTCCTGTCCACTTTTATTCAGGCGGGAACTTTAGAATATCTGCCTTATATAAAGTGAGCGAGATGGTGGCCCAGAGGTGATCTTCTCAGCTGTACCTCCACATGAAGGACACATTTGTCCCCCTTATATTTATGAAGTTTCCAAACAGAAACCAAGCAAAGTATGCTGTTCTGTTGTGCACCTGGCTGCTAATAGTGGACATAAACCCTGTTCTTGATAGGATTATTGTTGCTGTTGCTATTGTGGTTGCTGTTATATTAACTTTTATGGAATATTTTACTTGTGGCATGATTGCTCATACTGAGGTTGGTTTTATCATATTGCATTAGGTGCTATAAACTGTCTTAGAGTCTTCACAGTGGACACCACAGTATATAAATTGTTGTATACATAAATGAACTCATAGCTCTTCAGTGACAAAAAAGACTTAAAAGGGAATACAATATATATATATATATATATATATAAATAATTTGATTTATATGACGCCCTTCTCCGAAGACTCAGGGCGGCTTACAATGTGCTCAGCAATAGCCTTCATCCTTTTGTATATTTATACAAAGTCAGCTTATTGCCCCCACAAACTGGGTCCTCATTTCACCTACCTTAGAAAGGATGGAAGGCTGAGTCAACCTTGAGCCTTGGCGAGATTCGAACCCTGCAGTAATTGCAGGCAGCTGGTCTTAATAACCAGCTTAATAACAGGGTGCCTTAAACCCCTGTACTACCAAGGCTCTATTTCAAGGCAAAGCAAGAGAATGAAGTTCTTATCCTTTTAGGAATCTTATTTAAGAAGAGTTTCTTAAAGTTTCTAAATAGATTTGTCTAATTTTTTATACAGATGTTGATTTTTTTCTTTAACATCTTCTTTGTGCTACGCAATGAATATACTTATACATTAAAAAAAGGCTACACTGAGAGTTAAGTATATCCTTAATTGACATAAGTATTTCAGTCTCTTCTTTTCGGCTCCAAGTCTTCTCTAATAATTTTAATGCAGACTATCGTCAATTACTATCAATAGCAACACAATCAAAGAGTGATTAGCAAAATCTAAGTTCATATTTGTTTCATGTAGCAAATCTGAGATTGGAGTTCTACTGTTATCATCTAAAGTATAGAGTCACTTTCAATGGTGAGATGGATGGTATATAAAACAAACAAACAAACAAACAAACAAACAAACAAACAAACAAACAAACAACAGAGTCACAGGGACATCCTGAAGGGAAAAAAATTAACTTTAGAGAAAATGCAAAGAGATGTAAATCTAATTATTGTATAGAAAATTTATGTATTCTATATTTGAGACTTTTCCTGAAATTAACAATACAATTAAGGAAAAATACATTTTTTATTGTGTTCTTGAGACATATCCTTCAGAACTACATTGTTTCACACCTATTCCTCTGGTGTTTTTCATAATAATCATAAAAAATGCTGAGCTACACATGGGTCTCAATTTTGTATACAGTATGTTTGAATATTAAGGAATGCCTATCTGTACTAAGGGTACGATGTGGTACAATTCAAATGGAGATATTAATTCAGGAGCTGGGCTGTGAAAAATTCAGTGGGATCCCACAGAAATATGGATAGCTTCCCCATAGACATTAGTATCTGTGGGGTTAGTATTAGTATTACTCAGAAGCAAACAGTCCAAGAGCTTTGCTGTGTTAGGAACAATCATCTGAGATCACTGAGAACACATCTTGCTCTGTACTGGTTTATATTTAACGTCTCAGAATGTTCTTACTATGTATACTAAGATGGAAACAATTCAGGTTAATAGTGGTAAACGATTTGGGAGTATCTGATAGTATATTAAGATACTGATTAGTGAATAGGACTGCCTGCATGCACTTTCAGGTCAGTTTCTGACTCCTGTTGACTGCCTGGACAAGTTCCTGAACTTTTAGTAACCTTGATTTATTTGAAAAATGAGAAAGGTGTATTAGGAAATCAGCAAACATTAAATTCCAAGACTCAATCAATAGAATGTATAATTTGACTTGACTTTCCAAATAGGACAGCTGATTCAGTTTGAATAATTGTATTAGAGGCATCCAAACGGATTTAACTTCAACTGTGAGTATTTGTGTTTTTATAGCATTAATCAATCTGAACTGATTCAGTTTAATTTAAATAATCAGGAGCAATCTGTACATCCATAGGATGTATAATAAGACTGAACGAATTATATATTTAAGGTGCAGTATAAAATCTAAGATGATAATTGGATGAGGAATATTTCTAATTGGAATCTGCTGTATGAACAGCTAACAATTGTTAGCAGTTTATGCTGCTCCAGACTAGCTATGAGGATTTAAAGAAGGTTCAAGGCTGAGCAAGCTAGCTTCCTTCATACAGGACTGCTAGTGAAGTTTTAATTTTTTTAAGAAAAAAATCTAATTTTGGATTTCCCACCATGTCATATCAAGGTTGGCTCTAAATTAAATGTTTTATTAAATGTTCTCGTGTGCCACAGACCGCAGCTGATACAGGCTTACAAATCTCTCACTGCAATCAACAGGAGCAATGGATGTCATTTTATCTGGACTGCTGTTATAGGACAACTGATCAACTAAGACTTGGGTATATGGATTTCAGACAAAGAGCAAAGCATTACATACAGAGAAGCCCCCAAGCATAGAAACAGCACCTTCCGGGCTGGTCTCCACCATCTGTGTATGGACAGCAACTACCAGCATGATATCTTGGGATTCTGAGAGTTACTGCCTTCACACATTGGAAATGTTGGAAAAGGCAAACACGGGTGAATATTTGTCACAAACTTCCTTGTATTGCTTCATTTAGTCCTCCACAAGGATCAGTTCAAAATGGGGCCAAGAAATGAATTTATATTTAAATGTTGAGATCCAGAACAAATGTTAGAATACTTGGAGTCATAAGACAGATATGTAGCCTGTGCTATACAGGCATTCTGTCTTTTTTTAATTAAGTGTGAGCATCTCAGTGATTTTTGAAGTCATAATAATAAAAAGGAAAAAAGAAACCTAATATATCGGATAGCTTCAAGGCCCAGCCCTCTATTAAAAAGAACCACAAGCAAAGAGCAGATATGTAGCAAAAAAGGGCTTTGCCAAGCACAAAGATTAAGTAACTCATGCAAGTGAGCCAAGCCACAGAATATAAAAGCATAGAGAAAACCCAACATTTCTGGAATTGCAACCAGTCCAGACTGGCCATTATAAGTATATATTCAAAAATGTAGCATGTCTGTCTATGCCTGTGTAATGTATGCTTGAAAGGGAGACAAGTAATCAAATGTCAAAATACGTGTTATCATGAGAGAGATAGGATTGATTTCAGATTCTTGTGAAGGGTACACTAAGAAAGTGAATCAAGAAAATGTCTTGATATAGGATCATATCCCCCTCTTTACCTTTTCCTCCTCCTGATAGTTGGGATAAGGGTTTAACCCCAAACACGATTCAATGGCTATGTTTTGGGGCGCATATGGACCAATGACAGTGGTTTAAAAGTTTAATCAAACACCATTCCTAAACAATCTAATAAAAATTGTAGAACGTTTAAAGTCACATTTGTAATGACAGTCAACAAGTGGTAAAATGTGAATCCTCATGCCTCTCTTTGGTGCAAAAAGGAAGAAGAGCAGGGGATGAGAAGGCAAATTGAAGAATCTACTTGGGTTTACGTAATACCAAATCTTCTGAAATGCTATGTTCACCCATCTCAGGGCTGAAGTTTGGAAGGGAGAACCAACTATGCTTGGATAAGGCACAGTCGTGGAACACATGGTTATCTCCATCTCTTTAATACAGAGACTTTCTATTGCCAACAGTGAAGCCTGGGTCAAGAATAGGCAACAGTCTGTTGGTTCAAAAGGGTCGGGTAGAAAAATCTAGAATTTATACTCAACGGTAAGATAAATGCATATGAACCCTGTGATCTGCAGTAAGCAAATCGGCTGGTTATACATGATTTCTCTTTGATTGACTGATTATGTGCCATCAAGTCATTTTCGACTCCTAGTGATTCCATGTTTTTTTTTTCCTACATGACAAATTTCTCCACCATCTGTAATAACGCACATTATCACATTCTGTGAAACTTTTGCTCTATGGGCTGTTACTGAAATAGAGTTGCTCTTAGAAGTCAAATATTTCCAAATAAATAAATCCCCATGTGCTTGGTTGCCATTTTATATTTTGTATTTATAAATTGTATTGCTTATTGTTTTTATTTGATTTATTGTTTTTAATGCTGTCACACTGGATGAGTGGGATGGCATTATATATCTAATAAATAAACAAATAAATGTGGCCAAGGCAATGTTAACCACAAACCAAGTCAAAGCATGAAATAGTTCTAGAAACTCAAATGTACTCCATCGGGAGTATTTATTTTTAATTATTTTAAGCACTCAGGGAATTATTTCATAGTCATTAAGATGACAGTGATGTGCTGTTGTTATCTCTTAGACTACTGTAATTCACACGTGGCTGCCCTTAAAGTGAACCAGAATTGCAGCTGGCACAGAATACAGCCACCTTCTTGTGTGATGCTAGCTGGTTCCTTACTTTATGGAGTACTAATAGTTGAAATGTCTTTGAATATTAGTAGCTCGGGTTGGTAGTTATGTTGTTGGTTTGAGCGCCAAGTTTGGCAATTTGGTTGTAAACATTTCGTCCCCATTCGAATGGGGACGAAACGTTTGCAACCAAATTGCCAAGCTCGGAGCTCATACCAACAAGTTCTAATAGTTGCCAGTGGGTTTCTGGTCTTAATTCAATGTGATGGTCATTAGCTATAAAACCCTACACATAACCTGAGCTTTGTTATCTTTGGGACACTCTTCTCCAAGCAGAATCTGCGTGCCTTACATAGTGCAGCCAGGAAAAGATGCTGCGGGTATCCATTCCCAGAGAGATTGAGGCTGGCAATGCTCCAAAAATGCCACTGTCAATCTCAGGCCTCAGTTTGGACAAGCATGTCCCCAGAACTTAGGTTAGCTCCTGTTCTTTTATCCTTTAAGACAGTGGTTTGCAACCTGTGTCTGCGGACCTATGGGAGGGCCAGGATGTTGTCACAGGGGGCCTGCGAAGCCTTGAAGAAATGTTATGATTTAAACATTGAGTTAAGACTTGGGGATCCTTGGACACAAAAGGTATCTAAAGGGGGTTTGTGGTAAAGAAAAGGTTGGGAACCACTGTTTTAACAAGCAATCAAAAAATCTTCATACAGAGGACATTCAGTGAAGAAATTTTAAAACAAGGACATCATCAGATACAGTAGCTTTCACTTGTCGACTTCTTGTTCAGTGGTTATGAAAGCACTGAAAAAAAGATTTACGATCGGTTTTTGAACTTGCAACTGTCACAGCATTCCTATGTAAAGTAAAACACCAAGTGCCAATTTTTGTTTTGGGCATTTGGCAATTGGCACACATTTATGATGACTGCAGTGTCCCACTGTGAAGTGATTGCCATTTGCAACTTTCACAGCAGGTTTCTGACAAAGTCAATGGGGAAACTGGCAGTCAGTCATGATCATATATGACACTGCACATAACCACCACACAGCATTAACTTCAGAGCTGCAGCCAGAACTGATGTTGTAAGGTAACAAGGTCATGTGGTGTTTTACTTTACAACCATGTCACTTAGTGACGGAGTTGCTAGTCTCAATTGTGACCTGTAACTTACGACTGCCTGTATTGAGTTTATCACTGGACACTTCAATGTGTGAATATTGTTAGATGTCTAGAATGAGTGGGCAGTTTATACAAATTTGCAAACAGGTACATAATTTGATTGCACAATTAATGTGTTATCTGCAAGCTGCATATTATAACATAGTGTCAGTGAAGATATGGAAAACTTGCCAGAGAAGTACTGTAATGGATAGCCTGGTCTTATTCTTTCCCATGACAGAACCAAGAGAAAAAAAATTGGAGCCAGGGATGTAGGATACAGTAGGAGTCCATGGCTATTTTGAAACTTCAGGGTCCACTTAGAAGAGACAAGAGAATGCCTTGCCTGATGCTCATGTGAACAACAATAACAACAACAACAAAAAATCAAATAATTCAGATTCAGGACAATAATGACAAACTGATTGTCTCTGAAGCAGAGGGTGATTATGGGGGAGACACAACTTCATAAGAACCATACTGAATTTCACCAATTTTGCTGAGTCACAAGTAATGTTTCTATCAATATTCTGGGATATACAGTTGAAATCCAGGCAACAAAAATAGAAAGGCTTCTTGAGATCCAGGATGTTTGAGGGATGAGGGATGGGGGAGGAAGAATCAGGGCTGGGTGACGTGTTGTGTCACCCAGTCAATATGGGTTTCAATGTCATCCTTACCTGAGGAGTTCCCAGCCTCTCTATTAAGGGAACCAGGTGAAGTGGGGCATATTTGGCTTCGAGACGCTTCATGCGTACCTCCAAGCGTTCTCCTTCTGTTAAGCGAGCAGCAAACAGTGAAATGAGAAAGCAAAAAGAAAAAAAAACTAGCATTTCAGAGTCATCTCCCAACCATTATCCAACTCTGGGACAAGTATGACATAAAACCGTGGAAATGAATTGTGAAGAAGGGTCTCTACTTACAACTGTGACACCAAATACACTTGTAAGAGGATTTTGTTTTTAACGCAAACATCTTGCTTTGCTTACAGGGTGCCCTTTCTTGTGGATTGGCTAATAGGGCCCCTAGTCAAATGAAGGCAATGAATAGCTAACTACATCTAAGATTCTTTGAAAGCTGAAATTTCTGTAACTTCGTAGCTACTACATAGCTAGGGAATAATGACTGGTTTCTGTGCATCTCTTCACTCCTTACCTTTGATGTAGACCCTGGGCAAAATATTTTGGAAGGGAGCAGCATGCAGCAAATCACACACTTCTTCCTGGGACTGAGGCAGGAGGAAGAAAAATAAAAGGTGTTAAAAACTACCTAAGAACTGACTGTTTAGCTGTCAACCAAACCGGGAAGGGCATAGCGATCCATTTGCTTTCAGAAGGCTATTCAATTCTAGCTCAATATCCAGGACAACGGACACATAACGTGTGTCAAAAGTAAGTTTATAATAAAGATAATCTTGGTTTGTTTTGTAAAATTCAGGACTTCTGCTTTGTTTACTTCTTCTGATTCAGCAGTAGGATTTCTTGACCCCTGCTGCAAAATGGTGTGCTTTCCATAAGACTGTAATAAGGACTGCTGTTAATTAACCACGCTCCTCCTCCTTTGGGTGATCTGAAGTTGTCAAGCACTGCCAAGGATTGTGAGGGTCTGTGTTGATGTATCTTGAATGATTACATTATTCCACATAGGTGTATCCACATGTAGGCCGCTAACAGACATACTTAATTGATTTCTCCACTCACAATTGCTTTTTTTAAAATCAGCCTTAAGAAGAATTCTCTGAATGATTTGTTTAAATATGAACTATAAAGGCACCCTGAAAATTTCATTCAATTTCAGTGACAAAGCATGTAGTGCATCTTGCACTAACAGGAAAAAAAAAAAAAACCACTCCAGAATGTACCAGACTTTCAGGTTTTCTACCAGGCTGTGACTTTAATTGTGATACTGGTACTGAGCATCCCCATTACAAAAACTTACAGTGTGTAAGTTACAGTGCATTACATGTGACAGACACTACTTGCATTTAAGCCAGTAAATTCAAACAATAAGCCGGAGCCGAGGTTTATGAGAAAATGTGTTTACATTATATTGTAACCTCTTTTGACAAGGCTTTATCTTGAAAAGCACTATGACAATATTATAAATTAAATTAATATAGTGCGGTTGTTAATTTGCCTTTTAAAGAGAAAAAAAATGAAAACCTGGTCATTTTTGGCTATGTTAATTATAGGTGTGCATCAACAAAGACTCAACATTTGGTAAACTGAAAAAGAAACCCAAGATGGAAAGTAGCAAGGTCATAGCTAAAGCTAACTTTTTCACAGAGCCTTCCTTGACCACTGATGGCAGTGGAACAATGATCAATCCGATAGATGTACAGTCCAAGTTTGGAGGTTGGAAAGGCTGATCTAACACCTAGACACAGAGTAGTCAACTGCCCTTGGAATAGTGTTGCAAGTCACTTTGTAACGTCTAATAGAAATGTTAGCAGCCTATGGGCCCCGAAAAACTGCAGCTTGAACTCCAGTAGTGTGTTTCTAAAATTCAATAGCAAATCTCCAAATTATATGGGGTGGTGGTGGTCTTCACAAGTAAGTAATAATATAGTATAGTATAATCTGTAATATAATCTATAAACTATAATACAATATAATTATATTATTGTTATGTATAGATATATAATTACTTACTTGTGAACACATAAATACACACACACATACCAAGTCTCAGTATCTGTTTTATTGAAGAAAAAGCCCAAAAATATTTTAAAAGGGGTCTGAGAATTCTGGTACTGCCCACTCTGATGTCCTCATAAAATGACTCCTTGGCATCACTTATCAGAGGCTGACTTCCCGAGTGTCTTCTTTTTTTAACCAAGTTCATTTGGAATCAATTAGTAGTAAATAAGAGATCCAAACTACAGGAAGCAGAAGATGAACCGGACTGGGGGCTAAAGTTGACCCAACACAAGATCTTCTATGTTGGGCATTTTAGTTGTTGCTGTGTTTTTCACCTGAAAGCAGTATGAGAGCCATATGACATTTGGTTCAAGACTGTGCTTACAGGAAAGGAAGACTTATCTGATACCTAGTGGGGAAAAAAAATAGGATGGCACAGAGGAAGTCTGCTCGTACAGATGTAGGCGAGGAACTGCTCTTACTTTCAAAATCATGGGAGATCTTGATTGGCCTTCAGGCTCTAAGTATACAGTGAACAATACAGCTGTTCTATCCATCTATATACGTTCAAACCTAAGTTTCATGGAATTCGAAGAGGCTTCAGCTTTTTGCTGTGATATTTCCTGTGAATTTTAATTCGCTGCATGTTTCTTGGTATGGATGGACCACTCTAAAAAGAGACTCTGTGATGTATGTTGCCTACTTTCCTGGAAATATAGCCCACTGATCTCAGGTCAAACTTATTTCCAAGTAGCCATACTTAGAACTGAGCTGGAAGAGGCTGAGAGAGGAACCACAAAATGAGAAGAAATTTAAAAACACATACAGAGATCGAGAATTAATCTAAACTGCAGACACACAAAGAGGCAAGACCTCGGAAGCAGGAATGTTGGCGGAGACTTGAGTAATGATTGCAGCAAATTCTGCATGACTCTACATGGCGGTATAGCAACAAAGTAAGCCATGATAGCTGCATGCAAGGAGGCAAGACACTGCAAAAGGAGGTGATTTTTTGATACACCCTTGTGTGAAGATGCATTTGGAACGTTGTTGATCAATTCTCTAATTCCCAGCCACACTTTATATGGACCAAAATATGAGCACTGGTCCCTTATCCAAGCCTCAGTGATTTACAGAATGTAATAATTTTATGTGCATTTTTGTAGGGGAGTCTAAAGGTGTTATTACCTTATGGTAATATCTTATGGTAAGCAATATATCATATAATTAGATATCACTGTTTCCTATTTTATAAAAAAGGCCATAGAGGGACTTGGGATGTCGGATTTTATTCTTTGGAAAGCCAACATAGAGGGGAGGTTTTAGCTGCTGGATGCAGCACCCCAGCTAATCTTTTTATGTGAGAAAAAACTCTGTACACTGTAGAAGTTTTATATAATCAGGCCCTGTCTTCTCCTACAGTCTTGGAACCATCAGTCAAATACAGTCACTTATACCCAGATTTGCTCCATCCTCTAAAGGAGAGGGGGCAGATTACCATTTTAATGCCAGAAGACAGTTTTCTTCATGCTTAGGAGGCAAGGAAAGGTGCACAGTTTTTTAAAAAAAACTTTAAAACAACTTTAGAAACATCCTAAACTCCTACTTCACGATACGTTGGTACATTTATAGATTATTTTTCTCTCGGAAAAGAACAGCAGAAAAGTAAACCTATATCAAAATATTCTCTTTAAGTCATCAGCAAGAGACAGGTCTCAATCAAGAAACATTCATAAATAATACAATGTACTCAGTAAAATATATTCTGCATGCACTATGCTTATTTTTGTGATCATAAAAAGCTGAGGGAAATTAGGTACTTTAGTTATGGGTACAATAAATAAAAAAATTTTCTTCCAGGGGGATTTTTCTTGGCATATGATTCAGAATGCTTACCTCCATTCCACCTTTGGCAATCTGCAAATTATTGGCACTACAGCATTGTCACAATAAACAACGTGCTATTATTAAGCAATTAAAAAAACAAATATGTCCAATAAAAGGGAGAAACTATTGTGAGCTTTCAAGTATAGTTTAAATACTATGCAAATTAGAAGGATTGTCCCAGTAACAAGAGGAATAGCATAACTTCTTGAAACCATGACATCTTTAAAATTGGTAAATATGTTTTTCCTCTTAATGGAAGAGAAACATCAGAGTTATAAACTGGTACGGGGTAGGCAACCTGTGGCAATCCAGAACTTGCTGAACTACAACTCAGAACATCCCTAAGCTATATAGCAAATCATGACAGATGCCAGGAATTGTAATTCAGCAACCGGAGTAGTATGGTTTGTCTATTCCTTAATTGGTTATTAAGGTTTATTCTGACAGAATATATATCAGTTTTTTTCATTTGGAGCTGGATGCTATCGCAGGTATGTAGGAAGCAATATTTGATGCTAACTTGATGAGTCAAGTTGTCTTTACAGATATTAAGAACAATTTTATGCAAAATTAATCACAGGCACTGCAACTGCTGCCACACCTGAAGTGGGATTGATAGCCAAGGACTATCAATCATTTCAAAATTGAAGCACATAAGAAGCACATATATCATGTTACCAAGGTGCATGTGTCATTTTGATACTATTGTGGTTTGTTAGAGATGCAGCTGATCACAATCTGCAATGAAGCCTGAAGACAGCTGCATTTTTTTAAAATAAAAAAATGGAAAAGTATAAATAAAATCAGCTCATTGGTATTTGCTTAGGCACTTACTGGTGCATTTGCTGGTATATGGACAAGTACTTCATTCTGCCAGGCTTTTGGCAAGCCACTGAAGAGTATTGTGACAAGTAATAGCAAGCTGTAGCATCCTTTCCAATCCTGACTGTGTGGGCTTTAGCTCACTGAATATCTCAGCAGCATGGCCATTGCTACTGTAAATTCGCTGTGCAGGACTGGGAATGTAGGAGTTCCTGAACTAAGAAGTTCTATAGACCACAGCTAAGTTGACATCTAATTGAACACAGATAGCTCATTTGTTTGTTCCTTTGTTTCATGTATAATGACTTAAGCCCAATTATTTCCCCAAATAATTCATTTTAACTCACCAGGGCCTGCTCTATGAGAAGGCAGAAAAGAATGGCATTACCCACTTCCCTCAGACTTTGGAATACATCAGTCTTTAGTTCTGCATATTCAATTATGTCCTTCAGCTGGTGATGGAAAAACTCCAGGATTCCTGAGGAAAAGCAAGATATAAATAAAAGACCCAAAGGTGCTTTTTCAAAAGGCATCTGGACTTTCCTAGTTTGTCCTTGAAAATGTTTCACTTCTCATCCAAGAAGCTTATTCAGTTCTGACCGAATGGTGACGAATGAAAGGATTTATATTCCTTGCAGTCATCTGGTTGTTAGCACTCTGAAGGTTGGTCGTTAGCTCTCTGAGAACCATGGAGGCCACTTGGGGTTTTATCTAGGCCATTGGTGGGGTGCTCCTGGTTCGGTCTGGTTCTATAGAACTGGTACAAAAACCGGTGGGAGGCTCCGCCCACCCGCCACGACATCATCATGGGTGATCTTGTGCATGCGCAGAAGCTTCTGAGCATGCGCAGAAGCGTGTGCTCCCACTGCGAACCGGTAGTAAAGGTAAGTGGAACCCACCCCTGATTTAGGCCCACCTCATAGGATCTGCCAGGTGTAAGTTCCTAGCAGAAGGATCTGAATCATGACCTCTCTGAAGCATATAAAATGCAGTGTGCAGATATAACTGGGAAGAGCTGGTGCCTCAAGATTTTGTTAATGGATAATAAAATTAAAACAATGTGGGTAAGCAGCAGAAACTCTTCACTAAGAAACCAAGGCACAGGTACAGGATGGGGATTCTTAGCTTGGTGACAGAACTGTAAAAAAGATCTTGTAATAGCAGCTGATTGCAAACAGTGTGGTGTGGCTGCAAAAAAAGACAAAGGCAATTTTTAGACTGCATCAAAAGAAAAAAATATGTTCCAAATCATGGGAAGTAACTGTTCCACTTTCTTCTGCTTTGTTCAGATTCAATTTTAAATACATTTTAAACGTATCCCATTCTAAGAATAATATTTTAAGGATTCAAAATACCTGGAATGGGTTTACAGTAGGACAAAGAAGACAATCAGGGGATTGGAAATTAAGTCTCATGAGAACAAATTGTAGGACCTGTGAAAATTTAGCTTTGCCAAAGGATTGGAGTGGATGGATTATTACATAACCCTTCAAATACTTGAAAGGATGACATGTTGCGGAAGTTCAAAAGTTTCATTCTGGTGTGCAGGAAGAATAGTGGTTTACTTTTTTTTTTTTTTAATTTGATTTATATGCCACCCTTCTCCGGAGACTCAGGGCGGCTTACAATGTGCTCAGCAATAGCCTTCATCCTTTGTATATTTATACAAAGTCAGCTTATTGCCCCCACAACTGGGTCCTCAATTTACCTACCTTAGAAAGGATGGAAGGCTGAGTCAACCTTGAGCCTGGCGAGATTCGAACCTGCAGTAATTGCAGGCAGCTGGTCTTAATAACCAGCTTAATAACAGGGTGCCTTAGACCACTGTACTACCAAGGCTCTCAAAACATACTTTACTTTACTCAAAACATACTCTAACATTTAATGTTAGGAAAAAAAAATCCCAATAGGAAGTTTGTCAGTGGAACTAACAGCCCAGGTAAGTTATTGGCATATCTGGGATGCCTTAATTTGGATTCTTGCACGGGCTCAACTCTTTGTTTCTACAGTGATTCTTATACAGTAATTAGGTTGTTTCTAGAACTCTCAGTTGCTAAATTAAACCTCTGTAATCTTAATCCTTAGTATATAATTTTATTGTGTCTAAAGCACAAATTGAGATCAGAAAAAATTGCTGCACACATGCAGATAAAATGAAATGGATAGTACAATGAAAAATTTAAAATAGTATAATTCAAAATAAGTCACGCTCATGATTTTGGGCAAAGGACAGGATCACCCAAATGTGATAAATAAGAATTAACAGAATAGCAGCGTTGGAAGGGACCTTGGAGGTATTTTAGTCCAACCCCTTGCTCAAGCAGGAAACCCTATATGATTTCACACAAATGGTTGTCCAATCTCTTCTTAAAAATCTCCAGTGTTGGAGCACCTAGAACTTCTGGAAGCAAGCCAGTCCACTGATTAATTGTTCTCACTGTCAGGAAATTTCTCCTTAGTATTATGCAGATTTACTAATCTCACAGTACTAACCTGGAGATCCATACTCATGCCTTGGCAGGCGGCAGATCTTCGGCATCACCTCTATCAAGGTCTTCACATACTGAAGGATGGTTCCTTGCAGCTATCAGAAGCAATTGGGGATGAAGGTCAGCTCTGGGAAGTAGACTCAACATTCAAAGCATCTGCTGTTTTATAAAGTGGCCTGCAGCTGCAAATCTTGGCTCCGTTCAGCCAATTTATGCAGTTGCAAGTAATCTTGATCCTATCTCACTCAGTTCAGACAAGAAGGAAGCTTTAAATATAATGGTTTATTAAACAGAAGTAAACAAATGTAACAATGCCAGAAACGTCTTCTGAGCTCAATAGTTTGTAGGAAGAAGCTGAGGCTTCAGAAGTTCCAAAACCCAAAGGGAAACATTTGCTAAATTAAAAACAGATGATTGAAACTGGCAACTGGATGTGCAAATTTCTGGGTCTTTTGAAACTCCTCATAGTGTTTTTGAGCTGGGATCCAAACAAGTACTTTTAAATCACTTTTAAGTTGGCTACAATACTTAAATATATCCAAATAGCTGTTTAAAAATACTTTTCTTTGAAAACACAAGAATAAGAAAAATAAGAAAACAATTTTAAAAATTTACACTAATAGTAATCCTACTTTAAAAAATCCAAGCAGACTTTTTATATTTTTATATTTCAGTGCAAAAAAAGTATTTTTTTTCTTTTTTCCTTTTGCTACCAAGAAATCTCTATATCTTATGTTGACCTGATAATTTTGGTATATGGGTTTCTGAACACAGGTTTATCATATCATGAGAGCTCCATTTCTTCCAGAATAATTACAGATTTATAGCAGAATTACTGGCAGATGTGAAAAGCTTCCTCAAATCCTATGCAGAAACCATATCTGGAAAATTAATTAAAATCTGCCTTTCAATCTTGGAGCTATATTGAATGTCCCATGAATCAACTTCTATTTATACAACATGAATTTTCCTTCCTCTCTTCCCCAGATCCACTTCCGATCCCTCTCAAATCTTTGTCAGAACATCAGTTAAATTTCTAGAGCAGATTTTGGGGAACTACAAGGAACTTTAGGCGGAAGAAGAGAAGAAGAAAGAAGAGGATTAAAACCAGTGGGTTTATTTATCCCCATTACCAGGCTTTTGACAATCTTCAGCAATTCTTCCATCACAACAGCAATCCCTTGGTATCCAAGGAGTCGGCAGATTGTCTTGAAATGGGGAGGTCCCACAAAGTTTCGGTAAGAGCTATAAATGTGGCTGTATGCAATGTTGAGTGGCTGAGAATAAGAGGAGCAAAACATTTATTTAATAGGACAAGTCACATATTATGGTTAGAGCAAGGACAATATGTTGATAACCACCAGACAATGATTGATATTTTATTCTTTCTCCCCTTTTAATATCCAAAAAATTTGGCTCAGATTCTTTTTCTCTTTTAGCCATGGCATTTCAAACAGCTACTAAACAACAATGCATTGATTCATAAGATTTCTTTAAAGATAATCTAAAGCCATGGAAAGATAATTTAGCAATGTAGGGTAGTAGCTGTAGTACTAGCCCTGCAGTCTGGGCAGGGGTGCGATTCTACCAGTTCGGACCAGTTCGGATGAACCGGTAGCTCCGACGATCAGCTGGGCCCACTCGCCAGCCTGCCCCTGCACTTTACCTATCTTTATTTCCTTTGTTTGAAGCCCAGCTGATCGACACGGCAGAGCGGATTGCCGCGCCTCAGCTGTTTTACTCACCGGGGCTGCAGTAGAAGGTAAGTTTTAGAGCTGAATTGAAACGCACTGCGCAAAGCATGCGTGAAGCGAACTGGTTGTTACACCAGTTGAATCTCACCACTGAGTCTGAGCTTTGTTGATACTGCTATATTTTCTGATGCCAAAAGAACAGTTTAGAGCAGGGGTCTCCAACCTTGGCAACTTTAAGACTTGTGGAATTCAACTCCCAAAGTTGAATTCTGGGAGTTGAAGTCCACAAGTCTTAAAGTTGCCAAGGTTGGAGACCCCTGGTTTAGTGTCCATTTTAGAAAGTTGCTGTCTCCAACAGTGAGAGCTGTTCCTAAAAACAGTATGAAAGTTTTTGATGCATAATGTACAATGTCCTCAACTTGCAACCACGATCGAGTCCAAAATTTCCATTGCAAAGCAATGTTAGCTTAAGTGGGTTTTGCCCCATTTTACAAACTTTTTTTTGCCACAGTTGTTAAGTGAATTACCGCTAAATTGTTAAGTTAATAACAGGGTTGTTATGTGAATCTGGCTTTCCCATTAACTTTGCTCATCAGGTCACAAAAGATGAGTGCATGACCCCTGGGAAACTGCAACTGTCATTCATGCATGCCAGTTGCCAAGCATCCGAATTTTGATCACGTGACCATGGGGATGCTGAAATAGTCAAAAGTGTGAAAACTGGTCGTAAGTCATTTTTTCAGTGCTGTTGTAACTTTGAAAGGTTGCTAAATGGATGGTTGTATGTTGAGAACTACTTGTATATAACATCGTGGGCTTAAGTATAGTGTGAATCACTGATAGGAGGGGGGGGGGGGGGGGGGGGGGCGCAACTGACCTCTTAAAACTCCAGAAATGCTCTGATACATAAATAGTGAGTTACAAACATGAACTAGCTTCCTTGTTCACAGTTATTATTTGATACACAATGCTGCACTGTTTCAGATGGTATAACATGGAAAATGTAAACTCCTTTATTCTGAAGTGATCAAAAAATAGGACTGCATACTATTGATTGTTCCTGCCAAGTATTCTATAAAATCAAGAGAACAGGAATTTTCAAAAGCCCTATCAGCTGTATGGAGATCTAGAAACAACAAGCACATTGTTTGACTCACCTTTGAACCATAAAGGTAATATGGCTGAACATTGGCGGGTTTATCTCTCTGGGGTTCTTGGGTGAATGGAATTGCTGTCCGCACAAACCTAATAATTGTAAAATGACACAAAAAAAGGTGTGTGTGAGGAGGAGGAGGGCTGCATCAGTCATCCTAAGACACTTATGACACAAAATAGCCATGTTTCAATTAAACATTGCTTCCTAATTTAACACTGCTTATTTAGATGTATCTTCAAACAATACATCTAACACTTTTGCATCCATGCTAGCAATTACATGAAATTCATTATATAATGCAACCTGGTTTGGACTATAGAATAGAAAGGAGCTACAGAATCCAAACACCTACTCGGTGCTATAATTAAAAATTAAATTATCCTAGACAAATTGTTGTGGAGCTTCTACTTGAAGATATACGGTGAAGACCACTGTCTCCCTTGGCAATTAGTTGCACTGTGAAACCAGTCTTCTTGTTAAGAAATGTATTCTAGCATTTGGGAAGAGCAGTGAATGCAGAGCTGCAAAACTATTGTTGTTATTTATCCTAGCAGCTTAGTGATTTATTTCTAGTCTTCAGAGAGGGGACCAAAACATATTATTTTGATATTTTATTTGTACCTGTTAGTAGACCCATTGTAGCAGTAATTAGGTAGAAAGTCAAAGTTTAGCTCCCAGAAGACATGCAACGTGATGCGCCCATAAGGAGCTGAAACATTATGATTGGCCTCGCGGAACATGGCATCAAAACTGTCCAAGGTCATGTGGTTGCACAAGAGTCTATGTGTCAAACGATTGATCTCCAAAAGCCATTCAAGTTCCTGCATCAGAAAAGAAAAGAAAAGAAAAGAAAAGAGAAGAAAAAAAGAAAAGAAAAGAAAAGAAAAGAAATTCTGCTTTCTCAGGATAAAAACTGAAATCCTCATACATCAATGTTGATTTGTCCTGTGTTATTAGATGAAATCAAATATTAACAAATGCATTCCATCTACAGGTAGTCTCTAACTTATGACTATAATTGAGCCCAAAATTTCTGTTGCTAAATGAAACAATTGTTAAATGAATTTTGTCCCATTTTACGACCTTTCTTGCCACAGTTGTTAAGTGAATCGCTGCAGTTGTTAAGTTAGTAACATGGTTGTTAAGTGACTTCACTGACTTTGCTTATCACAAAGTCATAAGCAAAGTCACAAAAGGTGATCATATGACCCCAGGATACTGCAACCGTCATAAATATGAATCAGTTGTCAAGTGTCTGAATCACATGACCATGGTGCTGCTTCAACAGATATAAGTGTGATAAATGGTCATAAGTCACTTTTTTCAGAGCTATTGTAACTTCACAAACAGTCACTAAATGAATTGTTGTAAATTGAGAGCTACTTGTATAAAGTGCATTTGTGATTCAGAATCAAGTCCAATTTTTGCATCTTCCCAGCCCAAGTTGTTTGGAACATCCTGCCAATTTCTGGGGAACTTGACTCTTACACATATTTAGGAAGTAGGGAAAATCTTGATAGTTGCAAAGAAATATTGATAATTCTTCCTTGCCTATAAATAAAATCATTAAATGCAGACAGTTGTCAAAAGTTATGTACAGGATTGACATCACCTCAACATACCTGTGAGCAAAATAGAACTTACTATAAAAGCAGATGTATTTTTTATTCTATTATCATACTGGAAATAACACACTATAAAGATTGATAGAAATAAACAGAATGTATTGATGGATGCAATTGTACTAGACACGCAGTACTGTGTAGCAGGGGTGAAATCTACTTACCTTCCTTACCGGTTTGGAAGTGCACCCGCCATGCGCACATGCTCTCTTCGCTCGCTTGCGCGTCACATGCACTATATATATTCCTTATTTGGAGCAATACTTACCACTATGGATGTCAGATCTTCACTTTCAAAGCGGCTAATAGCCTGATCTAGTGATTTGTACATCGCAGCTGAGATACGCTGGGTGATAAGTCTGTTCAAGTCAATTGACCTGCCTAGCAGCTGAAAAAGACACAAGTATAAAACCAAGAAATTGGTGATTAAAAACAGGACCAAAATCAAGTACAGAGCCAGAACAGTAGAGCGCTTAAGGTTTTGGACTGGCACGAGATGTCAAACCTCAGGATGCTGAGCAAGACAAAGGGGACAAAAACTATCAGCTTCCAATAAGGCATCTTTAATGTTCACCTGGGGCAACCAAATCTTGAAAAATTGGAGGAATTCCCCACATTCATTTATAGTGAGTTAATTACAGCAATATCTCTTTGAAAGCTTTTTCCCCAGATTTCTTCTCACCTGGGCTACATTACTTTTTATAAGATAAACTGCCAACGGAGTTAGCCATTAGCTATTTCCTTCCTTATATTGAGAGTACTTTTTATATTTTCCAAAAATATGTCTTATATAGAATGCCTTCTACCATACAGAGATTCATAGGTGAAGCCTTACACATGTACCTTTTGCTAGTATGGTTACCTAGAAAACATAAATACTTGCAAACAATTATTCTAAGCCATGGAAATGTATGGCTTAGAATGCTAGCTTGCCCAGACTTTGGCACAGGAAATTAATGTGTGAATTTGTCCTAAAGAGCAGTCCATAAAGAACACCAAAGAATTTGCTAAAAGGAAATTGTACCTGGACATGTCTTTGTTTGAGCAAAGTTTCATAGCGATTGGATGGTGGGTAAGGGATAATCACTCCATAATTTTTACATTCAGCCCGGAAGCGCTTATCCAGTAAAACACTGTGAATGAAAAATACTCATAAGAATCTTTACTTGATTTTCTCTTCACTACCACAATTCATTTATTCTCAAGACATCAGTGAAAAGAAGAGCTATGTAATAAGATCTAGTGCAGAGGTCAGCAACCTGTGGCTCCGGAGCTTTGGGCCCTCTGCTGTGGCTCCATGTCAGGTGACCCCATCACTGGCTGGCCCTTCACCCTTCCCTCCCAGTCTCCTCGCCTGGCCTGAGAAGGTAAGGGCGATGGCGGGGGATGGAGAAACAACCAGGGCAGAGACAGAGAGATACAGAGAGAGGGGGAGAGAGAGAGAGACATAGAGAGATACAGAGAGAGAGGGAGAGGGAGGGAGGGAAGGGAGAGAGAGATATGTCAAAAGGATTTTGTGGTTCCCAATGTTTTTTAACAACTGGTTCTCTGTCCTAATGACCAGCTGGGTAGGTGTGGCTTGGGGTCATGTAATTGGTGGAAGTGAGTGACATCGAGTTGGCCATGCCACCCAGGTTTTGTGGCTCCCGGTGTTTTATTTTCTGTGGGAAACCAGTCCAAATGGCTCTTTGAGTATTTAAGATTGCAGACCCCTGATCTAGTGCTTGCATTAAGGGATAATGGAGGGGGAAAAAAGACAGAAGACAGCTCAAGGTAGAAACTGACACGGAAGCAATTCTTGCTTTCTTTCCACAAATTTTAAATGCTTTTCTGAATAGAGTTACAAGACCCCATGTCTTTTCTTCCTCATATTGTTCAGTGTTAGTATGAAAATATGATTAGTCAGGAATATTATTACTACTGTCATCATCATCATTATAGAAATCTGCAAACTTAAATTTTTCAGTTGTGGAAAAAATGTTTCCAATATCTAAAATAATTTGTTAAGCTACCTTGGGAAGGTTTTGTCTCGTTAACAGAAATCCAAACCAATAATTTATCAAGACAACGTGAACTGCCAAATTAATTATGTGAACCATCTGTGGAAAGATGAAATATTCTAGAAGCAGCTACCATTTTTGATAATAAAGGAAATCAGATTCTCTGATGTAAAATAGATTTTAGGTAATATTATTCAACCAGTTGATTTTTAATTGCTGAAGAAGCATTGGTCATTCAGCAAGAAGCAATACTATGCAAAGGTTTGCTATGAATTACTGCTATCATGTTTTGAGTATGAACAATTTTTTTCCATCAATGTCCAGTAATGTCTACTTCTTGTAATGTCATCACACAAACCATATATTTTTCAGCTCGGGAACTAATTGATCCATACAGAAGAACATTAATAGCTGGTGCAACACTCCCCAAACCAATAGAGGCTTCATACCTGCCAGCCATTGCTTTATAGTAAGCAAAGATTTGATCTGCCAGTTTATACACAAACTGATCAAAACACAAGTTCACCTGGTAGAAAAAGAACAAAAAACGGGCTTTATAATAACAGGCTTTATAAAAGTTGAAGTGATCTATGTAAAATAAGTCAAATGTTTGATGTTAATAATTAACAAAAATAATGCAGAGAGAACTCACTTCTGCTTCAATTTCATCATAGAGAAACTGCTTTTTAAACTTGGTCAAAGCATAATAAGCGCTATCGTTGTAGAGATCCAGTGGGTAGAGTACATATCTGCAATTAATGAAATAGGTCAGCCAGCACAGACATGTTTGTACAAACATTTGTCTCAACTATGGTAGAAATTTTAAAATGCGATTTAATTTAAAACTACTGGTTTCAGGAAAACCTGCATAAAATTTGATACAATATTAAAGCAAGCTTTCTTAATTTTGTGTATTACAAATCAATATTTGCTTACAATCTCTTTGGCTCTATAACAAAATTTCTTCATGCATAGAATTGTATTTCATAAGCCTGCTACAATGGAATTCAGCCAATCGCACACGGTCGAGAACTTTCCTGAATTCATTCATTTGCAACATATCTATTGGCATCTATCAACCAATTGCCCATCTATTAGTCTGCTCATAAATTATTTCCTATCATCGATTTTCCCTTACATCCTTAAAAATAGAAAGGAAAAAAAATCGCTTTATACAAATCACTTCATAATTCCTTTATACTGTATGAAACTAACTGTCGTTTAAGAACACTTCAGCCCTTTACTCCTCTTTGTGAGGATACCACTAGACAACATACAATAAATAAAAGTAAATTATCCTTCCAAAGAGATTGGCAGATGCAATAGAAACAGGGAGACTGAATACTGCTCCCTGTCATGAGGCACAAAGCTGAATTTGAATTAAATTGAATTCCTTCAAGAATTATCACAAAGTCACCCACAAATACATTTCATATCATCCTGGAGTTCTTACTCCATCATGGAGGGTTCTTTGGTATCCAGGATGTGATCAGTTAGAATCCAGGGCATTGACATCTCAATGGGGAACTGAATTCGGCGACCCATGGTCAACTCCAGAAAAAATTCCCGGAACCAAAGTTGGGACAAATCACAGCACTGTTGGAGGGCTTCTGAAAACATAAAATATTTCCCCAATATAAAGTGTAACTGAAAACATGTAATATTTCCCCAAAATAAAATGCAAGACAGGTTTAATGCATGTAACATAAAAAGATATTGCAGTGTGTGTGAATACAGCAAGTCCATGTTACAAAATATTATATGGAGATAATGTAATAGCATATTTGAACTGATACAATTGTATATATAAATGTATAAAATTAGACTGTTTTCTTACAAGAATAAGATAGCAATTTATTTTAAAAAAACCTAAACAATTGGGCTAACAATTTCTTTCAAAGTTCACACCCAGTTCTAATAGTTCTTTAATATAAATTACAATGCACTGAAAATTCATTGTTCCAGAGCTGGTTACTCTTGACAAGCTAATTCTTGATAAACTAATTCTGTCTAGGTTATTTATTTCAGAGTTGATGTTGCTACTTGCCACTTATATTGAGAAGATGCGTAAAGAAGAACGACTGTTTATGGAATTCTTCAATGGCCAGAACTATTGGTCCATCCAGGCTGCTTCTAAGAGTCTTCTTTGAACCACTCTTGTCTGCAATGAGGGATTCTAACATGGTTCTTACCATATAAAGCTGAAAAAAACAAGTTGATGATTGTTATTACAGTAATCCTTTGATAAATAATAATAATCATGTATAAATAATAGTGCGGGTAATCTTCAACTTAATACCAGTTGTTTAGCAACTATTTTGGGTTACGATGGTTATAAGGGCCTTCGGAAGGTGCTGTCATAAAATAGCACACTGCTTCCCTGTTGGTCACATGACCCCATTCCAGGTGCTTGACAACCAGATTATATTTATGACTGGTTGCAGCATCCTGCAGTCATGTCATCATGATTTGCTAGTTTTTTTGGCAGTTTTTGATGCTTTGTTTTTGATGGTTTCTGGCAAAAAACGTACATTTGGGAGAAAGGGTTAGCCCTTACAACCATGTGATTTGATTAGAGACCCCATAAAAATGGTTGTAAAATCAAGTCTAGTCACATGGCTGCCTTGGCTGAAAACTGTCACAATTTATGACTGAAATTCCAGTCCCAATTGTGCTTGTAAGTTGAGAACATATTCATATTCAGTGGAAACTGAGAAGAGAGGTGGTATCAGTCCATATCAACTATTCCACTGCTGAGGGTGTCCTATTGAATAGGCCAGCTGAAAGGAACTTGGAAGATGGAACTCACTTGGAGATCAGAATCTCAACTGAACTTCCCTCCTTGATCTCAGTGGAAAAACAGATTCATTTTGGAGCAGAGAAGGTTTACTACTACTATTATAGTTATAACTATCTCTTTCAAAGGAGGACATAAGTCTCTGATATGTACAAATGGATAAATAATAGAATACAGGTGTCAACTCACGAAGCATTCCTGACCTGCTCTTGAGTTGCCATAGGCAGGGAGATGGGGAACTGAGTCTTGCAGCTGCAGCGAGGAAATTGCACTTCAGTCAAAACAAAAGCACATTCCAGCAATCTCCACGTTAAGGCCATCTCCACAGAGACCCACAGTGGCTACAGGGAGGGACTTCTACAACCCAAGAAATTGCTTCGTTGGAGAATGTGATTGATGACACACATTGGAGGAGGGGGGAACAGGGTCAGACCCGGAGCGTGAATCAAGTGACGTCAGAGTTGGCTTCACTTGGTCCGTGCCAACATGAAGCTCCTAATAAATAACTGGATTTCTTTTGAAGCTTGGCTCAAGGCTCATGATTTAATTAGGGCATCGGTCCGAACCCTGACAACAGGTAATATTTAAATTATGACTGTAATGGAGACTGCCTGGTATAATCATAAGATTTGGTGGATCAACATCATTTACGATGTTTTTTGCAGCAGATGTTAGGTGACCACCATAGCAATAGCAATAGCACTTAGACTTATATATCGCTTCACAGTGTTTTACAGCCCTCTCTTAAGCGGCTTACAGAATCAGTATATTGATTTCAACAATCAGGGTCCTCATTTTACTGACTTCAGAAGGATAAAAGGCTGAGTCTTTATTTACTTTATCAGTATGAAACTGAACAGTATAATAAAAAAACTATTCTAAAGATCTGGTTGATAAATTAACCTGCATCTTCTTAATAAAGGAACAGATACCTGTGTGCTTGAAGGTCCAACAGCTCGTCGTGGGACTTTGATATCAAAACCACCTTTGGGATCTTTCTCCCCTCTCAGACAGGGATCATTTGGAGGCTCACGTCCTCCCTCCCAATCACAGATTGTCTTTCTAATTGCCTGAAGAACACTGGGAAGATGAAGAGTGGATCTATCACTGAACTGAATTGTTGTGTTTACAGTGAAGTCTAAATAATCAATTTAAATATGAAGTAGAAATATAATTATGTAAGTACTGCATGAAGCTTTAGGGATATCATACAAATCTGATATTTAATGATAGTAGCATCAGCATTAATTAATCCATAAAACTCTACTACTTTGGTATGTAAAAAGAGTTAAGTACCCCATACCACATTAAAAAGCTAATTTCAGTTGCTAATCCATTCAGGCTACGAGCAGCAGATGAATGAAGACTGTCATCAGCTACACCCACACATACATATGCATCATATACACACCCACACAGACAAAGAGATTGTGTGTTGGTGGAAGCGGTGGTGGCAGGGAGAATAGGAGAAACAAAATGTTCTGATAGTCTATTAAATGACAGCCAATAGAAACTAGAGAAAAGTAAAAACCACAACCCCAAAGCTTCATGGTTATAAGAGACATGAGTATAATCCATGTCCTATCAAGATCTTCTCTATGGAAGCAATTACTAGCCAAATATTAAGCATATGTGGATACTGTCTGGAATGCCGATTTTCTAAATACAAATTCTTGGGGACAGTGAGTATTTGAAAATGCCTTGTTTGACCACTATTGTTCCATCTAACCTGGCACTGTTTATTCTTCTTCCAGTTTTCTACAATTGCAGCCTAAGTATTTCCCAAGCTTTTGACTTTTTAATTGGCAATATTATAGATTTAGCCTGGCATATTCTGTGAGCCACGCATGGAATCAATCCTGCACTTAGAAACATACATGCTAATTTAATGGGTGTAGGCAGGCAGGAAAAAAAATGAAATAGAGTCCATGTATTTAACTTCTAGCAAGCGATTAAGTTACCTGATGAGGACATTTTTCTTCTTCCTGACCGCTTGCCTCAGCGGCTCTCTTAGGGTCACCTGAGCAAAGTCCTGTAGAGCAGCATAGATCGTGTTCCTGATAGCCTGGTTAAAGACACTCTCCATGCGACCCATGAGCACTTGCAGGCCCTTGATCATAGCAATAACCTGCGTAGAATAAAAATAGTCAGTGTGGCTCTTTTAACTATACCAGGCCCATTCACATGCACTCTCAGCAGAGCACTCTTCTAGTGCTATCCTGGAAGCCCTGGAGTTGAGTGGTTTTTCTCTGCATACAAGAATACAAGAACAAGTGGAGAAAAAGGGACAGTTGTAAATCCAGCAATGTCTGGATCCTCCATTTCATTCCATTTCAATACAAGACTCCTTCAGTCATCAATTCAAAGAAAGTATGTACCCTGGGCAAAAATGAAGGATATAGCCACCTACCTCCACAAAAGCAAACTTTTCCTCACTGGTATAATTGTATCTTGTAGCTCTCTCATACTCTTCAGCAGTGCCTGGACAATCTTTGTTACAGAACTTATCAGTGGGATGGACTAGCTTCCAAGAATACTTTGAGGGGGGAAAAAACCACAGAAAATTCAGTTGGAAAAATCCCAAGATATTGATTTCTCGAAAAATACTAAATTCAGCCTATAACATAATTTCTCTAGTATATGTAGTTTCCTGATTGCTTATTTGTATCCCATGACTATCATTAAGTGTTTTTAACTTATGATCTTGATGAACGTATCTTATATTTTATGTACACTGAGAGCATATGCACCAAGACAAATTCCTTGTGTGTCCAATCACACTTCTATTCTATTCTATTCTATTCTATTCTATTCTATTCTATTCTATTCTATTCTATTCTATTCTATTCTATTCTATTCTATTCTATTCTATTCTATTCTATTCTATTCTATTCTATTCTATCACAGTTTCACACAACACACTCAGCAGAACCAAACAAATCATACTATTGCCAATAATGTGATATAAACACAGCTGTTTTGGTTTTAAAGCATAATCTACATTAAGAGTACAAAAATGTCTTGGAAGCTGTAGTCAATGTACATTTTTCATTTTTTTTCATTTTTTTTTAAAAGTCAGGTTTTGTAAACAGTACACAGGCATGCACATCTTATTTTAAGTTCAATTTTTGCAAGATTTAGAGGGAAAGTAAATTAACCCCTCTGGTTTATGCTGAAGGCAGCTTTACCTTAAAAATCAACATATAAATGTATCAGAAAAAAAAATTACTTACCACTTCCATCACATGTGCACTCCACTTGGACAAAAGTTGAAGTCCCCGTAAAGCCAGGTCAAAAAGCTCCCTATATTCCTCATCTGACTTCTGACTGTCCAATCCTGAGCCTGTTACAACCTGGAAAAGGAGTAGACATCTGTCTCACCCAGTAATCTTTTCCTTTAGTTGCTTCACGTTGCTATTTTCATTAACTGAGCAAGACATTGCAAGCTTTCATCAACAAGAGTTAATTGATGGACAGGGAATGAGGGGAAGAACTGAGAATTTAATTTATTGATTTATTTACTCAATTTCTATAACCGCGAATCTCAATCAATGACTCTGTATGGATTACAAATCCAGAAAGTTGCTGGAAAGTTACTGAGAAAAAATGCACAGATGGCTGACATCAAAATGACATGATTCCTCCAATCAGTTTCATATTCTAGTCCTTCACCTACATATTCCAAACAATGTAGTTCAAATATAACACTCAATTATAAAAACTCATCCAGTTTCCTACACGTTCAAATAAAACTAGGAAGGTCTTCAGAGAAAAATGCAGAAGTACCAACACCTGAATTTCTTAATTATTGCAACTTTCACTGAATTCTTTTGGAAACATTTTGACTAACAGTAAATATCTAGCTCCTATAAAAGAGAAATTCAAGGATAACTTCTCCTTTGGGTTGATATATGCAAATATATTGTGCAGCATAGTGCCCTCTATTGTGCAGGCAATCATCTGCCCACTGACTAATTGTGAATGTTTTTTAAACTTTGAAATGGGAAAGGCCGTAGATATCCAAGCTACACAGATGGTAGGCTTAAACAATGCTGAACAGTATGACATCTGACAGCACTAAAAGCAATTTGGAATTCGAGAGGCCTAGGAACACCTAGGGATGTTTAATTGTTTTCAGAAGGAGGTTCATATTTATTTTTCAATTGTATAATAGGTCCACAATTAAAATAAATAGATGGACTCTGGACAAAGACTAAAATTGATTTGGTTTAACCAATACTTAAGTTTAAGAGCCTTGGTGGCGCAGCGGACTAAAGTGCTGATAAAGTAGCACTTAGCTGCCAGCTGCCCGCAATTACTGCAAGTTCAAATCTCACCAGGCTCAAGGTTGACTCAGCCTTCCATCCTTCCGAGATAGGTAAAATGAGGACCCAGATTGTGGGGGCAATAAACTGACTTTGTATAAAAAGAACACCGCTTGGGGGTGGGGGTGGGGCAGGGCGAAAGCCCTACTAAGCAGGTATATACAAAAAAGTATGAAGGCTATTGCTTAACGCATTGTAAGCCACCCTGAGTCTCCTGAGAAGGGCAGCATATAAATCGAACCAATAAATAAACAATAAATAAATAAATTGAAAAAAATCAATTAAACAGAATTACAAAGATTATTTTTTAATATTTTTCCCTACTGTCTAAATTTAAAAACATACAATTTAAAGGCAACCTTTGATAAAAATTTGCAGGCTGCAAATAGGGCGTCCCATGACTGCCAATGGCCCTCAGATATTGCATTATATACTTTTCTATGCAAAACAGTAAATAAGAATTGGACTGCAGACTATATCTATGATACAGAAGAACAGAGAGTGTTACATACTTTTGAATGAGGAAAATCTTTCTACTCTGAATATCTGGAGAGCTGCTGTTGGTTGGAATAGACAGAATTGGACATTCATCATCTAAATCTCCAAGAGGCAAGCTATTTGCATTCCAACACCAGGGGTGGGTTCTACTTACCTTTACTGGTCTGCATCGCGCCTACGCAGAAGCTTCTGCACATGTGCAGATCACCTATGATGACGTCCGGGTCAGTGGGCGGAGCCTCCCACCGGTTTTACTACCGGTTCTTGCGAACCGGTCCGAACTGGCAGCAACCCACCACTGTCCAACACCATAACCAAACTACAGAATCAAAGTAATAATGAATTGCCCATAGAACACACTCAACATTTATTCTTTCACACATGGATTGTGCAACATATGCCTCCATGGAAGCTTACCTCACTGTTGCTGTAGCGAGCAAGTTCAGAGATAAACCGGATATGATCGTCTCGGATCTGTACCATCTGTTCACAGATGTTATACTGTGGACTGATGCTGCTCTGAGTGCATGTCCATCTGGGCAGAAAACCAATGTCTTTAAGTTAACACTCATTTCTGACTCTACGGTTATTACTCAAGATAACTTTGGTCCACTGGTCCACTAATATCTCACTTGGTCCAATGTCTTTTGATATGGTGCATCACTCAGTAACCGACAACTGAAAATTAGAGTTGTTGGAGTAGATATGTTTTTTAATTTCATAATTTATCCTACACTTGATATGTTTATTTTACTTATTTTATGTTTGTGGTAAAGGTCCGGTAGCAAGTCCATAGATGACAAGCAGAATTATTCACTCAATGTGCACAACAGAATTTGAGGACTGGTCTTTAAGAAACTATATACACTGTAAACATAACCATATGAGGAAAAGATGTCTAGAATCAAAACTTGGGGTCTATTTAACCTACATTTATAACGTTCTAGGTCTATGCCAATATAGAACAACATCAGCAAAAAAAGTTAAAAATTGAATTAGGAAATAAATAAGGGAAAAAATGATTTGATACATCTGGCAACCCTAATAATAATAGCAAACCATAGTTTAGAATCGTTTCCTTTTCCTGCCTGCCAGAGCAAGGTCTATAGCTATGATTCATCTATTCAGATAACACACAGAATCATAGTAAGTAGCAAATGCTTTATAAAGTTCTCAAATTAGAATTTCTAAATCTTAGTTAGAGATTCACAATTTCTCCATTTAAGATGACGTCAATAATGACCCATCTTTAACCTGATTTTCCATGAAGTTTGAACTTAGCCATTCATTCCTTCTTCTTTTACATGACTATGAATTATTCTTAAATGTAGCAAATGAACCTGACTTCTACTTAAATGTCAGTAAAGAGTATTTATACAGGCTGTCTGGAGTGCCAACTTTGCTATTCAAAATTTGCTGTTTATTTTGAAAGAGTGGGATATTTTAAAATCTCATTTCTGGGACTAGATATCCTTGGTAATATTGAAGTAGATGCAATTCTCTTAATGATGTTGACAGTGATGATTAGGTCCTATTATATTTCCAAATGTTCAGAAATCCAATGCTTTGCTCTTACCCTTCCAGTGTACTGTTCCCCAAAGAAATCATCAACAGGTTATCAGTGGTGATCAGATATTTGGCTGCACTAGCCCAATCTGCCATATATAATCTATTCCATTACAGAAAATTAAAAGGCCATACAAGAAAAAAAAATCCACAGTTAATTTACATCTCACCACAAGGATGGAAATGAATTAGGGAGACGAAAAAGAAAAGAAGGGCATGAATGTGCAGGAACATAAAAACCCCACAATTGTTGTGCAGCCAAGTTAGTGTTCATAATCTCTTCTCCAAGGAAGGAGAAAGATGCTCAGGAGGCGATACTGCTCTGCTTAGAAACTGAATAAGAAAATAATTGTTAGTAAGTAAAGATGAGTGGAAGAAATAGTTCACAGTTTGATTATTGGGATGGGGTAGGATAGATTAGAAATGGGATTTAAAACACACATTGTTAAATACTTCCATGGACCGGGCTGAGTTTAAAATCCAACTTATTTTGGCAATAGAAGGTTAGAATGATGAGTGAGAAACAACATACACATTTATGCTGGTATGGAAGCCATTAGTCAGATACCATAAAACGAAATAAATATGCACCCAATGAACACCATTAATTCCAGTAATGAAATCCAATTGTAACATGATTTCTTTTTTTGCAGTGATTAATTAGTGATTGTCTCTTATTAGCAATAATTCTGTGACTGCCGGCCTAAATTTGGTCTAAATTTGAGAAACTAAAACTGTTTATTTGATTCGAATCTTGGTAGTTATCCCAGAATAAAGTACACCAAGTTGTGTAGTGAAATGGAGACTGAAACGGCCAACTGAGAGGCATGCATCACATCAAATTTTGTGATCTTCGTATGGTTGAACCACTTTGGATTTACATCTTGCCATAAATTGAACGGCAACACTTACCCTTCATGCCTAGAAATAGCTACAGGGGAGGCTGCCTAAAATACAGCGGGGCAGCATTGCCTTCTAGGATTCCATATCAAGACAGGTGGTCATATTTCAACCCTTAATTGTGATTTCATTTACCAGGGTCCTTATAAGGGAGATGGGCAGCATCAAAAGTAATAAATAAATAAATAAACAAACAAACAAACCCATCCTCTCTAAGCTACCACTGAAAAGGCTCCCCATGATCCACATTCATCCCTATGAACAATTCCATTGAAAACAATTCCAGTTGGGAGTAACTAGAGTTTATGCTACATTTCTTTTGTTGTCCTGCCTAAAACCCAATCTGAGAATCCTTCTGGACAGATAGAGTGCTGTGTTCATGCTCTGGAGGATTTTCTATCCAATTGAAAAATGTGGATAAAAATTACCCAGAGCAGGCACACTCGGTCACATTCACGTTCACAAGATGAGCATTCATACCTACATTCGCAGCTGCCAAGCATGCAAACAAATAACAGTCAACATACAAGTACAGACACTGATTTAATATATGCAAATATATTCCCGATGTATATCATCACATTAACACTCATATCCATTTTTCTTCCATGTAAGTGTTCTTCACATGTACATACTTGCACAAATCCAATCATTCCTTTCCATCTTCATCAATACCTCTCAGTCAGTACTTTCCTATACACACAACTGTACAGATATTGGCCACCATATACATATAAACTCTCAGTGCAAATTATTGATCTGCACTCAGTTCTAGAAATCACTTCTCTGTATTCTCAAAGACACATCTTTATGGCTATAATTTATGAACAATTTAGCTAGTTAGAGACATTTAGCCAGCCTGACTGGTGAACATTCAGAAAGTCTGAGAAAGTTTGTGGAAGGTAATCTATATCCTTGCTTGATTAAACAGATATCTAATACCATGTTTCCCTGAAAATATGACCTACCCTGAAAGTAAGTCCTAGCTTGATTTTTACATGTGTCCCCAATATAAGCCCTACCCCCAACATAAGACCTAATTAAGACCCCGCCCACTCCAGGGTGCATGGGTAAAAATTAAGCTAGGGTGGGGTGTGTGGAGCTGCCCTACTACTTACCTTCGGACAGTTGCAACCAGACCTTGCGCACCCCGACACCTGCCTTGCCGGCCCATTTCTTCTGCAGCCAGCAAAGCTGGCAAGGCTTTCCTGAAGGCCTCTGCAGCTGATAACAGAGCTCTGGATCGATCCAGAACTCTGTTATTGGCTGCAGAGGCCTTCTGGAAAGCCTTGTCTGCCGCAGAAGAAATTCCTGAAGGCCTCTGACAGTGAAAAGGAGGCCAGGTTGATGCGTGCAAGTGAGGTGAGTCAATGGACAACTCCCCCAACCCCCCCAAAAAATTAAGACCTGGTGCCTTTTTTGGTAGCAAAAAATTTATAAGACAGGGTTTTATTTTTGGGAAAACATGGGTATCAGGGCATTCCCTCACTAGCCAAAGGACTGGATGAGATTTGAAACTGAAATTGAGATGGAAATAGCAAGGAAGAAGTAAGAAAGTTTAAGGTTAGGAGCAAAATCTACCTGACTCAGAAAAAAACTCTAGGAATGCAAGAATTTTGAATTGTAGCCAGAGTTCACTGACCTTGAAAAGTGTTGGTATAAGACAGAAGTATAAATCTTATACTTGATATAAATCTTCAATAGTTGCATCCCTGGATTTGTCATCAGAAGGTAATAACTCTGTACAGCCAAGCAGAGAAAAGTCCCAAAAGATCTGGACTGTCATTTCAAGGGTAAAATAATAATCTGATTTATTTGCATCTTCATAGCAATTCTAGAGTTATACTTGAATTGCTCCTTTAGTAGATCAAAAAAAATAGGGGCTTTTAGGCACTCAATCAGTTCAAGATCACAGCCTGAGATGTTGGGATGTGTAAGAACCGGAAAATACCAGGGAAGAGAGATTAAAGTTGAAGAATATTATATTCCAAAGATGGCAGTACTTGAGGAATCAACATTTAAAAAACTGCACTCTCTGCATGAGTTATCTTTCCATTTCGCCAATAAAGCTCAGGGTTGACATGAGGGGTCCTTGGTGCTCTCTGAGCTTGCTTGTTTTCTGGCAGACATTTCATTACCCATACTACACAACAACATCAGGCTAGTAAGGAGTGCAGTTTGCTGTCAGTTAACATGGTAGCTTGTCTGCCAGTGTTGCTGGGGGTGGTCTTAGAGATTCTTTGGTTGATCTGTTTGCTGTTGGCTTCTTTGGCTGTTGGCTGATGATGTTACCTATGAATGAAACGTCTGCAAGAAAACAAGCAAGCTCAGAGAGCACCAAGGACCCCCCTTTCCATTTCATTTTTAGGGCTTACTGGGAGATCTGGCTATGGAACCAAGGAAGAATTTCAGGGAGGTAAGGTACATTTAACTGTAGAAATTGGTACAATCAGTGTCTTTCAAGATACAGTAAAGAGAAAGTAAGAAATCATATTGTGACCTACATCCTTAGCAAAGCACTCGTCCTTATGTTCAGTCACTCAATCACTTGGACACAGGCTCACAGGCAGTCACTCAGTGAGCTTACACACGAGTGGAAGAGTAGACTAAGACACACCAAAGCCAAGAGACATTATGGCAGGCACTCACTTGGATTTGTTCTCCTCATAGTGAGCACTGGTCTTAATGTATCTGGCCAGCTCTATCTGCATATCGCCGAATAAAGGAACCACCTGCAGCTGCTGGAAGAAAAAACAAGAAATGGTTTAAAGAAGGTAAAGAGGCTTCTTTTGGTATGAGTGTGACACATGGAGTAAAGGGGCATTTAACCACCAGAGGGGGCTAAAAGTCTGAAAGAATATTCCTGACAATATTGGGAGGAGCAAAATAGTTTGTGAATTTTCATGGTGAAGCTGAGAAATATGAGTTATTATGATGATTCAGATCAGGTCAGCACAATTTTTAGCTAGCAGTTTATCATCATTTTGCATGGGCATCAGCCCTGTTTAAAACTACCTCTGCAAGATTTCTGAATGCCAGGTCTTTTCGAAAACCACACCTTTTCTTACAATATAGTACATTGGAACACTCCTGGATCATTAAGTGTTGGGAGGATATATTGAAAAAGAAATACTAATTGATGATCTTGAGGTGGTTAATCTTCTCAATGGGATCTATTAGAAAATAGCAGCCATGTCCCATGGGTTCTAGTGTGAGGAATACAGATAGTCCTCGACTTACGACAATTGAGCCCAGCATTTCTGTTGCTAAGCTCCATTTTATGACCTTTCTTGACACAGTTGTTAAGTGAATCACTGCAGTTGTTAAGCTAGTAACATGATTGTTAAGTGAATCCGGCTTTCTCATTGACTTTGTTTGTCAGAAGGTTGCAAAGGGCAATCACATGACCCTGGGACACTGCAACCATCATAAATATGAGTCAGTTGTCGAACATCTGAATTTTGATCACATGACCATGAGAATGCTGCAATGGTTGTGTCAAAAATGGTCATAAATCACCTTTTTCAGTGTTGTTGTGACTTCGAGCGGTCATTAAATGAATTGTTGTAAGTTGAAGATTACCTGTAGTACTATCATGTGAAAACAAAACAGTGGCTCTAAATTGTCTGGCCAAGTACACAAGAGGGTAGAACTTCTATCGCTTTAATAATTGCCTAAAAGAGGAATGTCAGCAGAATTAGTAAAAGTGCATGAGCATTAAGTTCTCTTGCACCTGGTCACCCTAATACGATCGCCTTAACCCAGGAAATATATCTTCACTTTTTGCTTCCTGTTTTGCTTCCTGCTACCATATCCAGCCATCAATCTCAACACATGTAGAAGCTTAGTATACAGACAGGAAGATAGGATTTCTGCTCTCATGACAAATCTTGAATCACATATTTCGTTTATTAAATATGAAGCCAAGTCTTCTCAATTGCCTCAGATTATTATTGAGTCTCAGAGAACTAAAAATGAAAATAGCTTTTTTTTTAAATTTGATTTATATGCCACCCTTGTCCGGAGACTCGGGGCGGCTTACAATGTGCTTAGCAATAGCCTTCATCCTTTTGTATATTTATATAAAGTCAGCTTATTGCCCCCACAACTGGGTCCTCAATTTACCTACCTTAGAAAGGATGGAAGGCTGAGTCAACCTTGAGCCTTGGCGAGATTCGAACCTGCAGTAATTGCAGGCAGCTGGTCTTAATAACCAGCTTAATAACAGGGTGCCTTAGACCACTGTACTACCAAGGCTTTGGTAGTAGCTTTGTTAGCTTTGGCTAACGAGAAAGGAAATTTAGAGTTGGTAAATTTTCAGTATATGATTATATGCTTCACATGAAGCAATTACCTGAATTTATTAATCATCTTGGATTACCATTTGTAGGTTGCAAAAATCTGAATCTTTACTGCCATCTAATGAACATCTAGATTTTGCAACCCAAATACGGTAGCCTTAAATAGTCATGTTTGAAAAACCTAACAATAAAGATTATTTCTTAAAAATAATTTGAAATTATATTCCCAATTTTTGTTGACAAAACAATAGAATAACAATTTTATACAACAACAGATATTTTTTCCCTAAAAGGAAACTATAGTCTTCCAGGACTGCTCCTGGATTAAACATGGTCAGATTTTGTTCAACAAAGTGACTTCTCCCAAAGGTGCTTTTTCCAAAAGGCAACTGGACTTTGTTTTCCCTTTAAGGCATCTCGCTTCTCACCCCAGAAGTTTCTTCAGTTCTTCTTCATTTTAGAACTGAAGAAGCTTCTGGGATGAGAAGTGAAACATCTTTAAGGGGCAAAAAAAGGAAGTCCAGTTGCCTTTTGGAAAAAGCATGTTTGGGATAACCATGATTTGGATGACTGAGAATCTCCATAGGAAAAGTGACTTCTCATTTCCATCCTTCTCCAAAGAATGTTTTTGATTACAGTGATTTGTTTGAATTATTAACTCTACCCAAATAGAACTATATCGTCAAACTATAAACTACATCATCAAAGTTGAATCAACCAATTAGCAGCCAGTTACTAACACAATAGGTTTAAAGAGGCAGAGCTAGGATTGCTTTCACTGTGATTTTTTTTTTTTTGGTAAAGTAAAATTTTTAACTTGCAGGTAGTTCTCATTTAATCACCCCTTGTTCAGCAACCATTCAAAGTTACGACAGAGCTGAGGGGGACATATAACTAGACCTCATAGTCTTTGTGATCACATAAGTGATTACGATTTGGACACTTGGAAATCAACTTGCAATTATAACATTGCAGCATTCTACGGTTGTATGTTCACATTTTGCAACCTTCATTGTCAGCTTCAGACAAGCAATGTCAATGGGGAAGTTGGCAGGAGGTTACAAAGGGCGACCACATGACCATGGGCCATTGCAACCATGTGGGATTAGCCTAACAATGGCAGCTGGGATTGCCAGAATTACTCTTGTAAATTGGAATGGAAATTGTGCTTTATGATCGCATTGTTTAGCAATCCCAGTTACTGTGAGTTCTACTCTGAAGACTATGGAAGTCTAATTCAGATATTTAATAAGTTTTAGATTAGATCAGGAGTGTCAAACTCGATTTCATTGAGAGCCGCATCAGGATTGTGTTTGAGCTCAGGGGGCCGGGGTGGGTGTGACCAGCATGACATTGTTCATGTCAGGGGCGCCTGTGGTGGCCTGAATGTTCTGCCAGTGAAAACAGGTTCCCGAGCTCCATTTTCAGCTGGGACGGCCTCCTGCAACCCTCTGCCAGCAAAATTGGAGTGTGAGGCTCTCCCAAGCTCTGTTTTCATTGGCAGAGTGTTGCAGGAGGCTGCCCCAGCTGAAAACGGAGATTGAGAGCCCGTTTTCACTGACAGAGGCATCACAGGGCGGTCCTGCGCTGTTTCCAGGGCAGCCCTGTAGGCCAGATCTAAGCACCCCAGGGGCCGAATCCGGCCCGCGGGCCTTGAGTTTGACACCCCTGGATTAGATCTATACTGTACTTGGCATAGATTTAACACTATTTTAAAACAGGTACAAGAATCCAGTGGACTTTCATGTGATAATGAGGACTCTAAACTTTGGGGTACCTCTCAGTTTTGAAATTCTTGCACTCCAAATATTAAGCTTATGGAAGAAATTCCCATGCAAGAAATTACTTTAATATCTGCATGCAAGAGGAAGAATGAAACATGTAAATCAGTTAACGTGTAGCTCACATTTACAGGCATATGTGTGAATTGTGGAATTCTTTCTGGAACTAGGCAGTAGCTTCAAGGAATGATGAAGGTGAACAAATATACAAATATCTTAATTTAAAATCTGCTCTTTTAATTAATCAAGAACCTTAGCAGTCGCGAACTTGCTGGTGTGCTGAGACTAGACCGATAATGGATGATATATTCACCATATTCATGTTTCCTTCATTTGCTAAATGAAACACATATTGTTATTTTTGAACAGCAGTAGGTAGAATGTTAGTAATTAGTAATTAGAGGTGATGTACTGTAGTCACCATGTAGTTTTTGAGTTACACTTAACAATGGAAAGTACTCATTTTAATGAACTTGCAAGAATAAGCATTTAGCAATGCTGCAAACTGAACTGCTATAAAATAAGCCACTGGAGAGGGCACCTGAAGGTTTACAGCAATAATGTGTTGCCCTGATAATAGGAACTATGTTTGGCGGCTTATAAACAATGGTTACTATTTTGAAACTTTCAAAACTTCTGCAAACAATTGTAGATAATTGTGAACTTTAATTCTCAATTCACCTTTCACTTCTCCACAATTTTTCAGCAGGAGAAATGCTACATCTTCTGTTTAAAATGCATCACGGCATGAAAAAGTACCATAATAAAAGACAATAATGTCTTTTGAAAGAAGCAGGCTAAATGGCCAGACATTTTTTCACGCTGATACAGGAGGTACACATGAGTGATACCTAGTTCTACAGTTGAATAGCCATATTGTTTAAGATGGGTTGAAATTTCTATCACATGCAGGTCCTACTCTTCTAAAGCAGTCCACATATGGGAACCATTTTTGACAAAAACTCATAGCAAATTCTAGGTTGGACATTTTTGAGATCAGCAGATACTATTTACACAAATTTATCTGTTATCTAAAACTGCTGCAGCTGTTGCTTGAGCTGGTTGTTAACAGCTAAATCAAGCAAGAGTGAAACAATCAGAACACTTTTTATGCAGTTTAGTTTTTAAATGACTTTGTTAAATAAACTAAAAATGATAATAAAGTTTCCCTCCAGCTGAGTTTAACTTCCGATGGCCTCACTGGTGATTTCTTTGGCATCTGTTCGGAGCTATATTCTTTGGGAAGACTTTTTTTTAAAAAAGACTTCTCAATCTAGTCTCTTCTATAGTCTTGGCATTTTTGGATAGCTTCCACTTTACACTTTAGAACAGAAAGGATAGTATGACCTCCCAGCAGGTCCAGCCCTTCTCAACTTTCAGAGATCAGCCAAAGCCAGTTTTACCATGTTTTTAAAAGTTTGGTACCAGCCTGAGAATAGCGCACAATTGAGTTTTTTTTTTTTAAAAAAAAGAGAGGACAGAGAGGGATATATCAGAAGAAAGAACCAACCAAATTATGTGTTTTACAGCCAGCCATTACAGTGAATTCCATAAGAACTTATTTTCTTCTCTCCTTTATCCACACCTAATTTTACTCAGAAAGTACCTGAATGGAAGTCACAGCTTCCATTTATTGAGGTATGCGTCTCCATAAATATGCATTTAGTTCCCACCTCTGTTATAATTTTGCGTGTTTTCTTTTCTTTTCCCCCCTGTATTTAATTTAAAAAATGAAAATGAAAAACGAAAGTATCTGAATGGAAAAGCTTGTGCACAGTAACTCACATTCTATTAAGGAATTCACCATTATCTAAAAGATGATCAACCTATTGTCCTAATATATGTAACTATGTCCATTGCAGGAACAAAGTTTTCCCCGAAGAAGGCAAGGTAAACAGAAGAATTCCTGTCTATGATGCATGTCCTGCTGTTGATTGTCAGGGTTTATTATGCAGAGGTGAAATCTGGTAGATATGGAATTAATCTGTAGGAATCTGATTTTAATCAGGACATTTTTTTGCAGAAATATTAGCATGCTGTTAAAACACACAGAATAAAACCCCCTAATTGCTTATTTTCAATTTTGCAGCGGTAAAATATTCAGATTTTTGTGATTCAATCGCACCTTAGGTTCCAGCATGTCAAATCCTCCTGTGTTTGCTCTATCTCTAGACAGTACCAATACAGGTAATCTCAGGTCCCTCTGGAAATAATCATGAACCAGAGCCCAGCCAGACACTGACCTTGAAGAATTTATCAATTTTGCTGAGGTTGATTCTCTTCTTGGCATCTAATTTATAAATATTACTGACATTTCCATCCATCAGGTACAAACCAAAACCCATCACCTAAAAGAAAAATACGAGCAACATCTGAATGTTCATCACAGTTATTTAACAGTTACTGTTTGAAAGAAGGAAAAGGACATATTCCATGCACAAATTTTCAATTAAAAAAAAAACCCCACATATATCTCATAATATCTGAGACTACATTTACTCTGTGACTAACCATAACATACTTTTGATTTCCGAAATTATAGGAAACTACCTTAAATTGCTTCAAAGTATTTGCTCAGTTGACTCAATATTTTCCACTCACACTGGCAGCTGTTTTCTGAATGTAAATGTCAGCCCTGACACGCGGCCGCGTGTCGGGGCTGCCATTCCGGTGGGTGCGGAGGTTCTGGTGAAGTGGTGGCTCCCATGGCACCCTGGCTCCTCAGCTTACCTCTTGGCCACCAAGCAACGTGAAGATCCCTCCTTGCCTGCCTCGTCATCTCCTGGCCTAGCAGCAAGTTTTCTGAATGGACTGGACAGAGAGTGCAGCTGGGAGCTGAGCAGCTGTTGGGGGAGGCTGAGAGGCTGAAGGTCAGAGAGGTTTGGAAATGGCTGTATTGATGGCTAATCTGGAAGAGTAGCCAACGAGCCGGGAGCATGCGGGAGTAATGCCTAATTGCACTATCTAAGGGAACTATGATTAATGAGTGGGGAGGAGCCGGATCACCTGGGTGATAAAGTTTTATAAGGTGATGGGGAGTACAAAGCATTAGCTCCAACAAAATCTTCCTGTATTGCTTTATGGATGTTAGTTCGTGCTGGTAAAGGATTCAACCATCATTTGTCTGTGTGGAGTTTTCTTTATACACCGGAACCTGACAGTAAAGTTATTTTATCCTGGCTTGCTTTTACATCTTCCATTTGCGCTGCAACACTTTTTAGAAAGTACACGCACACAAAAGTCTGGGGCCTTTTCTGTGACCCACAAGCTTCCATCCCTTAGATAAATAAAGGTTTTTCCAACCTGACTCTGAAAAAGATTTGCAGGACTTTTTGAATGTATTTTTGAAAATAGTTTTAAATTTTTCTTTTAATAATCCAATAATTATCTTTTCATAGAGAAGTTAAAAATTACAATCTAAAAGGAGAAAAATACCCCCACCCCCACCCCCAAAAAACCCCACACCAAGACATGCATCATGAAAATAGGCATCACAAAGCACTTGAGAAAAACTGAAAGATGGTTAAAATACATTTGCAGAGAATTGAAAGAAATTACCTTCAAGAGCATATGCTTCTCACTGGGTGTCAAATACATCTTGTTTTCATAGTAATCCACACAGATGTTGACAATATCAGCCAACAGTTCTTCATAACCAGGGATCACTTCCAGCTGCTGATGCAGGCACTTAAAAAAAATTCCCACAAGACCCTCACTAATTTTCAATGAGAACGAAATAAAAGGTCGTAAAGTTTAATTTAGCATCTTCCTTGCAGTGTAAAGGCAACGAATTAATTTAAGCATGTACTGCTTACATCAAGCACTGCATTTGCTCTATATAGTTGTATGCAGTGCTGGGCAGTATAAGAACGATTAAACATCTCTTTTCCTATAGCTACTGCATCCTACCATCTGCCTATTCTCGATGTATTTCTGCTACCACCATTCTTTTTCAAAAGGCAATAGTTTTGACTTCTGCACTAGCCAATTCTACATTTAGTAGCTTGCAAAAGATAATTGTTTACAAAGGCTGCAAAAGCAATAATTTAAGTGTTTGTGTAAAAATGGAGTGGAGTTCTTGGTGTTCTCTGTTTCCCCATTCCAAACATGTCCCCTCAGCAAAAAAAACAATCCACCTGGTGCAAGGTAAGTTGCTATACATAAAGAGGCAGCACACCCTACTCTCAATCACACTGATGATGTTACCTAGTTGGATAATGAAATGTCTGTAAGCAAACAACCAAGTTCAGAAAGCACCAAGAATGACATAGTTCAACCCTGAGCTATATATATTTTCTTTTGTTGAAATGTCATAGGGACAAGAGATTTAGTAGTGGATTACGCCAAATGATTATTAGCAGGGTGTATTCCTGACTCTGTGCATTTCTTGCTCTGTGTGTGTATGTGTGTTTCTATATATTTGTATGTGTGTATGAACGCATCTGTTGTATAGAATAAAAAACACAGTATTTGGTTGCTATGGAAATGTGGTTAAAAAGCCTTGCATGGCATTTGCTATTTCATAGCACAGTGTTTGCTATTTCATGGAGTTGATGTATAAGTGCCATCTATGTTGATTTCATAATGCCCACTGCTTCATAAATAGTCCAAGCTGACTAATTTCCTATATAACAACTTGCATTTAATAAGTCCCAAAGTCCCAAATACAATAAGGCCTAACAGTGATAAATATATTTCTTATGATGTACTGTATTCTCCAAACTCAAGTCCAAAGCATACATGTCAAGTCAAAGTAAACTTATTTAAATATCATAATATTTGTAAAAAGTTAAGAGAGAACTTTCTACCTGAGTGATTCTATTATGGTTTGCTAGGAACATCGAGAGGTTCTGTGATTCCTGAATAGACTGAGGATCAGCCATTTTTCTTAAAAACTGGGCTGCTCTAAAAAATAAGAGGAAATTCAATTTTGTTGATAAGTTGGAACACCATACCAGCACATTGCTGAGTAACACAGACATATAAAAGGGGCTACAAAAGGAATACAAGAATGGCATTTCATTGTCTTTATTCCACTATAAATATATTTTGACACAAAACAGGATTTAGAAACCTCTAATCCAGGGGTGAAATGCTCCCAGTTCGGACTGGATCAGGCAATCCGGTAGCGATGGCGGCGGGTAGTTTGGAGAACCGATAGCAAAAATCCCTGGTCCCCCCGCCAATGCCCACCCAATCGCCTGGTCCCCACTTGCCTACTTGCCAGCTTGCTGCTTCTTTTGGGCTCGCTCGCTTTTCCTGTCTTGCTTTGGCTGCTGCAATCCATTGCATCAGCTAGCAACTCAATCTGCCTGCCTGCAATCAATCCAATCGGTGAGCAACTCAAACTGCTTGACTGCCTGCCTTGTGCCTTCAATTTGGTAAGTAACTGGGTTTTTTTTGGATGGGGGATGGGGAGCTTTAAAAAAATAGTTAATTGGGGTTTTTTTAAGGAGTTTTATTATTTTTTTTAGACATAGCAACTTAAGTTTTAAATTTAGCTGCTTTTATCTAAAAAATATAAATAAAATAAAATAATGAAATAAAATATTTGTGCAGCTTTCTGAGATTTGGTTCTGTAGTGTTTCACTCTAACTACACAAACACACAAAATCTCACAAAGCTGTATGTGCATTTTGTGTGGAAAAAGTGTGAAAGTTGGTTTTTGAGCTTTTTGTGGCTGTGTGAGGTTCCTGCTTGTTGCAGGGGCCATTTTGGGTCAAGTGCAGCTGCTTTTACATTGTGTGTGAGTCTGTTGTGTTGTGTTGTGTTGTTTGTGTGTAAAGTGCAAAAGTTGGTTTTTGGTACTTCTTATTGTTTTGTGTACTTTGTTTATTATTTTTATTATTTATTATATTGGCCACGCCCACCCGGACACCTGACCACCAAGCCGTGCCCACCAATTAAGCCACGCCCACAGAACTGGTAGGGAAAATTTTTAGATTTCACCCATGCTCTATTCCATGACTAAGTACTATTAACTTTGGAAAAAAACAGTGGCCTATTTCCAAAGATCCCAGCAATAAACCCTATTAAAATACATACGGATTAATCTCACCTTTTGTAAGCAGAATGGTCATTTTTGACACTGCACTTCATGTTCTTCAGTTCATCCAAGACTGCAAACATATTGATAAACTTTCCCAATGTCAGTAGATAGGCTTCTGAAACAAAGTCTTTCCTTCTCTCTGCATGGCACAAACGCTTGACCTCACTACAGAATCGTTCAATGGCCTTTCTCTAAGAAATAGTAAGACAGCAATAATTTAAAGAAGGATTAAAAGGGAAGGAACTGCCAGTAATGGGTGAGAAATGAGGCTTTATTAAGTACATGAGATTCCACCACCTCAGGTCTAAGCTTGAACATGTCTCATTTCCACCTCCTAAAGGGTTAAAGGATGTTGTCGTTTAGTCATCCAGTTGATCTGTTGTCCTCAACATACCTAGCATTCTAAGAAATTAAAAATGGAAATTGGCCCAAACTGTGACATCCAGAAAATACTCCCAACAAGCTGAGAAAATACTACGAAGCATCCTAGTGCTTGGAGAATGGAAAAAGATGGGATTCTTTTGGCTATGCTAAATGTATCATTGTGAAGTATTTATTTTTGTACACCAGTTCTTATGCCTTGTTTTCCTTGTGGATATGTGTGTGGTGGCTGACTTATATATATTTTTTCCTGGTTTTGCTTTTGGCATGATGCATATCTTGTTTTCTTTGTTTCTATTTTTTTAAGAAAGTATATGCTGGAGATATTTTCTTTAGCATCCACCAGTAGCCCACATCCCACTATGGGGATAAATTTTGAGAGCTCTGGTCTTGATTCTGATTTTTTTCATTTGGTAGTTGGATTATTTGCCTTTTCTTGAAAGCCTCACCAAATTACCTGTTTGGAAACTGACATTTTGTTATTTACTATTCCTCTAAAGAATTTAACTAAGCAAATATTTTCCTCAGTTCGCACTAGATCATGAAATGGCACATTGTCAAACTTTTAAGGAGACCCATCAACCCAAAAGCTTTGGGGACACCTACAGTTTCTCCTGTGAGAAAAGAATAGCTGAATGGTGCCTTTTTGCCTGGCACTCATACACATAATTTCATTTGCTGAAAATTGTATTATATGGGGCGCTAGAAAAAATGGGATTCAATTGACAAGGGAATTTCAAGCTAGAAACTGGAATCTTCTGTTTAATTCTTTTAAAATCTGTCTAATTTTAGATATGATAATAGATAAACAGACTTAAGTTAGAAAGGAAAATGAACTCGTATCTGAGCAGGATGGTGCTTCATGTGACACAATTAAGCAAAAAGTGACCACCACACTACAATATTTTTATTCGATGGTAACCCCTAATTGTGTGTTTATGCACTTTGAGAAGCCCACAACTATGATACTGTTAAAATATAAAGTATTTAAAGTATTTTTCCTGTTACTTTTAGTTTAGTCTGTTTCTATCATATTATCTTCCAACTTAAAAGGCTTTCATTATCCGGGGTCATGTCCTTGGGTTTGCTTATTTGGACTATGATTTGCGGTGCAGTTAAACATCTTTCAAAACTGATCACAATGAACCTCACATTAGATTAGAGAATGGTTTTCCCACATCTGTGTAACTAGTCTTTTTAGGCAAGCAGAAAGAAAGGTCAGCCAATATTGACAAGAACTTGAGTACTGTCTGTGTGGCATCCAATAACATTCATTTGTTGATAAAATGGCAAACAGACTGAATGCTGGCTTTTCCCGACACTATCAAATCTGCCTCTGGAGAGTATTGTGTCTTTCAAAACAATTTGGGAAGTGGACAGGTATATATGGATGGGAATGGATACAGTCAGCAGAAATTTGTTCATATAATTTTAGATATTGCCCTCTTTTACTAATTAAAGCAAAATAAGATACCATGTGGGAAAAAGAAAAATATTAAGCACTTAGCAAAATCATCATGCCTTGGGTAAGTTTACTACAAAAATTGTATTTTATTTATTTATTTTATTTATCAAATTTATCAGTTTTCCATCTTACCACAAGGTAGCTCTGGACCAAGAAACAACAGAAGACCTACTTTTATTTGCTCAGTATCTGTACAGACAGGGTTTTTCACAATAATAAGTGAAGAGGATTCAAGCATAGGAATTTGGAACACCTACCTGAAAGTACATGAACTTCATAAGTTTTGTCACTTCTGGCTCTAAGACTTCCACTGTCTTCTCATAAATCTCTACTCGGTTTGGCTGCTCATTACACTTTACCTGAAAGTTAACGTAACAATTTGATATTAGTAGTGCTCATGGACATGATGAAGAAGATCCATGGGACACAGAGGGAGATCATTTCTAAAAAGATAGTTTGACAGTCTTATGTAGCAAAAACAAAAGATCTTGGAGTGCTTTTGAGATAAAACCAATTTAGAATGTGAGGGGCTTTCATAGACAAATCATAATCAGCTGTCAGATAAAAGGCTTCTAAATGAGAAAAATGCAAAGATTATCAGAAAGTAATTAGTACTAGGAATGATATTCCATCATTTACATGATCACACTTTTCTACAATTTGTTCTCTAGATCAGAATGAACCAATGTTGCTGATGCTTACTTCATTTATTACATTAATTTATACATTTTTCTTGCTAAAGAATAGCATTCATAAGCTTTTCAGAAGCCAAATACTTTTATGCCTTTTACATTTAGCTTGCTGAAAACCCAATTTTTCATTCCAGCTTCCTTGATAGGAATGTTCTGGGGAAAGCATAATAATGCGTTTTACTTACTATAATTGTATTTGTTGATTTTATTACATATTTTATTAGCTATGCATACTATTCTAGATACATCTAACATTATTACGCAACGTAAAATAGATTATTATGATTGGTTGTGCAGTCAGCCAGATGTTTAGACTGGATTTGGCATTTTGGTCCACCTATCAAGTGTCAAGTCAATTAACTGCATGATGAAAGCTTCCTAATTGAAGATTATGGAGTGTAAACTACCCAATGGTCCAATATGAGTTTGTAGTATTTTTTTTTTTTTCATTTTCCCAGTCTAGGGTTGACTGGCCCAAATTCACCCAACCAGAACCTGTGCTTAGGAGTAGACTAGAACCTGTGTCTTTACATTCTATTCCAGACTACACTGGCTATCCATAATAGGTTAAATAAGAAATAAAATAATCTGAGTGAATATTCATTTATTAATGATTTGTTCCTTTGGAAATACTGGTCACAGTATCATCATCAGTGGGTCATTATTCTATAACTTATTAGAGAAAAATAACTTCTGAATTATTCTGAGAAAAATAAAAGTTTATGGCATTCCTAGAGTATCTTTCAATTTCTTCTTGACAGAAACTTCTCTCTGATTGAAGTGGATTACAATTTAACTTGACATCTTACCTGGGGAATAGCTCTGGAGCAGCTCCTCCAAGTATAAAGCATTACTGCATATTCGTGCCCTTCCTCCAACATCTCATTCTGAAACACATTGGGACAATGTAACAGCACTAGTTGTCACATAATAGTCTATTCTGCATCCCCTCAGTCAGCTCTGGATCACCTGATACCTACCATGCTAGAATGCACTGTTGCTTGCTCAATGTATCTAGCAATACCAGTTACAAAAGCATTTCTGTCTTCAAAATTTGTATCAAAGTTGGCCTGAAAACAGATAAAGAAATAGTTAGATATTCTTTTTATTTAGATTTTCATTTGTTTTCAGAGAGTTTCCAGTGTCCTATTGTAGAAATTACATTATCAATGTGCAACCAGTTAAAATGGAAAATACAAAACTTTATAGAAATAATGCATAAAAATTAAAAGCAGCTATAAAACAGTTGTCAGATAACAGAATGTAGTTACCTATCTATTGTTTCAAGAACTTTAATCGAAAAAGCCCTGATAAGCCATCATTACAAGCATATATCTACATATGACAGGAACTGGAAATACCTCACAGGAGCAGCTGAAGGCAACTCCTGAAGAGGCAGGAAATGCATCTCAGACTAATCCTGCCAACACAGCAGACATAAGCACTGTAACATCTTCCCTTTTCATATTAACACAACTAACACATATTAAGACATTATAAAACCTTATAAGCATTGTAAAACATTGTAAAAGTTCTGATGAAAACAACTGTAACATCTATCTCAATATTAAAAAAGCTGTTAGTGAACAGTACTACTGTGTCAATAAGATAAAGTCAGAACAAAATCAAGAAAAAATGGAAATAAATATTAGTTTTCTAGTGATTTAGCTGCTTGGCTAAGATCAAGTGTATATTGCATTATATAATGATAACTGCACATATCACTTGATCACTTGGGCATATACATAACTACAAAATCCCTTTTGTAATCTATGTGCAGAACCTAGAGGGGAAAGTTTAAAAAAACATTCAGTTTTATAATATATTTATTGATATTTACCTTATTAAAAATTAAATTCATTGGTAAAAATGAAATTGATACTAGAGCTTCTCACAACTGTTTGATGGGATCCTAAGATCACACTTTAAGAAGCACTGCTATGGATTATATGAACATATATATTTGCTGAACTTGAAGAAGAAGCAATAGAACTGTTCTATAATAAACAATGGCTTGTATTTATCGTAACAGCAAAAACATATTTTGATATTAGGAGCCTAACAGTAAGTTTAGTCAAGCTTGTACCTCTTAAAAGTCTGCATAACAACTAATGTTAAATGCTTTGTCAAAAGAAGCCAGTTCATATAATATCCACTAATCTTTCGCCACCAGATTCATACAAGACAGCTTCATAGTAAATTAAATTAAAAGAAGAACCAAAAATTTCCAAACTCCTGAAGGAGGGAAAATATGAGTACAAAGAGAATGTTAACTTGTTTCTATGCCACTAAATCAGAATACAGCTTTATAGCCAAACTATCCTATGGTTAACATTCTTATCTTGTTTCTTTAAGTCTTTTTTTGCTTGTCCTCTTCCACATTATTCTATCTGCCTCTTGGAACTGTCCAATATTTTCTCCTTTGACAAACTTTCTTCTTCTCTTCAAAGCATGACAGACTTCAAGGTCTGATTCTAAGGAAATATTGCTTACCTGGTACATAATGGATGATGGAGGTGGCTCAATGCATGGCTGCTGATCTGGTAATGGCAGCTCCTCCAAGAGGTCCACATTGGACAGAGCATCTTCCAGGGTTACGTGAGTTGTCATGGTTCCCAGCTTTTAGACTCACCACTAAAACAACAATAACAAGTGCTTACGTTATAGAACTGAAATAGAAATACTACAACTATAGAAGGAAATCAGGCAACAGCAAAACATGACTGTTTCTGATGAGTTCTAGTGCCATCTTAGGCAAAATGGGCAGCTGGGTGACTTTAGGATAACAAAAGCCTTCAGTGTGAAAGTGTCTATGGATATTCTCTTTCATCCAGGTCATGGTTGTCCCAAAGGTGCAAAGTAGTGGTGAAATGCTACCGGTTCACACCTGTTCGGGTGAGCTGGTAGGGATAAAAGCTACCAGTTTGGGTGAATCAGTAGTAAAAAAAAGCTACCGGTTCATCCGAACCAGTATTTCTGACGGTCAGCTTGCCGCGTGATTTATATTCGCTAGAAAGCAGGAAATCCTGATTTCTAGCGAATCTAAATCATGCGGCACAGCTGTTTCCCCCCCTTGCTGTTCTACTTACCTTGTTAAGCTTCCTTTTTCTGCACGAAGCGTGTGTTTGGTGTGCACTGCACATGCACGTGCACAGCATGCTTTTGGCATGCACTGTGCATGTGTGCGCACAGTGCGCGTTTGGCACGCACACACGGGCAGTGAACCGGTGGCAATCCACGGAAGATTTCACCACTGGCAACTGGCCTATCTGTTTTTTCTTTGAAGGAAGGCAGTAGCCTTAACATTGAAGTTTACAGTAAACCCACACACACAGATCACTATTTAGATTTTGATTCCAACCACCCACTGAAGCACAAAATGGGAGTCATCAGAACCCTACACCACCCTACAGTATACCACCGAGCTAAAGGCCTGACTACCAGCAAAGATCGGAAAGAAAAAGAACCAAAACACATCAAGGAAGCCCTCAGAACATATGGCTATCTCAAGTGGGCCTACATCAAATCTCAAAAAGGACCCTACAGAAGCTCCTCCACAACAGACAATAGAGAGAACAATAAATGAAGCAATGTCATTCCATACGTTGCAGGAATATCAGAAAAGCTCAGGAGGATCTTCAGCCGACACAACATACCTGTACAGTTCAAACCCAAGAATACACTACGGCAGAAGTTTGTCCACCCAAGGATAAAACACTCAGACACAAACTGAGCAACATGATATATGCAGTAAATGCAGTGAGCCGTGTTCATTGGGGAAACAAAACAACCACTTCATAAATGCATTGGCACAACATAGGAGAACAAACCCATCAGGACAAGATTCAGCAGTCCATCTGCATTTAAAAGACAAAGACCACTCTTTTGAAGACAGCAAAGTCCACATTTTGGACAGAAAGGACTGCTGCTTGGAAAGAGGGGTCAAAGAGGCCATCTATGTCAAAACTGAATAGCCCGCTCTCAACAGAGAGGGTGGGATACAACATCATCTATCTTCACTCTACAACACAGTTCTTTCAACAGTTCCAAGAAAGCGTCACATCCATTTGCACTATTCAGGTGACCCTGATGACACAGATAAATTTCCAGGTGGCCTCAATGACTTTCTAAAAGAATGCAAATGACTAGCTGTCTGCAAGGAGTACAAATCCTTCTATTCCCCACCATCCAGTCAGAGCTGAAGAAACTTCTTGGATGAGAAATGAAACATCTTCAAAGAAAAACCAGAAAGTCCAGTTGCCTCTTGCTAAAGCACTTTTGGGACTTTAGTGTGAAACTGATTAAAAGCTGGTCAGTTTCAATAAGCAGAGAAGAGGAGCCCAGGGTTCTAATCAACTAATTAAGGTCATATAGCTGATATTATTAACTTGTCCTTAGCACTTAGGGAAGTGCTAAGAAAAGCAGCTCAGGAAGAGAGAGCTTGTTTGAGCAATTTCTCCACCTTGCAACATGGGCAAAAAGGAGGGGAAAAGAACACATGACTGTAGGAGAGAACTTTATCTGCACAAGATGGCAACAACTACTGATCTTCTCAGCATTCTCAGTCATGTGTTCACTTAGTGACCATTTTTTAATGACCCTGTCATTGGAACAGAAAGTGGTCACCAAATGAAGAGAGGGTATAACTAAACTACTAATAAAAGTGTGCCAATCCAAAGATATATATCAAATGATTTCTCTCCTGTGACTGATTTGGTTTTTTCCCTCTCCTTCATGCAGAGGAGAGAGATTGGAGAGGAAGGGATTACAAGAGAATAAGCAAACATACAATATGAAATAGATCTAGCTGTTTGCATAGTATGCTTCTGATGGCTGGTGTTGCTGCATTACTTTTGTTGTGTAGTGCCCACAGTGCCTACTTACTCTCTTGTAATCTTTTCCTCTCCAATGAATGTAAACACAATCATTAATTTCCTTCTTCTAATTATCCCTTTCACCACATTCCAAAAGGAAAGGAAGTGATTAGGAGGCAAACAAAAGTGAAAGGTATGAATTTTATTAGTTTTGTCAGTTTCAAACCAACATCCTAGTGCCAGGGTGAGCATTTCAAAGGGTGAGGAAGTGAGGAAAGGGAAAGTACAGTTACAGTCACATGATTTCCCACTTATGCCTGCTTCACTTAACAGAGATGTTGGTTGCAATTTTGGCCACTAAGCAAGGACTACTGATATTGTTTACACATTTTGTATTGGAAGGAATTGATTTACAAATAACATTAGTAAACATTTTTCCACTGCAAGGTGGATTTTCATATCATTCTCACCACTTTTGACTATTTCAAAATTCACATCAGAAAAATAAATAAGCATAAACTTTGTAGAGTGATAATCTGCAAATCTCAACCTTGAAGCAATAGGTACAAACTCTGCAAATGAAACAAGTAGGTATCAATTACTTAAAAAATTCAGGTAAAATGGGCATTATTGTCTTTTAAATTAAGTCCATATTGCCTGGAAGATCTTATAATGTTTTCATAATAGCATGAGAAGATCTTCATGCTTCTGCAGAGTTTTTTATATTTAATCAGATAACATATTGTTGTTTTTAAGAGCAATTTCACACCATGAAATCTTGTTAACAGTATGTAAAATATATTCAAAAACATTAATGGCAAGCAAGGGACTACAAAGTGTGCATATATAACCGATTACAATCGCATATCAAGATGCATCTATTCTTCAGCATCTATCAGTGGTTAGTGCACTTGAAAATTGGATAGATTCTCAGAAGCCCTTTTCCAGAAAAGAGGACAGATGGACTCAAGAATCAGATGAGGTAATTCTCCAAAGGTTTCTATGACAAGTGTGATAAACAGCCATCAGAGCAAAGCAGCTGCTCACCTAGGTTTCATGAAAATAATACCATAGAATAAGAGAGTTTTAGGAAAATGATCTATAAGGCCCTCCTATTTTGTCTGAAACAACTTAAATCTGATTGCTCCTGCACATTGATAGAAACTAAAATGCTGAATTTCACTGCCAAGGTAGCAACCCTAAGTATAAGATGTCAATTACCTTGAAGAATTATTGGCGTTATAATAATATTGCCTCAGAGGCATTTGTTGTTTTCACAGCAATCATGTCTCTTTTATAAGTGTAAGTTTGGAGGGGGTTGTACCAGGGGTGGTATTGACTTATCTTCACTATCGGTTCACAAATGTGAGTGCACTGCGCTCACAAACAACACCTCTGCGCTGGCGGATGACCTTCTGTGCATGTGCAGAATGTCAAAAATGGGATGTGATGACATCCGGGCGGGTGGGCAGAGCCTCCAGCAGCCGCCTTTACCGATTTGCCCAAACCGGATAAAACCAGCTGAATACCACCACTGGGTTCTACTTGCAGATGTGCAAATAAATTTGGAAACTAATTTCACAGAAAAGCAGTCTCTTTCAACTGGTGTGTGACGCAGTGTACAAGCACTAGTATTGAACTGCACCTTAGACATTATAGTAAGCGGTTCAAAGAGCTTAACAGGTAGAGAAGATCTGTTTCATCAAAAGAAAAATTGAACAGGTTGGAATTATCTCCACCCATACATCTGCACAATGTATGGAAGATATGGAAACTAACAGAGGTGTTTCCAAAAGATGGATGGGCATATAAAAAAGTCGAATGGTGGCTCCTGATCCTTTTCATATGTGTTACATGTAAAATATTGTCCTCAAATATTATTGTTTGCAAAAGCATTGCTAAAATAGGAGTTGGAAAGGAATCTTTCTCTTTCAAACTGCACAAAATTTTTTCATAGATTCTATGGGGATTCACAAAAATGAAGCTTCTCTTCTTTATTAGCATCTTTATAGTTTAACAATTTTAAAGACATACAGAAATGTATTGGTGGGACTTTACAAGCTTATCTTCTGCATCAGGGGAAGTTTCCCTACTACGTTATTCCCACAAAGAAGCTGTGTTAAAGGGACAGTGACAGGAACATGAGACACACACTCACACTTGGCAATCCAACAACTCTAATAAAGAAACAATTCATGTATCTTAATCCACAACAGTTTCTACTGGTTATACTGGTAATTTTAGCTTTGTGTTCCCAATTCTTGATTTCTAAAAAAGCAAATGAGTTGCTGTAGCAGATCTACCCAGCCTTCTCATGTGAATGAAGAACATCTGCCAGTTAATGTTAGAGTCATTATCACAAGCAATCCGAGCCAAAGAAAGTTGCCCTTTTGCAAAGCTACAGCAATGGGTTCATGGGGTCATTGATCAAAGGTCAGCATGAAATATTAGCCAACAGAAACCATCTGCGCCTCCTCGTAGGCCTAAACCAGGCAGGGTTGATTGACGTGAGAACTCAAAAGTGAACAAAACAGGATGGTGGGGGAAGGGGTGTTGAGGAAAGGCAAATAAGCTGTTAGGTCTGTGGTTCATGCATAAGTGCAACACTTCCTGCATCGTCATGCTCAAGAGACAGCAGTTGCAACTCCAGATTCTCAAGTGTAACAGCTGGATGCTAGATGTAGATTATTCATTACCAATGAACTTGAAAGAGGGACTTTTGAAAAGTAGGCTGTTTTACTTTTTGTACAGGAAATACAAAAACACAGAAAGCACTATCACTGTACAATCTGCAGTGATTTATGGCTTCATTACAAAACA